CTTTCTTTCTTTCTTTCTTCTCTCTCTCTTTTTCTCTCTCTCTTTCTCTTTTTTTCATTTCGTCTTTTTATGAATTCTTATAATTTAATGTTTTAATTTAATAACGAAATCGAGGTCTGTTTCAATCAGCTTGGAGTTGCCTCCATTACAGAGCAATAGGCTAGACTTTTCTGTTCTTGGAATATATACTGGAACTTGTATATGCTAATTTTGTTGCATCATAGCGACCAAGCGAAACTCGGTCCAAGCCGCCGAGAAAAGAGCTTATGATGGCCAAAACGAAAGTCAAGACTCAGCTGAAGACCTTGATAAAAAGGGATCATAGCGAATATATAGTCGGAATCAGAGATGCTGGCCCGCTGATCTCGATGCGTAGGACATCTGAACTGAAACGCTTGGAATGGTCAAGTTCGGCTGCTGGCCCGTTGATCTCGATGCGTAGGACATCTGAACTGAAACGCTTGGAATGGTCATCAAGCCTCATGGTCTCCTTGGCGCTCTCGATCAAACGTCCAATGTCAATCTCCTTGGTGGAGGTCGTTCTCTGAAATTCCCTAAGGCGAGACTTTTCCTCGTCTGTACGGTCGCCGCCTGGTTGTGCCTAAGGCAAGACTTTTCCTCGTCTGTACGGTCGCTGCCTGGTTGAATGGTGATCTTGCAACCTCGTCTGTACGGTCGCTGCCTGGTTGAATGGTGATCTTGCAACCTCGTCTGTACGGTGCCGCCTGGTTGAATGGTGATCTTGCAAATCTTGAATACGCCAGTAACGTGCCTGAGGCGGGACTTTTCCTCGTTTGTACGGTCGCCGCCTGGTTGAATGGTGATAGCCCACGGTCTGGTAGGCAATATGAAGTTTTTGCGTGTAGATGCCAGTCATCCTAGTCCACGGTCTGGTTAGCAAGAGGAAGTTGTTGGGTGTAGATGGGCAAGGATACGCTTCGGAATGTACGGTCTGTAAGGCTTTGACAACCCTACTTTTTCGTTGCTCACAATGTCTGGTTCCTTGAGAGATCGGCGCGATATGGATCACCGCTCGAATCTACGCGGCCGTTGTGCCTCGAGATGATACCTAATGTCGACTCCATCTTGATGTGCTTTGTTGTCGCAACTCAAGAGGAGATCTTGTAGCAGCTTTGATGGCGCGTAAATATTGAATTGATAGTATTAAAAACAAGAGCTGACGCGTCATGTTGATAGTGAAGAGTGTCTTGTGGTGTACCTCGTAGACATGGACCAGATGAACAATCGATACATGTACCTAGATGGACATCTCCCTAGCACGTGTTGCATGATATTTCTACGGAACAAATCAAGTGTTGAAGCAGAAACTGGTTGTTATTAGATTCTATCCGAAGGTAGTGGCGTAGAAATAGCCACACACACTCAATGGTGTCAAGGCAACGCCAGCTAGAGGGCTTTTTCCCCTTTCATTCTTTCTGTTTTCTTTTGGAAAGATAATCTCTGTCTGCAAGCATTTGATGGCTTCGTTGTACCATCGACTTCAACTGTGGTGTAGGTCAGGTCCTGAGAATATGCTCGAATCCTTTGAGTAAAGGAGAGAGAAAGGCAGTTGCATAATTCCTTTCTGTCGAGGATGCAGCGCTGGAGTGCAATTGCTCTGCTAGATGCGTCTATGTAGACGCACTGAAGATAACAATGTATTTCTGATTAGTTTTAAGCGTATCCCGGCCAAATTTCTGGCACACGACCCGAGCGAAGAGCTTGTAAAGTACGCTCACCCCATGGGTCTCTGGGCAGTTCTGGAGTGGCAGTTTGGTAATTGTACTGCAGCCACGGCCCGCCCTTGTCAAATTGATCTCTTGTGAAACTCGGGGACCAAGGCATTGCTCTTATAGGGTACCTGGGCAAGAGGTTGGCATAATCCTCAGGCGTGAAGCCCGGATCGCAGAGGAACATGGGCTTGTCTTGCCGTTTGACTACTATGAGTTCAAATTTTCTCTCCAATGACATGGGCGCTTTTCCTGTGGTGCCTTTGACCTGGGGACAATCATCAAACGAATGCATAAGGGTGTTGCATGCCGGGCAACCAAGTATAGCGCCTTTAAATCTGTTTGGCGGACCAACGCAATCCTCGAGACGGTGAGATTTGTCTCCGCATAGGGCGCACGAGACGTCATCTTTCGAAACGTCGGGAGCGCAGTTGCTGGGGATTCTGCGCGGAACTCTCATGATGTTGCCTTGTGTATCCCAAGGATGTAATTGAAGAAGGGTGAAGACGACTCCTGTATAGGAGCTCGTTGCACGCTCTGTGATAAATTGATCAGTTAGTTCTGTTGCTTTCGAAAGTGGAAAACTCATGATAACGAATTGGTTGGCCGTTCTCAGCACGGTTTGCATGTGTGCTTGGCCGGTGCGCTTATTGACAAGGCCTCTTGAGCCATCAATCCAGTGCGTTTCGAGGGTGGCTTCTTTGAAGCCAGGATACCGTTGGGAGTCAGGAAGAGTGGCATCTGGTGCGCCATGGATTGCTATAGCATTATCCACGGGATCGGCCTGGTTTGGGCTCGATTCATTGTTCCTTGATGGTTGTGTCGTACATCCTGAGCCTTGCGTTTGCGGTAACGTTTGACCGTTGCAAGGCTGGTCCACAAAGGGATGTGCAGGAACACTTGGAAGCGAGCTCTCGGGAATATGAGGCTCTTCCTGTGAATGAATTTGCCGACTCTCTTCAGCGGTTGGGAAAGAGACAAACATAGTGACGGGACTGAAATTTTCCCAACACAACAAGTGTATCTCCTGGCCAGCACGATTAGTGAATGATAACCCCGGAGGGTAGTAGGTACTTGGAGACGCCATGGCGGTTGTCTTCGTGAGTTCGCGAAGTTGGGTTATTTTGTTGTTCCTGAAGTTTGTGGATAGGGAAGGAGGAAAGAGGTCAAGAATTTTTGAGATGGGGGATTTTGAAGCTGAAACAAAATGGCACTAATAAAAACTCACTCTTGGGGGACAGCCAAGTACAAACGGCCAAAGAACTGAAAGAATCAAACGTCTCAGGCCCTTGCCTCAGACTAGCAATTTGAAGCTGCCTAGGTGAATTTGTCCCCTGCCAAAATCATCTTGCACCCCTTCCTTACTTCCTCTTCAACTCCCATCGATTCTTTGCAAGGGTGACTGCGCAACACTGCCAACACTGCAACCGTCATCAACGCCATCCTGCTAATCATGGCTTGTGTGATTATGGGATCAATGAGTAAGTTACTTGCACTATGCTATAAGCAGAGTCTGGCTGATAATCAATAGCTACTGGAACTGTACTCCTCTCCCTCGATACCAAGCTCGAGAAGGACCCGTTGCGTATCAACCCCAATCTTTCCACCTGGATCGCCATCCATGGTGACTCGCAGTACCCCGGCTTCCGCCAAGCCTTTGCAGTGATACAAGGAGCCATCACATCCAACGTTGAGAGCAACTACGGCCGTTGTGACTTTGTTCTCGAGACAGAGAACGACTTATTTGCCGTCAGTAAAGATCAAGACAAGATAAACGGTCTCATGAAGCAGTGGAGAGAGAAAGTAAGCGACGGCGGTCCCATCGTTGTGACCATGACGACGCTGGGGGACTATCCGTACAAGGTTGCCACCGCCTCTGAAAATGCCGAGGCAGGAGGAGCTCAAGAGCTCTGGCGGATCTTGCAGCTGCATCGAAGGGCCTCGCAAATGACAAAGACAAGTCACAACGTTGACCTCATGATACAAGACATTTCCGCCCATAGGAGCGGGTTACCGCCGCCGCCGCCACCATTCGTCATGTAGTCAGCCACATCAGCAATGATCTCTGCGTCTGTACTCACTTGGAAGAGGCTTGAATAAGGTTAAGGTATTTTGGGGACGCCGTTGTTATTTCGAGGAAGACTAAAGTGGAGGATGAATAAAGATGACGGTCTCCATGCAGATTTCATGACAATTGCATCTTCGTGCCAACGTTCTCATGGCTGTGATATTTTTACCTTTAATCTTTGCATACCTTTACTAGATCAACACCACAACTACAAACTTTCGTCGTTAGCAATCGCAAGAGGATTGAATCATCGTCAAACTCTCCAAGAAACAGTCATGCGCAAACGAATCAGACAAACCGGGTCAACTGATTGACTCAAAGTGACAAATAGAGTCTGTTTAAATTCATCCCCCCTCTTCCCTTCTTCCAGCCTCCCATATCTTCAGTACCACAAAATCTCGGCCACCATTTCCGGTCAAGGACATCTTCAATCACAAGAATATCAGCAAGATGCCATCGAAACTGCCTGGCCATAGGTCTGATAGAAGACCTGGCAGCATCCCCTAGGTCCAACTGGAAAGTCAGCGTGACCTTAACCGACCTTGGTCGCCATAATTTCTTCACTTAGAGCGAGATGCAGGTGTCCAAGCTGTGGGTGGTCGAGAGATTCTCTACCATCTCTCAGAGAACCTCGCCTACCGTTTCCGCTCAATACTAAGAGTCATTGTACTAGCGAAATGGCTCGTGAGCATCTTTGAGACATGATGGGCGTCGTCGAGATGTTACCAGATAATATCCACGTCGACGTCTATTTTCATTTCCGGTAAACAACCTACCACAAAACTCCGACACGTTGCTGCCCCTCTAAGAACTGGCCTACGAATATGCGGAATCATTGGAGCATAAGCACAAACCAGGCGCAGAAGTTTCCGGTTTAGTTCTGACGCACAATCATTCAGAAGCATCTTGGCCTTAAGAAGCATAATACGTCAAGCCTGGCGAGGCTATAGCTGGCCAATCATGTGGCGAGCTCGTGGCCCTTCCAGCTTATAATCTCTTAAGCTAAGTCTCAAGGCCATTAAGTCAAGTCCTCCACCCGGCCTTTAGTTAACTCTCTAAGTCAAATCTCTGCCCCCACCCAAGTCTGAAATCAAGTCTTTCAAGTCAAGTCTCTCAAGTCAAGTCTCTCAAGTCAAATTTCCAAAATTAAGTCTTCTAAGTCAAATACCCCCACCCAAGTATAAGTCAAATCTTTAAGTCAAGTCAAGTCTCTCAAGTCTCTTAAGTCAAATACCCCCACCCAAGTATTAAGTCACACCTCCTAAGTCAAATGTCCTAAGTTCAGTCTCTTAAATTGAATCTTTTAAGTTAGATCTTTGCACCCACTTAACTCTTAAATTAAATCGTTGAAATCTTTTAAATTAAATCATTTGATTTTTATAAGAAACCCGAAAATTATAAAATTCAAAGGTTACCTTTTTCTCTTTTTCTCTTTTTCTCTTTTTATTTTTTATTTTATAAAGATATCGTAAAGCCTAGTGCTATAATTATTAAGTTTAAATTTCCTTATTCTTACCAACGCCTGTTTAGCCATTGATATATGTTAAAAAAAAAAAACTTTTTACCTTGTGAGACTCTTGTCGCAAGCTGTAGTAGGGCCTTTTCGTCGTCTAGGTGATCCTTTTCAAAGCCAGGCCTCCCTCCACCTCACCATTATCATTATTTTTCCCTACTTCAAAAATTCTGTAAACTCTCAATTTGCATCATCACTATTATTATGGCTAATCCGCCATTTCACCCTGCTGTGGCTACGCCGCCATCATCGATGCATTCCGAGTCTCGGCAATCAATCATGTATCACCACTGGCAGCAAGTCAAAGGTCATTGCGAGCAAGAAATTTGGTTGATGGTCAGAAAAGCTCTGTGTCAAGTGGTGCGACGAAAACCAAAAGAGGGTTAAGGACTATGTTGCACATTTCCCCATGGTCACAGAAGACGACCTACAAAGAACAATTCCAGGTACACCCACCATGTACAGCGAAGAATACACTGCCGAGGACGAACCACAGCTCCAATCCGAGTGGAAAGCAGATCCTCTCGGGACACACATGCTCAATCATGGCAAAAACTCTGTCATACTAAGACTATGGAAGCTGACACAACACTTGTGGCCGGGCATCTACCCCGAGACAATAATCAGCGAAGTGAATTTGCTGGAGTTTGAGAATGTGCGCGTCCGCACAAAAGTCAAGAATGGAGAGGGGAAGGATGTGCTCCATTCATACTGGAGCAAGAACTTTCGCATCGCCCTCGAGATGCTTCTCATACATCCATTCTGGGAGTCTCAGCTTTCCATAATGATTATTTGCATCCAGTACGCAGTCATGTGTCGTACAGATGACCAACGGCACCTGACGTGGCCTCGCAACATCCTGACAGACTCAATACTGTGGCAGACCCTCGACAAATTACTACAGAACGAAATAATGGCCATCAAACCATTGTCGAGCTTCACAAAGAAGCCCTTGACTGGGTTAAAAGTAGGACATCGCAACAGGTATCATCCTCGACCTCACAACTGCTGTGCAGGATTGAGGATGAAGGTCCATGGCTAGCATGGCCAGTGAGCTCCTCAAGGGAGTCAATGTGGAACGACCGTTGCACGACTTTGTCAGTCGGTTCCTGGACAAGCTATTCAATGATCGTGAATGGACGCAACAGGAGATTCTCCATCAACTATTAGGTCTCCATGCCTTTCGAGACAACAAAACCATTCCAGCCTAGCCAGCCAGACACGGCCTTTGAAGTCCGTTCCTCTGGTTTCGAGGTCATTATCAAGGCTCTGGATGCAATGACGGCCAACGGTGTTTCTCCGTTTCAAGCGTCGCAATGATACCATCTACTTTGAGGCCAGATCACCTCGCCAACCTGGCACCGTTAACGGCCAACCTCGACGAAGCTCCCTCGCATGGCTACACGCTTGCCTCCGACAAGGGCCAGTCCCCCGTTGTACGCCACTACTCTCTGTCGTTCCTCGAAAATACCACCAAACACGTGTGGAACAAATATCCCGAGGAACACCAGGCCGCCCTCTGCCAGTGTGCGTTGGAGCTTGCCTCGAGCCTGGAGCAACACCGGGAGAGGGTGCTCCTTGGAAAGCGCCGACCCCCGCCGACATAACAAATACTTCAGGGGCACCAATGCGGCGACCAAGATCAGAATCAATAAGTCGCTCCGAAGGATATCCCTTCAGCCCAATCCCTACCACAAAAATCGCTCCCGGCACATAAATAGCCGTCGACATGACCTAAGGCTCGGGTCGCGATCAAGAGGAATGCGAGATCTGCATCTTTCAATTATAGTCCCAGCGACACTAGAAAGATACTAAATCTGCCATAGCCGTGGCCGAAGATCAGCAGAACTGTCAATTCTGAGTTTGACCAGTGGGAGTACACTGCAGTATAGAGTATCTACCTAGTATAGTATGGAGTACGACATTCAATTTCAATTAGCACTAGTCGGCGGTCTGTCCACCAATTGTACCTCTTGTCCAATACGACTACATGAAGAAATGCTGAATGGCCAAGTATGATATGACCAGGCCGCGAGGTGTCTCTTGGCGGGCAATAGTTACATGCAATCGTGTACGACATTGTACGCGTGGCATTTGTCCAGTCACAGAATCGAAATGTAAGAAGTCAAACAGTACATGCCTTTCACGGGTCAACATGTACCTACCTGCCCTGTCTCCATTGTAGGACATGGAGCAAATGTTCTAGAAAGGTTCTACACTAATGTACTGCAGCCAGGATAGCGAACCGCCCAGTGAATTGGTCCCTGATTCCGAACTCCGTCACCCGCTAATAATCGTCATCACGACCCACTACCCTAGCCCTATAGGGAGGTACGTACAGGGAAGGCACCACTGGGGAATCATCAGACAAGTCCTAAGCTTCTCTTCCTTCGGCAAAGTTCAAAATTTGGAGCTTCCAAAGTCCTACCATGGGTTCATCTCTTGGCTGCCGGAATCTCTCGCCTGTTTTCCATGCTTCGATTGCCAGCTCAAGTCGGTCCCGAATCTTCTCGATAAAGGGTCTTTGGCTAGGACAATGCTTTGATCTCGACTTGACGAGCAGGGGGCCTCGGCGTCTGCCAACCCGACCTGCTTCGGTGGGCACATCACGAAAGCTATCATCTGCACAGCTTACGCATCATCACGGCATACTTGCGCAGTATCAGTGGAGACGAATCACGTCTGGCTCATCTGAAATGACCACTCTTGACGCAAGGAATCACAGTTTTCTTGGGACCTGCACGGTAGGCGAGTTCACTGAGCAAGCTCCCCCGGTCTGCGTGCTCGTCTTGCAGATGCTCTATCGGTCCCCAGTTTGGCATAGCACCACCTGGCTGCAAGGCAGTGGGTGGGGTGGGTGTGGCCCAATCTCACCTCGTCTTTGCCGATTTCAAGACAAGACAAAAAAGCATTGTCTCGCCAATTCGGGCGGCCGGGCGGGCAATGGATATTGGGCGTAGGAGAAGGGCAGATCACAACGTGCCCATAACTTCTCCTCACCGGTCAACTAGTGCACACCTCTTTGCATCTTCATTGACCAAGATGAAAGCAGGGTCGGCGATGGCGCTATTGAGATGATTGTTCGGCTCACATTCTCATCGGATGAAGCTTATTTTTCTCGTGCTCAGGGGGGGGGATGCAGAGTGCCGTTGTGGTTTGTGAGGGAGGCGCAGCAGCAGACACCAAGATTGATTCATTGTGGCTGAATCAAGCTGCTTGTCGCAATAGGTTGGATGCAAGAGTGTCCTTCTGTGCATGCGCGGGTACACACTTCCGCTACCTTCACAGCATTCAACTAGTTCCTGGCATCGTGTCTCATCGGTACGCCCAGAGTTCGCAATCCTGCAGCATCAAACGATTCTTTCTGCAATGCACACGAGCACCTAGCACAGGATTTGCGCAGGGTCTATGAACATGCTAATCAAAGCCAGAAAGCCACTCCATGCGATTATTTCAATGGCTCGAGCTGGTGTATTAGGTAAATTTATAGGACTACTCTGTACACACTCTTTCAACGGTCCTGTCCCTGCACACCTCCAACGGCCCAGGAAGAAATGGGGGGTGGGGTCTCTGGATCCTCAATGGTGTACCTGACCCAAGGTCGCACTTGATGACAGTCACTTACTAGTGGACCTCTCCGGTCTTCCACACTGCCTGAGCTATGAGCATCTACACATAAGTAAGTCGACAATCCTCGGACGGAAGATGATAAAAGCTATATCATGTTTAAAACACCCCCAGCCGTGGTTCAAGGTTTACACGAGACGTACATACACACACATGCCCAGTCTACCATTCCAGCAACAGACTAAGTCGCAGAGGAAGCGAAGTCTGCTGCCACTCACATCCACGCTGGGACGACCACTAGGGACGACTTCCGGCCATGCCCGGTGTGATCATTCCCTATCCTTCACCGCGCTCGTGCTGTCTGACGCCTTGACTGGCACAGAGTCGACAGTTGAACCGTGGGAATTCTTCTCATATCACAAGGAAATTCGCGCAAGGACGCTCCATTCAAGATTGCGTGGACGTTGCTTTGCAACTGCCAACGCGTTCCGCTCCCTACCTCGTTGCAAGGTTGCGAATACCGATCTTGGCACCGACCGCGTGAGTACTGGTTGTACTTAACAAGCCTAATGCATAGATCAGCTCATGGAAACCACTTGGTGAACATATCTGACTGACTCGACTATACTGAGATCGGAAAAGAAAAAAGTCAATGTTGCTGCGCATACACCACGACCCAATACTACCGTGTTACATTTACCTACTGTGTAGGTCACTAATGTACAGAGCAGATAGGCCTAACCTTAGGTAGGTAGGTATGTGCATTATCTCGCCCCTAGGGGTCGGAGGAAGGGCCCAAGAGTGGGGAACCCCTGCTGAACACCACAAAAAATCGCGGAATCCATACTTCGTCACGACCACCATTGACAGTCCCTACCAAACCTTGTACTACAGTTCAAATACAAGAGACGAACAAAATTGGGAGATTCAAAGTAGTGCAGCAGTCACGTAACGTTTCAAATGGTCAATTCATGCGCAATGCTCAGAAAAGTTGGTCTTTTGCTGAGTCTGTAGCGCTGGATGAATCTTGGTAAGCTGTACATCACTCCCACTCTCTTGCTCTCCCGCCCCATCCAGCAGCAACCAGCCCCAAAGAGAGCAAGCGCCATTACGCCGTGCAGATGCCGCGGTCCTGCTGGTATGTATGTATACGCCCACGAGGTTCCCCAGACACTTAAAACAAGCACCCATACCCTCTTGCAAGTTTGCATCTTTTCAGTCTGTTATTTCTTCTTGTCCTTCGTTTCTGTGGACATACCACCCAGCTTCAGCGGGCGTCAATGCACCTCAAGTCGTCAACTCTGGACGATCTATCCTCACACCAGCGTATGCAGCCTCACATATTTCCGATTCCTGACGTGTACAACATTGCGTAATACCGACTTTGCGCTACTCCAGGACAATCAAGAATTCGTCTCTCGACCCCCTCCAGAGCCACTATTCGATTCATCACGGTGGACTATCTTCTTATAAGCCCACGTCCCCTCCAACCCCCAAGCACAACCCGCCTTCAACGCCGCTCGATCCCTCGACTTGATCGTCACCATAGCCAGTCACTTGAGAATTTCTTCTCAGTAGAAACAAGACAGTAATCATGTCGTCGTCCAACTGTGCTGTTTCGAAGTCGGTTTCCAACCCAAAGTGCAACCCAACTCCCCAACCAAGTCCTTCCCCTTCCGTGACCGGCATGGAAGATGCCCTCAAAGACTTCACTTTGGCAGATGAGAGCATCGTCGCCAGATATCCTCCTTCTCTCGACACCGACAGCACCCTGTCCGCCCATACCGTTGTCAATCAAGACCTGAAGAGCCAGATTGATTTCATGGCCTGGGTTCTGGGCAATGAGTCTACCCAGAGGCAGGGCCTAACGCACCTTGCCCTCCAAGCTCACAATCTCAACACCAAAGACTCTGGCTACCACCGTGATCTCGAAGGCTGGTGCCGCGATGGCGACATGTTTGATCGTTCTGATCGCCAAACCGGACTGACAGACTCGATGCTGGTTACCAAACGATCCAAAAGCCATGCCACGGAATACACCAGCTCTTCGTATGATATGCTCTCCGACTTTGACCCCGCTGCCGACACGGATCACGACGTCAACGGAGCAGGCGCCGCCTTTCACGATATTCCCGGCCCACAGCTGGAGGACGACCAAATCTTGTCGAGTATGTGATACGACTTGCATGTAGTGTATTTACTACTGGGCGGCGTTATCTGAGTTTCAAAAGGATGGAGTTTTTTCTTGGGATACGATACCATTTGTTTTGCATAGGCGATCTCTTCTTGTTTCCTGATTTCAAACTCCTTTTTCAACGTCGATGATAATTGTTACACCTTGGGCCAAGCACCTGTACTCATCCCTCGCCCAAAAAAAGAAAAAAAAAGTATGGATGGCGCTTACCGAGAAAGACATGTCTTCTTTGCCTATAGACGCTGGTATACGGACAGCACCCGACCTGTTTGGCTAGACTTATAGATACGCACACGAAAAAGGGTATTCATAATGTCAAATTGTTTCTCTTACCGTTGCTTGATGGCTAATATTCAGGCCATGTCTGATATTCTTCCCCTCTTTTTGTTTTTCCCCTACTCATCCTCCACCTCTTCCGCCGTCCATTCTTCATTTCATTTCTTTTCTCTTCCTCTTCTTCGTTTCTCTATCGTCTAACCATCTGCACCAGAGAGTCAAGCGCTCCAATGCCACCCCCACTAAGCCACCCCGTGAGTACAGCTCACAGGGTATTTTGTGGCACTGCAGCCAACAAAGACGGTATTGATGCGGCACACCCAGGACAACGAGCAGCCCTATGGCCCCCACAATCCAGGGCGACTGTAGGATCTCTGACTCGGCCCTCCCGCCAACACCACCTGAGTTCAAAGAAAATCATGTCATGGTGCTAGCGTCCTTTGCTGCAGCTCGTATTCTACGAGCCGTCTGACGGGCTGTCCACGAGGTTGATGCAGGGATGTCTGAATGGAGAGGCTTGGGGAAATCAATGTCGGTCGTTCATCCCCCTCGATGACGATGTTGCGCTCGGTTCCATTCCGCAGTGTTTTCCGCCCTTGTCCGACTTCCGACCGTGCGGGGGATCCTTGTTGAAGATTGGTCGTCTCCAAATGGTTGAATCCAAAAGTCGCAATCTTGGGTCATTGAATAGGCCGTCTTATTTTCCTCGCTTTCTCACTCTCCGATTTTCTCCAATTCCTGGGCATTTTCCAGGTGGAATAATTTCTCCGTCCCACTCCGATATACTTTTGTCTTGCAGGGCCCAACCCTGGAAATTCTTCAATGTCCGCCGTTGCGAGAATGTCGCAACCCTGTCCCTATTTGTTAGAGTCGCAGAATTTCGCATTTAGCCTATATGAACAAGTCCCGCCTGTCCTAGCTCTAGCTCCACAAACCGCTTGGGCATGGTGTAGATCATATCACCACATGATGTAGTATTGCATCGTGGGTCTCTTTGAAAGATCCGGGGGTATGGATTTGATGTCATGCGGAGTTCAATTGAAGTTGAAAGGAAAGATTGGACTTGTTTATAAGATGGCCATGGAGCGCCGCATGTCTGGGCATTGGCGTGTCGAGGTTCAATTGGATGCGGAAAGTATAGAGCACCCGTGCTATAAACTGTGGGGCAGTATAGTCGACAGTGCGTTAGGTATAGTCCAATTGTACGCGAGTCAACAATGGCACCCCTCCGAGACACTATTGTGACGCTTCTTGTGCTCCTCTTCAGCACATTGACAATTGCCCATTCGGAATCGCGTGGTGGTTCGGGAGCAAAATGGGTGGACATTTGGGCTGCCATGCCACAGCTCACTGAGCCGGCAAACTTGCCACCGGCGCCTTTTGTAAGAAACGAACAAGAAAACCTTGAGAACTGGGCTGCACAGTGGATTTCTGAAATGAGGAATGACGAAGCAAAAAGAAGATACTAATAATTGGGTAAATCAGAACGATACCGGTGTCGTCTTTCAAAACAGCACGATCCGGCAGACAATCCGAGCGACATTGTCGGGAGAAACCCTGCGGCTGCAAATCTCCAATGCGTTTGGCGCTTCCAATCTTCCCATCACAGCGGCATCAATCGCGTTGCCGGCATCCAACGGGACCGGTTCCGGTGTCTCGGCCATTGATACTTCTACCATCCGGGGTCTGACCTTTTCGGGCGGCCTGACAAATTACACGATCCCGCCGGGAGCATTGGCGCTGTCGGACCCAATCTTTGACTTTCCCATTGACGCTGGCGACATTATTTCCGTGTCACTGTACCTGGCCGACGGACAGACGACTAATAGCATCACGTCGCACCCGGGCAGCCGAACAACCTCGCACTTTGTCCTCGGCAACGCTCTCGACGCAAGCGATCTCTCCACGGATGACTCCCACCAGTCTGCCGACCACTGGTATTTCATCTCGACCCTGTCGGCCTATATCCCGGACAGCCGCGCCCTGGCCGTCCTGGGCGACAGCATCACGGACGGGCGGGGCAGCACGACCAACGGCAACGATCGCTGGCCCGACGTGTTATCCGGCCGCGTATCATCGTCTTCCATCTCGGTGCTCAACCTGGCGGCGGGCGGGAACCGGATCCTGCACGACGGGCTCGGGCCGTCCTTGCTCTCCCGTATTGACCGCGATGTGTTGGCGGCGTCCGGGGTGCGCTATGCCATGGTCTTTGAGGGCGTGAATGATATCGGGACGGCAGCCGTCGACGTGGTGAGCCAGACGGACGTTGGGAACCGGTTGCTGGCTGCGTATGAGCAGATTGTTACGCGGTTACATGCCCGTGGTCTGCCTGTATTTGGGGCTACGATCACGCCGTTTAGTGGACCTGGGCAGTCTTGTGAGTTTATACCCGAAAGCACTGTGATGATAATTCAGAGAGGATACGAGCTCATTTTGATATCCCTGATTGATGAGTCCTTGGAGGAAAGTAACGCTGACTCTTGATGCCGATAGACTCGGACCCGGAGCGTGAGAGGACGAGACAGCGTGTCAACGCTTGGATCCGTGACTCTGGTCGATTCGACGCCGTGATTGACTTTGATGAGCTTGTACGCAACGCAACACAACCCGATCAGATCACGGATGAGTACAACTCGGGCGACTACCTGCACTTGAACCCCGCTGGATACAAGGCCATGGGTGAGGCGATAGATCTGGACTTGTTTGAGCAGTTCCGGGGTGGGGTCGACGGTATCCTGTGAAGAACCAGAGCAAGTGAGGAGAACCGGGAAGGACTCTACGGCAGGTGGTCTACATAATATGCATATTGGGCACAATATGGATGCCTAATAGTCCTGCCTATTCTAGATTCGATAGATCAGGTATATAAGCGGCTAGCAGCAGCGAGCGCCTGCAGAAAACGTAAATGTAATCATTCCGATTGGATAGTCAGCAAGAATAGCAACAGCATTGCGGAGACGGGCAGAAGATTTGAGAAGAACGAGATCAAAAAAATTGGGTAATTTTATGCCGAAAACGAGTCCTACGACTTTCTATCATTCAAAACGCCATACACATAACTCCGTCAGTCTTTTTCGACCCCAAACGCACTTGTACTTGATGCGACCCCATTACGTCCATAAGCGACATGTACCATCGGCTCCAGCGCTGACAATCCACGGGTGCGTCGGATGCCAGTCGATATCCATTACACCGAGCTTGTTGGTAACCTTGTGGCCCTTGAGCATCTTCAAGGGCACAATGGTGGCGTCCTCCATCATGTCATTGACAACCTTGCCGTGGAAGATTTGCAGGGTTCCATCGTCGGATGCGTCGGCAAACAGGGGGTAGTTGCGGTGGAACTTGACTGCTCGGATAGCCTCGGGGTGGAATCGCATAGCCTTGTAAGGTCGGTTGGAAAGTTCGAGATCGTGCCAAAGTAGACGACGATCATATGAACCAACAACCAAGTTGTCTCCACCGGGGTGAACGTCGAAAGACGAAATCCATCGGGCACCGGGTTGCAGAGCCTTGACCAGTTCTTGCCGTTGCAAATCGTAGCAGCGGATTGTGCGTTGGGTAGCGACAAAGAAGAGCGGTCCAGTGGGGTGGAAAGCTGCCGTCTGGGGCAGACCTGGTAGTTTGCGGAAAGGTATTTGGGTGAGATGTTTCGAGAGGGTGTGAATGGCGACCGAGCTTCGTTGACCGGTCGGGGAGACGGTGGTGAAGAAGTCGCCTCTTCTGTGCCAGTTGATGACCTTGACTGGTGATCGTACAGTAATCTTGAGCAAAACTCCTTGATCTTCCAGCCGTGCTCCAGGACGAGCCCACTTTCCAGAGGGTTCTTTTCTAGCACCATTGGCAGTCGTGGGCTGCTTGCCATTGGTGGCGTAACCGAAACCAAGATCCAGAACATCCCGACTTGCCTGGTGGAGTTCAGGGTTGGCGTGTTGGGGAATAATGAGGAAAATATCCTCGGCAACGGCGGCCGAGAGAACAAAGGCATCTCTTCCAGGTCTCCACCTCACAACATCCACGGGCTCATCGCTGCTGAGCTTGATGCTGTCAAGCTGGTGACCAGTCTCGAGCTCCCAGACTCTGACCGTACCATCGTCACCCCCGCTGGCAATGTAGGTGCCACTGGGGTCAATGGCTACTGATCGCACTCTGCCCTGGTGTCCAGAAAACTCGACCGAAGTCACTGTTGGGAACGGCTTGAGCTCTTCGGGTCGCGGCAGTTTAGGTAGCAGCGACATGGGGTCAATGTTGAGCCTGTTCTTGCGAATTCTTGGTGCCAAGTAGAGATCCAGACATCTCTCGAATCGTTCCTTGACAAACTGATCGTAACCAGGCACACGTCGTAGCGAATCGTACTTTTGAGGCAGGTACTCCTTTTCACGCTCTTCCGGATCAGTCTCCTCCCAAGTCTTTTTCTCGTCCTTGGATGGCAGATACTCGGGCGGCGGGTTGTAGGACAAGTCGTATCCGGGTGGTGCAAGCTTGGGAGCAGGAATGTGCATGACATTGGGAGCTTGAGGTTGCTCGTCGGCCCAGATATCAACAATCGGCTCGTCTTCCTCGTCCTCTTCACGTTCCCTCTCCTCTGGCGGCTTGTATGGGAGGATACGGCCCTCCTTGATGGCCTTGACAATCTTCATGATTCGCTTTTGCTCGTGCTTGGAAGGCAAGAATCGGCGTTTCGGTTCGGGAGCAGCATTCAGAGGCATGGTCTCTTCAAAGCTTGTAAACCATTCAACAGTATCCTGTGATTGTCAGCATGGTGTCGACCACGAGTGTCGAATGTCTTACAGGATAAGGATCGTAACCCTCTGGCACTTCATTCATTTGCACCCGACGGAGCAGCTCCAACTCATCCTGGCTCAGGTTCAATGGCTTTCCAGTCTGTGGATCGGTGAGACCTGTCCAGCCCTTGGGAACCTCGATCGAGTCGAGCAGAGCATCCAATGCTTCGCCCGTGGCAGGGCGCATGATGCGCTTGCCATTAATGTCGTAACCAATATGGGGGTATGAGTCGTAAAAGGAAAGCGGAATGTTGCCGATAGTGTTGACGGGTTCTTGAGCGTCCGAATCGTCCGAGTCGTAGACGGGGTCAATCTCTTCATAGACAAATCTCGTGCCTCCATTTGCATCGGTTTCCACTCGGTATTGAGGTCCTTCATCTTCGTCGACGCCTTTTCCATTGACAATGGCAGCCTTGTCGGCTACTTGTTCTTCCTCGTCTGAAGGAATGTCGTCGCTTTCCAGAGCTTCGTCCTCGTCCTCATCTTCATCCTCGTCGAGCTCTTCATCTTCATCGGCTTCGTCGTCTTCGCTGCTCTCGTCAGAGTCGTCCGAGAGTACACCTTCGAGAAGCCCGTCGCCGAATTCGTCGTCGGAGTGAGCAGCGACGTCGGGGGTTTCGACAATCGAAGCCTTGCGCTTCAAAGTTGCCTTTTTTCCGGCCATTTTGAAAATATTGCGACAACAATTCGTCTGGTTGCGCTGGTGTCGAATGCGACGTGCATTACTAGTAGCCTCGACTTTTTTTCGACTTTTAGGTGGGGCCAATGTTTCTGCCATTTACCGAGCTCTGAAGATGTTGACCGCCTACCAAATACGCTACTGCTATCCATTGCTTGGAGGGGCAGCCAACTATATTTGGACTTTTACCTTTTTCCTTCTACTCGAGATGTTATTGTTCAAGTCCTTATGCATCAATTATTTACAGTCATTCTTTTGTATCTTTGAACATGGCAAGAGGGCATGTGCCTGCAGCGTGAGAACAGCCTCATTTGAGAGTAGTGATTTTGATCAAGATTAACCACGGCTGAAGTGAAATGTAGCGAGAAATAAAGACGGAACCGACCAGTCTACATCAGTCGGCCATATTCAGTGAAGGAATTTCCATCACTCATGATTCTCGACTTCAAGGCAGATTCCCTCACCAAATTTCCTGCCAATAGGATCAATCATGGTGGCCGAGTTTTCGACCAGTCAGAGGCGCAGGCAGGTGTGGCTCGCATATGGAGGCAATGAGATGCAGCTCTGTCACATGGGGGTCACTGGCGCTCCGCCACAGCGCGTAATTGACACATAAGGCAGCAAAGCCCCAGCCTCGTCGTCATGAACATTCAAGAGCCGTTTGAGCTTCATCTCCTGCGCAAATGTTGATTCAAAAGCATGGAGCCAATCACAGCTCTGGCATTTGCTGGAAATGTGCTTCAGTTTGTAGAGTTTGCCTTTAAAATCGCCCGCGCAGGTCATGCGTTTTATCGCACCGAGGATGGTAGTGAGGGCGGACTTGAGCTTGAAGACGTCTATGAAAGATTGCAAGCTCTCAGCGGCCAGTTGAGCCTGACAATCAACAATGGCATGTCAAGGGATGAGAAAGCTGTGGCCGAGCTTGGTACTTCCTGTCGAGCCGATTGCGATCATTTGCTCCAAATCATCCAGACATTGAGATCCCAGGGCCAAAAATGGAAGAGTTTTCGATCTGCAGTGAGATATGTGTGGAAAGACAAGCAGGAAATCGAGGCATTGCAATCTCGTCTGCGCGATAAGCAGCAAATTTTGAATCTGCATATTTCCTCAATCACAAGGTATGTTCACACACCCGTGGCTTGACATCTTTTGCTCACGATTTCAGCAAAACTCTGAAGAGACTTGATGGCGATTTCCAAAGGCTATCAGAGCTTAATGCAAAGAATGAAGTAGACCACGAATTACGTCTGGACAAAATTTGCCAATCGCTGGAAGAAATCAAAGACATGCTTTCTTCTGCCCATGGAGCCAACCAATCCATCTCGGCCTCGGACGTCGAGACACTTGCGTCGCAACTCTCTCAAGTGTCTTTATCTGAACGAGATGTTGCAAAAGAACAGGCAATCCTCTACAGTTTGGACTACGAAAGAAGATCCGCGCGTTACGAAGCCATTTCAGAGGCCCACAAAGCGACATTCAATTGGGTTTTCGACGATGTAGAGCGTAAAGGCCTCGGAGCGGAAAAGTTTCTTGACTGGATCAAGACGTCTGGAGAGGTATTCTGGATTTCTGGCAAACCAGGGGTAAGTGCAACATACCATTCAGTGCTTGAAATCTGCAAACAGCAATTTTATTTGCGTCAAATACTGATGATCGATAGAGTGGCAAATCAACGTTCATGAAGTTTGTCGCTGGCCATGAACAGATTTTGAAAGCAGCTTCGCTCTGGTCGGACCCCGATGAAGTGATCATCGCCAGCCATTACTTTTGGAAAGCGGGCGAATCCATGCAAAAGTCTCAGGCGGGCTTCCTCCAAGGACTGTTATACGATATTCTGAGGCAAAAACCACACATTACTCAGGCTATTTGTGGTCGACAATGGGGTCTGTCCGTTCCGAATGCCCATCTACAAAGATGGACTTTGCAAGACTTGCAGCAGAGTTTTGATACCCTTTCCACCAACGACTCGTTGAAACTCAAGATTGTGTTGTTCGTTGATGGCCTTGATGAATACGAAGGTGATCATATTGACTTGTGTCTATTCCTGAAAGACCTCGCCAGGAATTCCTCCAATATCAAGATATGTGCGGCAAGTCGGCCAGAAAATGCATTCGAGGACAGTTTCGGGTCGGATCTCTCGCATAGAATCAACATACATGAACTGACCAGCAACGACGTCCTACGGTATTCGCAAAGCCGTTTGACCGAACACCCGAGATGGACACAGATCACTAAAGAGTCCCGAGATCTACAGTCAGTCTGTCAAGACATTGCCAATCGAGCTCAAGGAGTTTTCCTTTGGGTCAAACTCGTGACACAATCTCTCAGGGACGGTATGACAGGTTACGATACTGCAGAAGAGTTAGAGAGTCGCCTTGACAGTCTGCCCTCTGATTTGGAATCTCTCTACAGACATCTTTTGTTGTCCGTGGACCCACAGTATCATCAAAAGATGGCAGAGATATTACTGATGATGTCGGATATGGGAGGCTCCCAACATTGGGAACTTTTTGTAATGCACGAAAAGTCTTATCAAGATGTTCGATACGCACATAAGATTACACTTCCAAATCTGGACCAACGGGAGTCAGCACAAGAAATCCTGGATGAGTGGGAATCAGAAAGGATAACCCTGACTCGCCGCCTCATGAGTCGATGTCGAGGACTTCTCGAGATCAAGGACCAAAATGTTGAATGGATCCACCGTACCGCTCATGATTTTATCAAATCAGACGAAATGCAAAACTACCTCGGAGGGAAATGCCGACCAAACTTCAATTCTGCGATGGCCGAACTTCGTGCTCGTGTCGCTTGCGTCACCACTACAGACGGAGTGCTCCCGGGTAATATGCAAATACGTCATCTACTCTCTAGAAACAGGAGTCGTATACTGCTTAATCTTCAATGCATCACTTTCCGAATCTGGGATTATTACAGCGGTGCTCCACTCCTTGGTAGAACAGAGGAACTAGAGGCATTCGACCTATTAGATCGCCTTGCTCAGAAGTTGCTGCCTCACATGGATGGTATCCGGGGCAAAACAGGCGTTTCTATGGATCAGGAGATTCCGATAGGGAAGCTTACTGAAGTGCGAAATCATGCTTTGATTAGACCCATTGACCATGAACTCGTGCCAGAGTTCGTATTAGCTAATTGTCTGCGCTATGGTTTGCACAAGTTGAGAATGGACCCTGATTACTTCAGGTATTCCACAGTCCCAGCTTTACGCATTGTTCTAGAAATATATGTTGATGGTGCTACAGAAAGAGCAGAAATCACTTATGAACTGCTTAAAAACGGCTACGAGCTCAATCGTGGGTTTTTGCTCGTACATGAAGCTGTAACTTATAGCTTCCTTGATGAGAGGGCTACGTATAGCGAGGTGGAACCTTACAACTTGAAGACCCCTTGGATCTGTTACATTGAGGCCATAGGCTTATCGTCTACCTACGGTTCATGTCGACATGTCGAGAAGATGCTTCATTGGTATAGGTGGCAGAAGCTACACATCTTCGGTATTGTGAATGGCACAGAGCCATTTGAAAACAGGCGTTCGTCGAAACACTTCATTCATAACTTGAGTCATGGCTTTCTCTCCAAGCTCTTGCATTATGGCGCAGATCCAAACGCCCAGTCCACTCCCTTTACCACGGCATGGACAAGTTTTGTTTGCGCAGGAGTAACTCAACATGAATTGCTCCAAGCTGAAAATGCCTATCTCGAAGCACTCGATGGGTTTTTACAAAACGGTACTGATCTTGGAGCGTCTACCATTGGCTTGACACTCGACCCCGGAAGCACGCGTACACGCTTGCCCTGGAAGATGATTACAGGCTGGGACATGTTCTGCGAGCATCTGGAACACGAGGCTCTCAAGCATGATGACAAGAGGATGCTACCATTCACTGCCAAAATTACGACGCGGATGATCAAGTATGCCATACACACCCAGTGGCCATTCGGAAGGCTAGCCGAGATCTTGGCAAAAGTATTTCCCAATGATTTGCGGGCCCCAATGATGCAGCTCATTGAGCAGACACCCACAGGACAATCTAGGAAACGAAGGGCTCATTGTTCCCCAGATTTGGATCGCCTGGGGAAACACCCAAGGATCGAGGATGTTACCGAAGCTGAGAGGGTATGAATAAGGGAATGGCTTTCAAATTTGGATTTTTTTCTTGTAGGAGTTGAGAGTTTTCAGTCTGTAGATATGGGTGAGCTTAAATACCAATCGGCCCGGGCACTCTTACGCGCTCGTGCTTACCATTACACTTCACTTGTGTCCCTCCTAGACTTCATACGACTTCCAATTTCTACCCAGATCGGACAGTGATCGCTTGGACCTCGATCCCTCGGGCTATCATAAATGCCTGAGTCCAAAATGTTGTCCTCGAGAGATTGTGAGGTAATAATCAAGTCGACTCTATCACAGGTTGAACCCCATGGCACACCGCGTGGGTGGTAGCTGAATCTCTGCTTAAAGATGTGCCTATTCCTAAAGGTGTCGACTCCACTGAAGCTCTGGATATCCCCGGCCTGGGATAGTCTCTTTTCATAACCATTATAAGCTGCTTTGGACGGGGCCATGTCTAGGTCTTGACCCAGGAAGAACTTTTGGACGAAATCCCTTCTGTTGAGCACATGCTGATATGGCGTGGTTCGGAGCTTCGGGTGTCCGTCCAGCTTGGTACATGCTACATTTAAATCGCCAGCAATGATGACGTGGAATCCCTTGGCCTCTAGAGTCTTGGCTTCAATGAGAATCTCCGAGTGTACGGCTAGTTTGCGATCGTGACGCGTTCCTACTTGTTCGCCGGTATGAGTAGATCGATAGGGATTCGTAGTCCCGTTGACGGCATAGATGTTGATAATGGCAAACTTGGACTTGGCCAGTTCCTCTGCTTCTTTGTCGTCATCAGAATCGGCACATGTTGGAAGCGGTTCAGAGAGTAGCCCCAGCGGCAAGGAGAGTTCCTTGGTTTCAATAATCTGGATCCGTCCTTCTCTGTCCCAGGGTACCTCTCTAATTTCTTGCACTGCTTCTGCCATAAAGTCCCTTCTCACGATCGTAGCAACACCATAGACCTTGCCTCCAAATCCCTTGGCGTTATAGGGGTCTGCTGGTAGGTTGAACTCGACTTTGTACTCGGGACCACCGTCGGAAAGTGATGCAGTGGTACTTTTCCCAGACTGCACCGGCTCGTAGTTAGACCCAATTGGATCATTCACAGCCTGGCGAATCGCTTCCATGGTCTTTGAATCACCCGGCTTGACTTTGACCTCTTGAAGACAGAAGATTTGAGGCCATCCATATCGTCCAAGAACTAATCGTAGAGACGCCGGCCCTTCTTTGGCAGGATCTTCTCTGTCGCCTTTGCTCCATCCTCCAGCCTCATCGTTCTCGCCATCACTCGTAACACTACCAGTGTCTCGCGGCCTTTTACGCTTGACTGTATTGGTTGCTGGTTTAAAGAACGATTTGATGCTTTTCTGGAGGTATGGCTGAACAAAGGGTTCTATCCCGTTGATATTCCAAGAAAATATGCGCAATGCGCCTGGTGTCGGTGGGCTGATGGGCGTAAAGTCTGTAGTCGGGATCTCGGCTTTATCCACCGGCTGTGTAAGCCTCTGTCTTTTGAGAGGCGGAGGAGAGATGTATTCTTTCATGTTTCAAAGTTTGTGTTTGCTGTTATGAGCTCTAACCATCGAGTCGATACATGGATTGAACCAATAGTGTGGCCCGTGTATTGACGTCATACAAATTTATACTCTCGAAATATCAATTTCGGGATTCATTTGACTTCAGAGGTTGTAGTTTTTCTAGTTTCCTAGGAGCGTCGTGTTTTTATTCCTTACAGGCCTGTAACATATTTTTGAGATTTGGTCAAACATTGCAGTTTATTCAATATGTATCGTCACTGTCGACAGTGGCCATATCCAGAGTAGGCAGAATAGCACTTGATACCATGACTTTAGTCAAGATAGTCTTTTACCTTGTTATAATCACTATTTGCTTTTCCTGACTATATAATCTCACTACATATCATATAGAAAGAAATCAACAAAATTGGAATGAATACCGGGATAAATCCGAACAAAGAGAGGAGCTCCGCCGGATGCTTGCCGTAGCGTCAGGATCCATCTGCCGGCTAAGGCGGGGAGATCCGAACGCCCGGCAACGCTGTGGGGTCAACCGATGGCGCAAGAGACTGGGTTTATGCAAAAAGTCCAGAGGGCGCGTCTCAGTCTCATCAGAGTTTGTATCACAAGGTTCTGCGCTGATTTGACTTGTCTTTGCTCTTACCACCTCGAAACCTGTATCCTTCCCAATACTATGCCTTCTTTCTCGGTAAGTGATCCCCCGACACCAAAGTCCCCGGATTTAAGAGTCTCACCAGCCCGGAAATAGCGTCTCGTTCGCTTCCTCGCCAAGGACGGCAAGGTATACTATGGCGATGCCATTCTACCACGCGGCGTGACGGATATCGCAAAGACCAAGCAGGCGCGCATTCTGACGGGCGACATTTTTGGCAAACATGAAGTGACGGACCAGGTAGCCGACGTTCGGCTGCTGCTGGCGCCTCTGGCTCTCAAAGACGTCAAGACGGTCAGATGCTTGGGATTAAACTATGAGCAGCATGCTCACGAGGTAAGACATCATATCAGTTGGACGAACCATAGTGCTGAACAGATGTAGTCGAAAATGCCCATTCCCAAGTATCCTATTCTATTCGTAAGTATCAACCAACCTCGAAGATTCGACACGTACTCATTTCAATAGTACAAGCCAGTCACCTCGCTCGCAGGTCCTACCGACCCGATTCCTGTCCACAAGGTAGCTCAGGAACAGCCTGGTCTGGATTACGAGTGTGAACTGGTGGCCATCATTGGCAAGCGCTGCTCGGACGTGTCCGAATCCGAGGCTCTCAACTACGTCCTCGGCTACGCCATTGGCAACGATGTATCGCACCGTGACTGGCAAATCCAGCGCGGAGGCGGTCAGTGGTCTCTCGGCAAGGGCTTTGACGGCTGGGCTCCTTACGGCCCGGGTATCGTGTCGAGCGACATGATCAAGGATCCTCAGACCTTGAGAATCTCTACAAAGCTCAACGGCAAGACGGTCCAGGTAGGTTTTTTACGAGTTGAAAAAGAATGTGTGCTGATATAATTATAGGACTCTACCACTGCCGACCAAATTTTCAATGTCAAGCAGACCATTAGCTTCCTCAGTAAGGGAACTACTTTGCTTCCCGGTGACCTCATTTTCACCGGAACGCCTTCTGGGGTTGGCATGGGCCGTGACCCCAAGTTATGGCTCAAGGATGGTGACGTCGTTGAAGTTTCCCTTGAAGGTGTCGGATCGTGTATCAACAAGGTCGAGTTCTCCAAGGCAGAGACTGCCAAGTTGTAAGATGGTTTGTAGTATACATGGAAATTGTAGGCTTAGTTTTACGAGTCGAATGAATCCTTTTTGATGAAACGTGCAAGATACGATAACTAGGCCATTTCGGATCCGAAACTACTAGGTAGGAACCCCATTGCAGGGAGTATGCCTACCATGATCAACCTCAAATCCATGACCTGCGCCTCGGTATACCAAATAGTTATCCTTCATCATCTCCATACTAAATGAAGAAATGTGCATTTCTAGAAAAGCGTCTAGAAAATACAGATCATCGCTCGCTTGCTTGCCAAGGCACACCCATCCTTAGCTTTGCGGCTTATACTACAAGGGCCGTCTATTCCCGCCTTTGATTGGTGCATATCTCGCTAAACGCTGTCCTGCCCCAAGCTTTTTCCAGGGGCTGTAGCTGTCAGGCGTATCCATCTTGCCGAATGCAGGTAACTTTTTAGTCTCACCATCAGCCGCAGCACCTTAATCTGCCCTGTAGTAGATTGGAGGTGTCATGATTGTCCTTCTCTGCCCGCCATCCTGAATCAAGAGGCACAGTCACTGCTCCACATGGCTTCGGTCGACGGAAACGGCTTCGTGGCGTTTTAATCCAGGGAGTCGTGACTGATTAGGTGTGCCGGACTGCCGCCATGCCGTTTAGACACCCTATTCTCAAGAATCAGCCTTGAAGTGGGCATTTTGCCTGGTATAGTGCCCATTTGGGCGAGTCCTAGGTAGGTTCAAAGGCTGATTTCCCCGCGTTGGATCAGAGTGGTCAGTGGTAGGCACTCGGTGTTCATGTGGCGCGATTCCATTCGGACTTGACACATTCAGCCTCTAATATTTCCCTCATGTGGATTATTTCCGAAATGCAAAGCCGTTGTCATTGTATCGAGGGTGTAGAGGATCCTTGATGCCAAGCAGCTGAGCCTAAAATGTAGCAAGGTGGATTCAAGACATGTCTCTTTATTATACATACGTTGCCCGGTTCTTTTAGGACTTTTTTCAACTCCTGATTCAATCGTTTTGTAATCATATCAAAGATGCCGCAAATATCTATAGGAGCGTCCGAGGAGCAGGCCCTTGCATACATGACGGGGGGACTCGTCAACGAAGCCACAATATGGCAGGGCGACGAAACCATCATGTCGAATTACAAGGGCAAGGGCAAAGAGATTCAGACGCCAAGTATTGTGCTACACTCGGAAATTCCCAGCCCAAAGGATTCGGCAGTCGACCTTGGGGGAGATGACGAGGGCGACGTGAATGTCAGTGTCGACTATACGGAGTACGAACCACCGGCCGGTTTAAGCCAGATTGAAAACACGGATTCCGAGGTTATTGTACAAATCGTACATGAATCGATCGAAAAGGTCAAGACAAGGATAGTAGAGGACAAAGAGAGGCGACTTGAAGATGCTCGCGAGGCCGAAAGGTTGGCACAACAATTTGAAGCCGAGGATGCCAAGGAGGCAGAAAAGCCTCTGGCGACAGAGAACGAACAACATGGATTTCAAAGAGCTCCATCGATTCCCAAGTATTACCGAGCTGACCCTATTGGTTTTTTTGGTGCCAAAATGATCATCGACGAACATGGTCTCTTGCGTCCAGCACCAGCGTCCAAGTCGAAGCAGTGGGGGCTCAAAGGACTCCTAAAGAGATTCAATAACAATTCGAGAGGAGAGTCGAGTGCACAAGGAGCCGCTCGGAATAGTCGAGATATGGTCACCCCCGACGCCAATCGAGCCTTTTTAGAAAAGAGCAAGTCTGCTGTCGATGCAGTCTTGCAAAAAGTGAGCAATACTGCTCCAGAAACTCCAGTGCCCTCGGAAACTATAGAAGTGTAAGTTTATTCAGACCGTCTCCATTGATTGTCAACTAACAAAGTCAGCGAATGCGTATCCTGTCTCGAAGATTATAACCCCAAAGAAATGATCAAAGTAACATGCCATAGTTACTGTACCGACTGTTTCCACCGCCTAATCAAGGCTGCCTGTGAAAATGAACAGCAGTGGCCACCAAAATGCTGTCTAAACCCCATTCCCGAAGCAACCGTCCGCACCGGCATCGACACGGACGCCGAGCTTCGGACTTTGTACAAGGCCAGAAGCACCGAGTGGTCCGTCCCCATTGCCGATCGCGTCTTTTGCAGCAACCGGGAATGCGGCATCTTCATCCAGCCACGCCACGTGGACCGATCCCAGGACGTCGCCCGGTGCAGCAGCGGGCACTGGACGTGCATCCTCTGCCGGGCGCCGCGCCACGGCGACGAGCCCTGCCCCCAGGACCGCGAGCTCCAGCGCACCGAAGAGCTGGCCGAGTCCGAAGGCTGGAAGCGGTGCCACCGGTGCCGGGCCCTCGTCGAACACCGCGAGGCCTGTCAGCACATGACGTGTCGATGCGGCGCCCAGTTTTGCTACGTCTGCGGCGCGCCCTGGCGTACCTGTGGGTGTACCGAGGGCCAGCTGCGGCAGATTAAGCAAGACGCCCAGACGCGGCGGCTCGAAAGAGATGCCCAGACCCGACGGGAAGAGGCCGATCTGGCCGAGGCCCTGCGACAGATTGAAGAGTTTGAAAAGGAAGAAGCCATCAAGGCGCACCTATTAATGATTGAACGCGAGTACCAAGAAAAGCAACAACGGGAAAAGGAAGCCCGGGAACGACTACGCCTGGAGGGCGAGAGACGCAAGGCCGTCGAGTCCAAGTTCCAGGAGCTGCGTTGGGAACTGCTGGAGCTGCACATGCGCCAGCGGGTCGAGGTGGAGCGTGAACATGGAAAGGAGGAAAACCTCATCAAGTACGAAATCGAAGACTCTACAACAAGACTCCGAGATGCAAACCACGTCCAGCGCGAAGCTGCCGCCAAAGAAGCCAGGAACGATTTCGAAGAATTCAGGGCAGCGCTTAAAACGGAATATAATGCTCGAGTCAAGTACGAGACGCAGCTGGAGACGCAGTACCAAGAACAGCTGCAAGTATACTGGGCCAACCAAGAAGGTGGCCAGGAACAAATCGAGACGGCTCTGCTGGACGTCAGACGACGAATGGACAAGGGGCACCGGGCTTACTGTCGATGGTTGCAATCAGAAATCGACGCCAAACGTTCCCTCATTCGACAAGAGCAATCTATTCAAGCAAGTTTCATGGAAACAGCCGAGAGACAATTGTCCGAAAACAACAGAGAAAAACAACAAATCTTTACACGGAAAAAGACTGCCGAACTCAAATGGGTTGATCTTGTATTCCAGGAACGGCACGACATGCTGGACACTATGGAAGCCACCGAGGTGGACGATGGGGATGACATTTATGAATTGCTTTCTGAATTCAGCTTGGAAGATGAAATGGACGATGATTTGCAGGAATACTTTGAAGCAGCGACAACGATAGTGGCATAGACTCATGTACAACAAATAAAAATGCAGATGGATGATGAAATTGTCGCTTTCTATAGCGTGAGTTTATATATACATGGTCTTGGTGAGCCTCATGACTCGGGTATATGCCTCTTCTTATTGTCTCTTCTTCTTTGACGCAGCCGAATCCTTGGCTGACAATATCTGGCTCTCATGAATCAACTTGTACAGGCACCATATATAACAAAGGGCAAATCCCGTCACACCGACACCAACATTGGCCACGACCCACAAATCAGGCTTGTCGACGGGAGGTGCAACATATAGTTCAAGTACGTGCCAAGCACCCATGGTCAGATAAAAGGCCCAGTGGATCAGCGCAGTGGCCCATTGCACCCAAGCATATTGACCTGCTTCAAAGTAGGCGCTTAGCGAGGTAGGTGGCAGACCCAAGAGGTAGGCCCATAGACCGGTGAGAACAGCATACGGGATACGGAGGTCGACACGTTGGAGAAGGGGAAACATTGTCCAAGCACCAAGAATGTTGGCAAACCCGACCCAAGCACGTATCTCTTTGCCCAGACCCTGCTTGCCAGCCAGGAGAACAGTCATGGGCAGCAGGGGAAGCAGGACGCTCTTTTCATGGACCTGGTAGCTGAACAAGAAAAAGCTCCAAGCTGTGACGGCAAAAGCATACGGCAAAAGTTCCTTGCGTGGTCGAAAGAACAGAACCAAGTTTGCAGGCGCCAATGCGAGGAGTGTGGCCGCCAGAGAGGCTTGCTGAAGGAGGGCAGTCGGGTACTTGCGCAGCTTGATCACGACATTTGCCGCGCACCAAAAGTTGGCAACCTTGTCCTCGAATAGGCCACGCGCAAAGGGAAAGACTCGGTGAACCATTTGAACCAGTTGCGCGACAACAGGGTAGTAAGCAGCCTTCTTGTCAAGGTATCCCTCGATTTGTGTAAAAATGGGAAGAGGCCGAGGACCATCGACACCCGGCTGAGAGTCAATGCCACGCTGAGCATCGTACAAGGCTCCAATGACAATGGGCAGAATCAATACTGCAAAAGAGACGGCAGTAACTCCGGCAATGACAATGAAGCGTGACGGGTTGATTCGAGGAAAGATGCAGCTTCCCAGGAGAAAGGAAAAGACGGCCGGCGCAAAGTATAGTGCCATTTGCTTGAATCCCAGAGCTGCCACGAAAAAGATGGAAGCCCACATGTAACGACCGGCAATCATGCTCGACATGCTAGCAAGGACGAATCCAAGCATGACGGTATTGTACTGAAAGTGGGTGTGATCAATCAGAATCGTGCCAGGTTGCAAAAGAATTGCGACCAAGGCCACCCAGCTTGTCCATTGCGCGACACCAAACAGTCTGCTGTATCTTCGCACAAAAACGACGACGGCCGGAATGTAGATGAGGTATTCCGAAATAATGACAGTGGCCCTCATGAAAATCTTGAGAGTCGGATCCTCGGAGCCTCGCGACGTGTACAGGGCAAACCACGAAGGATCAATCAAAGCCCCTATCTTGCCGAGCGCCCAGCTGTGGTATGCGGTCAAGGGGGGATAGTCCAGTCCCCACCACTCGAGATCGTGAAAGTACCACTGGGAGATTGGTAATTGAGTTGTTATCTCCATCCAGTGTCGTTGCGCTTCGTAATCGCCAAACATGGGAGGTTTCTGGAAGCCTGGACAGGTCAGACTCGACTAGATACTACAAACTCGAGGAAACTTACCAGAATACCCCCAAAGACCCGAAGCCCATCTAAACAGCCCAACGACCATGAGAATCAGCGGCAATACCTCCCATTCCGAAAACGAGCTACGTGCGGGCCAGAGGAAAGCGGCGAGAGGAAAGGAAGGCGTCCGGACGAGTGCGCCTGGCTTGGTCGAAGGGTCAAAGGTTACACCTGGCTTCTTCGACTTGCGCCGGGGTTTGTGAGATGCTGGCGACGCAGAGGCCATGATGGCCAATTGATTAAAACGATTGCTGGTCAAGAACCTTCATCAAAGTCTCGTCGTATAGGGCGTCGCAGTAAAGGAGTGAGGTCGTGAAATGATGTTTGTTCTGCGACTGCGTAACCAAAGTTCGGGACAGGGTTTCCAAAGAAGGTATGATGAGACAGAAGGAGACGCATTAAGCTCCGATCCGCTGCCAGGGTCCAGCTTGTGGCTAGTGAGCCGCTACTTGGCGTGGCACTTGGCCATTCTACCAGTGGTTATCCAACCAGCTTAGGTTTCCGCTCTGTTTAGCGCTCGACGGTTCACCCTTCAAGGCCCGTGAAATCAGATCGCGGACAGTGATTAGGTCGAGCACGTTTGGTGACAAGACATGCCAAGCAATTCTGGGCAATGCCAGATCATCAGCATGATCTGGCATCTCGGAGACGGCTTCATGATCATGACTTTTCTCTCAACGATATCACCATCATTCCATTCTCATAATGCCGTATCCTTTTAGGCTTCCGACTACTTCATACTTTGCCTTTTCGTCCAGCTTTGGCTGTGAATCTCACCCGTCTCTGCCCCTCAACGCCAGCACTCACCGCGGGGTAGTAAGAGATACACTCAAGAAGCACAAGCGGCTGCCGCCCACCTCACAGCCCCCCAATCTGCCGACCGTGGTCGCAAGCATCAACAACTATCTGCCATATCTCTTTACCTTGGATGCAGCTCTCAGGCAGCAACCTGTCCAAAAGGAAATCATCAATGCCATCCCAACGGCTACGCCAGCCATCCAGTGGAGACCGACGCTGTCTGATAATGCAGTGACGCGCAAAGAGCTGGCCAGAGTCAAGATACAGTCTTTGGAATATGAACTCTACTTTACCCTGTCTACACTGGCCTATGCATACACCAACCTGGCACGTGCTGCCCTTTATCCCCTGTATGTGACGTCTGGGGCGCCAGTCGGTTCCGAGGCACGTACTACTGCTATTCAAAATGCAACCAAGCATCTTCTCGATGCCGCGTCTGTACATGAATTCACAGCTCAGCGAGCCCAGGGTATGGTCACCAATCCCCCATGTGCAGACATTTCAGCGTCCACCACAAAAGGTCTGGCTTCTCTGGCGCTGGCCGAGGCTACACTGTTGGCCGTCCTCAAAGACGATCCATGGCCAGCGGTAGTTGCACAAGACCGAAACAAGAACGACCGTGAATGGATGTACAAGGCACCAGAGATTCCCAAGGTCAGGACACTATTATTTGCACGGTTGTGTTTGGCCGCGTCGGACCACGCTGCCACAGCATCTGCTCTTTGCAAGGACTCGTCCAAGGGCGCTTTAAAGTTGAACGATCCCTTGGTCCGCTACATTAATGACCTGCAAAAGACGGCTCGCGCCAAAGCATGTCGCTTCTTTGGAATCGACGCCGAAACGTCTGGAAAAATAGGAGATGCCTTGGGATGGGTCGAGGCAGGTCTGCAAGAACTGGGCATTGAGCCGCCCAAGGATCCCAAGAAAGGCCTCAGTCTAACAAAAATGAAAAAGGCTTGGACCGACAAGAGAGAAGATGAAAAGGTTGAAAAGGCGACGGGCTGGGGATCAGATGGTGGCAGACTGGAGGAATCTCGTGTTCTTGAAATGCTTCACCAGAAATGGACCAAGGTCAATGACACGGTAGGTGATCTTGCATCCAGTGCATCTATCTAATGACTGACTTTTTAGATGATGACACAATCCATCCCAGCACCAGGTACATTACTTGGCACTATGCCCTCTGGCCGAGAGATTCATTCCATCAAGCCATATGTCGCACCTGAACTCGGCAAACAGACTATAGAAGCTATGCGCGCGCCTCCTGATCGATCAGACGACTACAATGGAGATGGATCTAGTTCAGACGATGAGTATACAATAGCAGTAGAGCCTGCAATGGGATCAGTCCCCGATCACCGAAGCTCAAGCACAAGGTCATATTTTTAGCCGTGGCGGAATGGAACCGCTTGTTTTTAGAAAAAGATATTCAGTCAATGCCGGCAACGGTGAACCGAGATTACCTAGACTTCCAGAACGGTCGAAATGAAGAACGCGTGTTCATCTTGGTATAATACTACCTCGATACATGGCGGTGTATTAACAAGCCGCAATGTAACCTGGAATAAAGACCCTGAGACCCTGGAAAATAAATTCCCGTCTCCGCCATCTGCAAGTAGAGGTGACTACTACTCAATCTTGTTGATAGCAAGATGGACTCATCCTTCCCCTGCATATCAGTGTAATTCGATTGACATGATAGGCCAGTTTTCAAGTTCTGGCATAGAAACAAGCAAAAGTGTCATGTTGATCAACTTCTATTCCGAGTCAAGAATGTCTGTGGCTTGCATATTCTCCGTCTTCTCCAACTCGTCCTCGGGGTCCAAGCAAGGCACAGCAAATACTAAACCAGGATTATACAGATCAGGCAGGCGATAGAAATGCAGAACCGGCAAAATGACAAGACTTTCCGACCAGGCGGACCAGTCATATTCGTCCATGTTTAAGCATACATTTTCGTGGGGTAATGACTAGACCCAAGCGCGCAACCAGCATGTTTATACACGTAACGGACGGTCCCTATGGCCTCGGATGTCGGAAAGGCTCTCTCTTATTGAATGGTTTATAGTCTTATTCTTGTGGCGCTCTGAACCTGGTCTTGATCAATAGTCTCCTGGTTACATTGCATTGATCAATATGTCGAGGGTCATATGTTGTATATAAACCAAGAGGATTCTTTACTTGTCCAGATGAGTAGTTGACTGGCAGCCGTGGTTTCTTTCAGACAGTATCTTGCTTTCACATTCTACAATATGGTTTCTCTCACTCAACGAGCCATCCTGCTTCTTGCAGCATGCTCCGTGGTCTCGGCACGACCTCGGGGCCAGATGAAGCGGGATATCACTGAAAACTGCACTGATATCAAGTATCGTGTTCCATGGTATGTACTGTAACACCGTCACTCGATATCTATTGACTCTTTCTAGGACATCCCTTACGGATGATGAAAAGTCTTCATACATTGCTGCGGACCTCTGCCTGATCAACTCTCCTTCCAAGGCTGGCATTCCCGGTGCCGAAACTCGATGGGATGACCTTCACTGGCCTCACGTCTATCAGACCATATGGGTCCATGGGGTTGTACGTTGAACAACGACTCTTGCTATCATGCACATGTATTGATCCTAATAGGGCGCTTTCCTTCCCTTTCACCGGTACTACATGACTGTCCACGAGAACCTCATCCGTGACGAGTGTGGCTACACTGGCCGCATGCCCTACTGGGACGAATTGGCCGATATCAACTCGGTCATTGCCAATCTCGACATGTTCAAGGATGAGTACTTTGGCTCCAATGGTGCGGGTGCGGATCGCTGTATCGGCAGCGGCTCTTTTGTCAACATGACGCTTGCATTTGCCAACAACGACGCCGATGAGAATGGTCGCCACTGTGTTTGGCGCAATTTCAGCGAGACCAAGCTTCAGCAAGCTGCACAGGCCAACATTGATGAGTGCATGGCCATTGGCAACTATACGAGTGCATGGAGCGTGAGTATCTATCCTGAACATGTACTGTAAACCATATGTTTACTGATGAATCATTAGTGCTGGGCAAACAAGCCTCACGGCGCCGGACATGGTGGTATTGGCGGACTGGTGAGTAACCCCGTGTGTGTATAGCCTCACCCTCTAACCCTCACCCTCTAGATGGGCGATCCAACATATTCTCCCGGAGACCCGGGCTTTTTCCTACATCATACGTACCTCGACAAGCTATTCTGGGAGTGGCAAAAGGCCGACTATCCAGCTCGCCTGACGGACATGGGCGGACCAAACATTCCCAGCGGAACGCGACCAAACTCGCCCAACTACCCGCCCGCCAATGTCACCGACTACTTCAACGACGGCGGCAGCACAACCACGCTCGAGCACACCCTCTGGATGATGGACATTGCGCCCAATGTGACGATAGCAGATGTGATGAATTTGAATGGACCAACCATTTGCGCCGAGTACCTTGACGAGTAGAAAGGGCAGGTGTAGTTGGTGAGGTCTTTAACAGATTTGTTCAATTTGACAGCAGTCATCATTTTGGGAGAATATAGTCGAGTGTGAATATTCAAGGCCCCTTCGTATTGGGAAGTGAGATGTTTCGCGCTGAAATTAATAGTCGAATATATCGTGGACCCACACGGCGATCACTCACTCGAGAAATCTCTGGTCATGATGAGATTGACTAAAGACAATGTCAACAAGCAACGGCCACTGCTGCATAATGGAGTAGGTTTATTACATGAATAGAGCCATCATCTGCTACTTTATGCATCCATCCAGCCCAAGTCTAGGTGATTATAATAAATGTGCGGGTCCATGTGAAGATTGAAAAAGGAAACTTGCCAATCAAGTAGACAAGATGAAATGCAAGTCGGCTATAATACGGAGGCAGTTTATTGTCAACCGCCCCAGTGATTACCTCCAAAGCTGTGTGTCCCTGATAAATGCAGGCTGACGATTCTGGTTGCGTTAAAAGACACGGAATACAATGAGGCAGTGTACAACGTCATGATCCATCCACAGCCTCGGAACGGCTATACAAGTATAGCGCAATCCTTTTGCAGATCGAATGTGGTCAGAGGAAGAAAACCTAGTGGATTCAGGGTCTTTGTTGAGATGAAGACGTCACTGTGCCTAGTCCTCATGGATCAATTCAAGTTGGCAGAACAAGTCTATAGGATTCAGGGTCTTGTAGCAACACCTACGTGAATTCTTCAACATTCAACAAACAAACAATGATGGAATGAACCGTTGCATGTCAGCAAAGTGGCCTCTACTTGGGGCCTGCTATTTATGGAGTGGTACAAGCAGGTGACTAGAGGCCACGCCGCAATGCCAAGCCAAGGTCCGTATCCGTAGTTCCCGAGCTTAATTGATCTTGTGGAGCAATCGAGGGCGGCTCTCGAGAGGCTGTGGCTGTTTCCTTCTTTGTTTCTTGTAGTTTTCCTTGTGTATTTGTTCCTTTTACCGGGACTTGTAGCGGGGACATGGCTACATTCCTCTTATTCATTCACTCACTTTGCGGGTATTCTAGATACCTATATTGTCTAGAGTGGCTCTGTTCATCTCCAGCCTCTCCTGGTGCCCCTCTGTGACCACGGAGCTACCGAAGCCGTTCATAACGTCAGCGTGAAAAAAGGTACCCAAAACTTACCTAGGGGTAGAATGATGAGACTTGAGAGAAAACGCACAAAGCAAAAAGGGATCAATTCACACTACTCACGGTCCAACAACCTGCGACGTATTCTAGGGAGTATTGTAGTACTGAACAGAAGAGGAAAAAAACGATGAAACACTTTTAACCCTCGAGCACCTTCCCTGGTGGCCAATAGCGCGGTCGGAACTATGACCATCACGGGGGATTTTCCCTTGTATCGTACCTAGGTAGGCAGGGTAAACTCACCAAGCTCGAGCTAGTAGTGGTTCCAGAGGGGTCAAGGTACATGGGCTGCCCGAGTCTAGGTACCTTTTAGTGTCTACACCACCTGCATATCTGATGAATGATCCCGTGCAATTGAGGACACGGTTTCTAGCCAGCCCACACAAAGCTTGACCATTACCTTTACCTCGCCCGTGAATGCAACGACAGCCCACTGGTCTTGACTCTATAACTTCTCTCCCACGGATGCGATTCCGCCCTTTTCTGTTGGATTTTCCTTCTTTTTCACTTTTTTCCTCCACCGATTGACATTTGTTGCCAGCCTGAGCGCATCAATTGTCCGTCGCACACCTCGTTGCACTGACATAGCTACATAGCAGCAGCAGCTTACCCCGAGCTCCCACCTACTTGAGCCAACCGACAAACCTGCCACCTGTTCGAAGCCGCTCCAGCAGGTCTGTCGCCGAGACGATATACACAAGTCACCGAGTAGACTCTATTCATCAACAATTATATTCAGCCATGGCCCAGATTCGAGGCACCGCCAACTACCACCTCGGCGGCACGCAGCCAGCATTCGGCGGCTCGTCGAGAGATGGTGGCTCAGACCCGAGTCCCCTCGACACCATTAGGGAGCAAACTTCCAAGATTGAAGATCTTCTCGACACATGGAGCGAGCCCATCAAGCCGTATGTTCGAGTCTGATGGCGTGGCGGGTATCTGGATCTTGGAGGCAACACTGCATTCCAGAGCCAGTTTCAGTCAGCGCAATGGCTAATCTGTTCTCTCTAGATACCTCCCAGCCCTCGGTCGCTTTCTGATTGTGGTCACTTTCCTCGAGGACGCGCTACGAATCCTCACACAATGGAGTGACCAACTTTTGTATCTGCACGACTACAGACACTGTAGGTTACCAATATGCGCTTCAGCTTACGCGGGCAACTGACCCGAATAGTCCCGACCGGGTTGAACCACATTTTCCTCCTCACCAATGTTGTCGCCATGGTGTCTGGGTCATTCCTCGTGATTACCCGCCGCTACTCCGACTATGCGGTCGCCGGTCTCATGGGCGTTGTGGTCGTCCAGGCCCTCGGCTACGGTTTAATCTTTGATCTCAACTTTTTCCTCCGCAACCTGTCCGTCATTGGTGGACTCTTGATGGTGCTCTCCGACTCTTGGGTTAGAAAGACCAAGGCCTTTGCTGGACTGCCCTCCATTGACGAAAAGGACCGCAAGATGTACTTTCAGCTGGCAGGCCGTGTTTTGCTCATCTTTCTGTTCATTGGCTTTGTCTGGAGCGGTGACTGGTCTCTCTGGAGAATTGTCGTCTCGCTCGTTGGTCTGCTCGCTTGCGTCATGGTGGTTGTCGGTTTCAAGGCCAAGTTTAGCGCCACTCTTCTGGTCCTCATTCTGAGTGTTTTCAACGTCTTGGTCAACAACTTTTGGACTGTACGTACAACATCACCCATATCAAGGACAAGGCTAACTTTTACAGCTCCACGAGCACCACCCCCACAAGGACTTTGCCAAGTACGACTTTTTCCAGATCCTGTCCATTGTCGGTGGCTTGCTTCTCCTTGTCAACAGCGGCCCCGGACAGTTTAGCATTGACGAGAAGAAAAAGGTCTACTAGAGTGTTGAGAATTTCAGGATCACGGAAACACTGTAGGCTAGTACCACATTTCAAAGGCATCAGATCATTTCTGGTCTGCCAAACACGCATCACTTTGGCGCATAAGGAATGAAGTGGGTTTTTTCTCTGCAGTTAGCGCATGGGCTGAGACGGCGTAGCCGGGCCCAATCATTCAAATGGGTGTAAAAAAGAAAAACGGCTGTGTTTTAGGATTTTTGAACAGAATTATTTCTTGAGAATCACTCGTCTGTATAAAGTTGTTGAGTAATCATGTTCTCTATTACATGTCTATCTGATATCTAGGTCTCATGTCGGGAACGGGAAAGAAGATTCAGCCAGTCAAGTCGAGGACGGCTCACACGATAAACAGATGCAGCAGACGACCACTTGGTCTGTTGACCAAGTACACATGAACTGGACATGGTATTCAGTCGAACCTCTTCTGGATAAGCTCTGCCCAAGATTCACCTGCGCTTCAATGATTACCTCTACGTCTGTACACCGTGGTATGAAGAGGCACTCGGCTGTGATCCACTGGATAAAATTGCTCTGCCTCTTGCATTTCGTTGAGAACCCCACCCTGGTTTCCACGGAGAGTCAGCTTAATCGCCTCCCTCCAAAAAGCCCAACGGCTTTCGTGCAAGCCGCCGTCCCACTCGACAACAACGTTGTGCATTTCCCTCCGACTACCATGGCGATAATAATATTGGTGTCTTTCGTCTAGAGAATTGTAGCTGTATGTGTCACTCTGGATCCAGTCGCGGAGTTTCTTGGAGCAACTTGTCAGAATCTCCACGGCCGCGGCCAGGAGAGATTCCTCCAAGAAGACGCTTTCCGACTCGAGAGCCATTCTCAGAATGACTATGGCCGCCAGAGGCGAGGTGTAAAGCTGCAACATGTACAGTCGTGCGGCCATGTAGGCCATTCCGTGGAGGCGGTGACCGATTTGCTCTGAATGGCTCATGAGCATGACGTCCTCCTGACATAGAATGCTTCGTTCTAAGCGTGACAGTGTTAGTGGGCTTCATGCTCTGCCTTGACACTACGGCAACGCATTGCTCTTGGACAGGCTGGAAGAATAATCAGACAGACTTACCCAAGTCGGTATTGAAAGCCCGAGTGATTTGGGCGGAAAGATGATGAAGGTCGAGCGCCAATTGTTCAAAGAGGCATGCGTGCGTTCCTGGACGGTGCATACGCCCTCCGTCATGGATGATGAATTCCAACGCGGCCAAGAGGAAATCGTCGTCTATAGCCTCGTTAGCAATTATTTGGCTCAAGAAGCTGTTACCAGAAAGCCAATTGCACTGTACCATTTCTGTCTGCCTCGCCTGAAGGAAAAACCAAGTAATTGATTATAGACGAGACGTCCCTTTCTGGGTAATTGTTACATTGCCAGCGTCTGATTTCCCACAGTGCCATGGCATATGAATCCACCTTGTATTCAGGCGCTTTTCGCATGACATTGGCAATGACGCCCGTGATGCAATCTTCACTGGCCGGTGGCAGGCTTTCGACAGTATCCTCGTCAATGCTGATGTGATACAAGATGTCGAATATATTGCCGTATTCTGGGTCATTGTATACAGACAGGGCTGCCTGAGCTGATGCTTGGGCCACGGGATGGTAGGGAGTGTAAGACATGATGGTTGTGAGTGCCAGGTCAGCAAGAGGCAATTCAGGAGTAGATGAGTACTGTGAAATACAATAGATGCTTGACATGGAGAAAGGGTTTTGCAAACAGGAGCTCACTCTGATTTATATATTAATGCACCTGGCGGTTACTAACTTTTATAGAACCGTGATTCACCTGAAAAGGTGGTTGCATAACGAATAGACGTTCGATTCACGAATATCAAGAGACATTGAGGATCTCCGTGAATTCGTTGTCTAGCAAGATGAAACAATGTACAGTGAATCACAATCAGTTGATTGAGTAAATACATGGCATAGTATAATACATTTGTATATAGAGGAGCATGAATCTGGAAACACAATGCTGATTCTTATCCTTATAGTCCTTAGGCCATCAGGGGACAGGTCAGTCATACACTACATCTTTCAAAAGTAACATTGACCAAAAGGAAAGACTATTCAATGGAACATGTATACATTGTGATAATTTCATACTTTATTAAAGCATCAAGGCGAGTCGTACTTAAGCGACGAAAACACACTCTAGCCAGTCCTGATGAAGATGGCTTCTATATGTTACCATGTCTTTCTACTGCGCTGCAACTCCCCCTCGTGTAGTATGCGTCTCTCGACCTTTGGTACCTGATCCTGGAGCACTGGCACAGAATCCTCTGCCCACTTGATTGTTCCCCAAACCTTTTTGATATCTCTTAGGTTCTGGCCTCCTTCTTCGCGGTGTATGCTGTCCCTTCCATGAGGTTCCGACGCCACCATGGCCTGGATGATGCGTGTCCAGTACGCCCAGCGACCTTCGTGAAGACCACCTGGTTTGCCGGGTAGAGGATCCAGCCGCGTAGTGTCGTCGCCGTGTCGATACCGGTGCTGGTCGAGCAGCGTCATTGAGTACTAGTCGAATGCGCCGCTGACAATGATTTGGCGGAGGGCCAGGGATTGGTTGTCCAGAATGAGCTTTGCAGACTCTACGTAGCCTCCTTCAACGGCAACCGTTGACTCGAGACCGATCCGGAGGACCACGATAAAGGCGTAGGGGGAGCTGTACAACTCTGCGTCCCACAGTTCCGAGGATGTTCGAGCGATACCATCAATATAGGTCTGCCAGTGACCCTCTGTATCTTGAGCAATCTCGGCCTCGTGAGCCAGCATTGTCCTGTCTATACATGACGCACACAAATCGTTAGTGTTTGGCTTCCAAAGAAAACGGTCCAGTACTCCAGAATATCCTGTGAGGCTGATGATACTTACCCAACAATCGGTCGAAAGCTGCATTGACCAAGGGCTTTGCCTCGATACACTGCACAACGATTTGTTGTATGACGTCGTTGCCAGCATCTGCAGCTTGCTTAAAGTTTGCTTGGTCATAGATGATGAACTCCAAGATGGTCTGGACGAAGCTGAATGCTACAATTGTTTAGCCGGCCACTCCCAAGTCTAGAGATGAGGAAAATTGGTTTCTTACGAGACGGCTCATTCAACTCTGGCTGCCCATCCTCGTCGTCGGGCCATTCGGCCTGAGGCCAGAGAATCGAATGGGCAAGGCTACCATACTCGCCATCGTCGGGGGTCTGGCCTATAAACCATTGTTGTTGGTAGTATCGAATGTTTGTCATCATTTCGCAGTAGGCCATCAGTCTTGGCTGGTCGTGTCTCACGCTGTGCATTTCCGTGCTAATCAGGCCGGTGATGGACCAGTCGTTGGGAAAATCGAGATCGTCGACCGTAATATGCTCATGTTGTGCTCCAATGGCCGCCACGACACCAAAAAAGTTGCCATAGATGGGTTCGTCGCAAGTTTCTTCAGTAACCCAAGCCTGACGTGCGATGCGATTCGGATCTGCCTTTCGAGCGTCGTAAATGTGGCGTGCGGCCCACGCCTGTTGATTATCATATTCTTGTTGAACTGAATATGTCCAGTCAGACTCGTACGGCAAGTCAGATTGGTATGTCGTCATCTGATTCTCCCATTGCTGTTGGGCCTGAAGTTCCTGCTGAGCTTCCTCTTGTTGTTGAGCCAGATATGCCTGCTGGGCCTCGTATGCCGCTTGAGCCTGGCGTCGCTCGTCGGCTACTTGGTGTTGACGAGAATGTCCGTGTCTAGGCATGATGAAAGTTAATCTCAAATACCGATGAAGCCAACTAAGAGGAGATTGCGTCGTAGCAGTGAAAGATGGCAGATGAGTATCATGAAAAGCCGAGTGAGTGGTTGTTGGTAAACAAGAAATGAACTCTGAACGTTTAGAGAACTCCATGTTCTTATACCTACTCGACAGGAGGTTACTCACTCATCAAATGACAGAAAAGCCAACTACAGAGGTGTTGTGACGAGGACATGTCGTTTACAGAGTGATCAAGAGACATGCTGTTTGCGAGTCTCATAGACTTTGTTATTCACTGACCAACCTCGACTCAAAGTCGAGAGACTGGCTTTAGGAGTATTACGCAGGGTTGTGTTATTATCTCTATTGTGTTTAGCGCAGTAGTCTATCAACCAGTATACAACATTAGGCTATAGACCTGTAACTCGGATGTAATTGAAGAGCACAAAGCATTCGTCATAAAGCTTCTGTGAGATCCGGCAGCATATAGAAGCAAATACCTCCTATAACTAACCCATAGACTTGTCGCTATCCAATTGGACTCGAACAACTTGCAACCAAGATTATGCTGCAATGGTGCTGTCACATGTGACTGTGAGTAACTCTTGACCATGAGATCACTAGCTCAGCTATCGACTCTTTTCGATTATCAAATCCATCTAGGTAGCATTCATACAAGTGAATCGGTAACGCAAAGTGCAACGAGCTCAATGACATTATACAAACAAAAGTCTCTGATATTATCATTCCTCTCATTCATGTACGTCCCGACAGTTTGGGTGACTCGAGCCCAAAAGTCTCCTGTACACAAAGTCACGACGCAAGGGCTACGGTTCAAAGATGTCATCCACACAGGGCTCATCCATGTAATCTTTACTGACTGACCAATTGCCAAACTGTTGGACCCTCGGGCCGAGATCAACACAGCCTTTTAAAAAGTTCCCAAGCATATAAACGTGTCATTCTGGTTGGTGTATTGGAAAGCCATTGAGATTTGTGCAGGCAAACATGAATTGACAGCAAAGCATGCATCGAAAGCCTTGACTGGTCGGTATAAGACTACGAGTCTTTTATCGATACCCACAAACTCCAAGGTCATTGCTTGTATAATGGCAACGTAATTTTACCATCTTCCGCGGCTATTCGATACCACCTGGGATGCACCTTTGCAGTTATATACCATCAAGCCATGATCGACAAGTAGTTCCACCTCGGCATCCAACAACCTTGTCAAGGACTAGGATCCTACAAAACGAACCAACAAATTGCAGCGTCATTTCTTTATCGGGGTTGGTTCCGGTCAAGGAACAAAAGTGCCGATTTGTTTGCGCAAAAGAGAGAAAAACTAAAAATGCCCCATGCCAATGGCCGACGAAACAGCACACACGAATCGAATACCCACAACGGCCTTGCAAGGTTCCAGAAGGACATATTTTGCAGGGGGACTTTTACACCCGTCGGGTGACACGAAAGTTTAAAAAAAAAGAGACATGGGTTTCACAGTCATGCAGGAATCCATTCCCCCGTACAACGTCAACCCCACACAGCCACTCTCGTAGGTACAAATTGGGAATGTATCTTGGATCCGAGTGTATTTCGTTTCTCAGGAATTCTACTTTTCTAGATTATTGGCTCCCTTGTATCTTTATATCAATGAAATTCAAGACTGAGATACTGTCAAGAAAGATTCTAAGATGGACAATTATATGGCGGCCCAGATTGGCAAACACGATTTACAGCATCAATCAACATTCTTCACCAGACTGCCAATAGAAATTCGGTTAGAGATCTACGAACATTTAAGCTCAGCGCCACAACATGTCGAAAAGTCGTGGGATATAGTCAATCGGCGGGCCTATTTGAAACGACGACTTCAACAGCAAGAGAATGATAAGAGTTTTTCAACATTACCACAACACACCTCGTCAAAGCCATCGTCATCATGTTTAGCCCCGGGACTATCTCTACTTTTAGTCTGTCGCCGCGCATACCTCGAGGCGGCAAACTCGATACAGCCGCGCAGTCTCGTGTTTACAGATCTAGACACCCTGTCAGCCTACCTCACATGGCCGAGCCCAACCCACGCACGCCGCCAAGTCCGCGAGCTCGAATGCTCCTGGCACGCCGAGGGCCCGGGAGCAGGCGGCATAGTCCCGGCCTGGAAAGCCGAGCGCTGGAACACTTGCTGCGACGCCTTGGCCGCGCTGCCCCGGGTTCGGCGGATCCGGGCGTGCATCTTTAGCTCGTCGGGCCGGTACCATGCCGAGGAAAAGACGGTCGCGGGGCTCCGGCGGTTGGCAGACGACGGCCGCGTGCGGGTGGATGTCAATGTCATAAGCGAGTCGGCGGCCATGAATGATTACCGGTTCATGACGGGGAGGAATTTGGCCATGTTTCTTCTCTTTGGATGAAGATGACGAGATGTAACATGTACGATTTAGCAAAGACGACAACGAAAAGATGGGTCAATATTTGAAGCAATAAAACAGAAAGACTCAAGCAGGCTTGGCCATTTCGACTATCGTAATGGCTCATAATTTTGGTTTAGTCACAATGTAATAATCAAAAGCTTCAAATCCATTGATTCTAGCAATGGCCTGAAATCTAGCTGTGAATCTAGAGACTTACACAGACCTTGAACCGTAAGACTGCAGCTGACAGCAGCTGCGGAAACAAGATCCCTTGTAACACGAGTATATCCGCGCAGACATCCAATCTAACCCCTTGTCTCACGATAACTGTCCAGAGTTTCCATGCTCTCAAAATCAAAGCAAAATTCACATTCTCTAATCCTACGAAGTAATATTCAAGCCGCGGAATAACCAACTCGGAATACATTAAAAGCTAGGAACACCAACCCCAATGGCAGAAGCCGTAGGCACGGCCCTGGCCGTCGTCGGCGTGCTGGGCCAAGTTTTCGACGGCTGCGTCAAGGCCTACTCGTACTTTAGCCGGGCGGCCTCGTTTGACGCCGACAGCCAGCGTCTCGTCTGCAAGGTCCGGATCGAGGAGACGCGGCTCGTCGTGTGGGGCCGCGAGTGGGGAGTCGCCGAGGGTCGTCTCGAAAAGCACCTCAGTCAGGTGGACATTGGGGGTGGCGGAGGCGGTGTTGGTAAGCTTGTGGATGGTGGTGGCTCGGGAGGGAGTGGTGGACTTTTGCGGAACATGGCGCTCGAGATATTGAATAATCTCCACGCCACTATTACCGATGTACAAAAGCTCAAGGGCAGGTATGGGCTCGTGGATGGGGACGAGAAAGATGGTGGAAAGAGGATGGAACCGTCAGCCCGGAGGTCGAGTAGTGATGTACGAAATGTCGGCGATAAAATGAAGGGCTTGACTATCAGAGCGAGATGGGTTGTTGCCGGTGAGTTGGTTATTATTCAATCCTTCTACAAGACGGCAAGACTGAGATTCACAGACAAGGACAAGTTTGATTCATTATTAGCAGACCTCAAACGTGAGTAGAGTTTATTCACATCCATCTTCTACACCAGCTTACTCGTACAGATTTCAATGATGGCCTGGAACAGTTATTTCCCGCCTCTCGAATACCAGGCGTACAACGGACTTGGGTTTTTGAAATGCTTCACGCAGCCAAGGACGTGGAACAGCTGAGCGTGCTGGAAAAGGCCTCGGATGAGACATATCCCAAGTTGAACGCATCCGCCAGCCTCAAGAAACTGCGCGTCAACCTCGACAGCACGCCCCAGCAGAAATTCCGGCCTACCTATGCGCTCAAGGTACAAAGGCATGCGCTGAAATTATCAGACACTGATACCAAAAGGAGCGAAGCCTTTCACGACCCCAAGGGCAACGTCATCATCGAATGGGTCGACTATGACAAGGAGGACCTTGATGGACGTGTCGTCCACATGCGCCGGCTCGACGACCTTGCTCGGATAATGCACCTGGCTGTAGACCGGCATCCGGATCTGCACACGATAGACTGTCTGGGCTACACGGACGATACCGCCATGAGCCGGTACGGACTCGTCTATCGGGCTCCGGAGCCATCGTACTCGACGCTGCACAAGCTCATATCTACCAACGAGTTCAAAACACCCGATCTCAATGACAGAATCCGACTGGCGCACACACTTTCGGTGGCGCTCTTGTCTCTGCATTCCCTCGATTGGCTGCACAAGTCACTGTGCTCCAATAACATCCTCTTCTTTCCCTCTCCCTTTTCGGCCTCGGCTACGAGAGCAACCGCGTCAGCAGCCTTGGTACCAGACATTTCGAATCCGTACCTCGTAGGCTTTGACGCTTCGCGGCCCGAGCTGGACACGGAAATGTCTGTAGCCCCCAAGAACCCTTCGATTCTCGACTTGCATCGGCATCCAAAATCACTCAGTGGACCGTCGCGCAGACCATACTGCAAGAGCTATGACCTCTATAGTCTGGGACTGGTTCTGCTAGAGATTGGAGACTGGAAGGTCCTGCAGACGTACTATCGACCGCACTACTCGGCCGAGCGCTGGCGGGACAAGATCATCTTGCCACAGCTTTTGCCGCGCCTGGGAGCCAAGGTTGGACGGCTGTACCGCGACCTTGTCGAAAAGTGTCTGACGGCCAAGGACGATATATCGAGCGAGGATGCCGCCCAACTCATGGAAGAAGTCGTAGCAACGTTGGAAAAAATCAACGTATAAAAGCATTGACCCGCCTGTTTCTGGATAGTTGTAATCACGATACCCTCTTGTATGACGCTTCAAGCAATGACTAGATTGTCAATGGACATTCTGGCCATTTGAATAATCTTTTGACATGTCGGGGTTTCACCATTCTTGTGAAATTTGAGCACAGATGCATTGGCACATTGGTCCCACTGGCCCGATTCAACCAGGGGATCAATGATGGCGTGTCGCGCCCTCGAGAGATTCTCCATCTGATTTACAATATCCTTGAGACCGAGATGGAAAGGATCGCCCGAGGAACTGCCAGGCCCCCTATCTTCACAAGCGCTGATGCCATAGACATCGACACGCATGAGGGCTCTCACGGTGAGTCGCCACATGACGGGCTCCATGGTCCGGTTGAGGGCCTGGGTGGAATCACAGCAGCCGTCGTTTAGGCCGCCCCAGACGCCACCATAGTTGTCGAGCGTAAAGACGATTTGGCGCCGCTCCGCCTGAGCCTTGGCCGTCTCTTGATCCACCATGTGAATGATGCGCTCATAGGCATGCACAATGCTGGGAATGAGCGTTGCCAACAACATCTGGAGCTGAAAGGTGTGAATCATTGGCGTGCTCTTTTCTGGCTCCATGGCGGAAGTTTGTAGGGTTCGGACGGAACAGCAAGGGCAATTGACTACCTGATATGCCGTCTTGGCCGCCAAACGGGCTTGTCTGACAGCCTCGGTCACGTCTTTTGGCAACTTTTGCATCGAGTCGAGCGACAGATATAGACTTGCTATACAAGCACAGTTGGTCGGTCCGAGAGAGGCGCTCTGGCCATCACTGGCGGCGGGAGAGCTCGATTGGGCAGACGACAGCCCTGGCACGCTTGCATCTGGTGTCGAGCCGGCAGTGAACAAGGCAGGGTCGATATTCGAAGGGGAGAAGGAAGGGGCATGCTCAGAGGTCGCATCAAAGTTCAACGTTCCAAAGTCGTTGCCAGTATAGCCAAACGTCCAGGGCTCCTTGTCCTGAGGTTGATTCGCCGCGTCCCCTGAAAAGATTGCATCGAAATCGACATCTCCTCCGGTAAGAAAGTTTATAAATGCAATTCCAGGATCTTGTGTATCGGGGGGCAGCTCCCGCATGGCTGTCTTGGGGGCCGACTCGGCTGTAGTGGTCGTCTCGCCGGCTTCATCTCTCGGTCGTTTACGTGGACGGCCCATTTGTTTCTGGGGGGAATAATGACATGTTATCCCCTCTCTTTTGCAACGACCGCAGCCGTCTGCCTCTTTGGTGCATGCCAGTTTCCGGGTGCCTACGAGACGAGTCCGTCGTCAGTCCGGAGCGAGATCCCGGGTATCTTGACCCACCGAGACTTACGGCATTCATCGCAGGCCCGATGCTTCGGTGCCCCTCCGTTTTGCTCCGGTGGCGACATGATTGGTGATTCTTTGGTATCGTGGTCAACTGGAGCGGCGTTGATCACGTAACAATCTCGGCCTTTTATTGTTATCGAAACCTATGAAAAGGTCAATCAATGTGGCATGACTGGTTCTAGGCATTCGTCGCACGTAGGGTCGATTCGTAAGCAGACTAGCCTAGAATGATATGTGCACACCTTGGTGGCTTTATTAGTGCTTATGTGTGACACATGTCCAAGTGACTCGGACTCAAGTGGCAGGAATGTGGCCTTGTCATTCCTCATTCGTCTTGGAAAATTCAAGATTGAAAACTGCCCAGCATTTTATTCAACAACAATCTAATTCATGATCTAGTCAACATTGAAATTATACATGCCCGTGTCTCACTTGAACAATCTTCGAGTCCTCGGGATACACGGTCAAGTCTTTGGCACAGGCTGTCCCCTTTTCAGCCTCTTTGAAGCTGATGGTTTTGGCATGGGTTGGTTGACTGCTAGTTGGGGATCAAATGCATCAATCGCCTTCAAGTCGGCCAGAAAACGTCGAATCCTCAACCCAGTCCTTTGACGCAAGAGACCATCATACAAATCGTCTGCTGCAGCCTTGACAGCAACCTGAAGTCCTTGCAACACAACTAGATCATCAATTGCTGCATCATCAGTGTCGAAAAACACATCCAAGTAATCGAGAACCGCATCTAGATCATCAGGAGAATTGCTGGAAGGTAATGGTTCCGCTTCTTCCATTTCGCCAATCTCTTGAATATGCATCTTCTCTTTTCCTTTAGCCGCGATTGACTGGTTTTCCGGCTTTGTTCCGTGCTGTAATGGTGGATATTCGAACCGCTTGGTATCCCTCTGATCGTTGACGTCGTACTCGGTCTGCTGAGTCGGTAGAGGCACGGCGACATTGTCTTTTTCCTGTTTCGCCATTCGGTTCTCTGTTCGAGCCAAAGGATACTGCCGCTGTAAATGAGACGTGTTCTGTCCAAAGGCCGTCCCAGTTTTGACCTCTTCCGTAGTTACTACAGCCTCGACAGGTTTCAATGGCTGTCCAGAGCCAATGTAGTTTCGACATGAATCTTGGGCGAGCAAGGGGTGATGCTTGTGACTTTTAGCTTTCGGAACTACTGGATTGCTTGGTCGTAAAGCCTGAGATTCTATCCGGCTCACTCGTTCCTGTGCCATATTGAGTGCACGTTCCAGTGATGATGCATTGCTCACTGCGTATTTCCAAGTATATGGAAGCTCTGGTGCCGGAGAAACCGGCTTGGGTCTCGGTTTGGGTTTTCTGATTCCTTGTGACTCATCCAGTCGTCGCTTGGGGGACTTTTTGGGCTCTTCTTCCACCCACGTAACGGGAGCCCCATGTACATGATGGATACGGTGATGGGGAGAATGGTGATGACGTTGAAAGAATGGGTGGTGGTGAGGTCTCGAGTCTAGATCTTGATCATGCCTGCTAGATCGCACACGAGGAAGTGAACCTCGTGCAAGCTCCTTTTCTGGACGAAACTGATTCTTGCGATCCGTCTTCTTTTCTTCTGCTCGAGTAGGCGGGTTCGAAGAGCCATTTATGAATTCGGCCATGTGCGATCGTACAACGTGAGGCCGGGATTTGGCTGGAGTCTGCGGGGCCACAGGATCGACAGATTTCAACTGTCTTGATTTCTGGGCTTCTTGCCGTGGACGAATTCCAGTAGTAACTGGCGGTGCCTTTTTTGGCTGTTCATTCTCTTTCCCAGTGAGCCTCCATTCACCTCGCCTTGTTTCGATCATGGTACCGACACGTCCCCTTGGCGTCGTATCAGGCTCCATCGTGCCATGTTTCCTTCTCAACCATGGAAGCATCTTTCTACCGCGTATGGGAGAGTCCTTGCCAACTGTTTGTCGTGCTTCCTTTCGAGCAGGAAGAGTTTCGTCTTTTGTAGAAATTGGATTTGGTTGCGGAAACTCGACTACCCATTGAGAGCTCGGTGTTGCAGAATCTGAAGAGTAATCATAGATGCCATCTATTCCTTCATGAGGTTCTTGGCCGCGGCAGTTTGAGGCGGCACACTTACCGTGTGATTGCTCGTATATCTGTTCTGGCGACTTGTTTCTCTGCTGATCTGCGGTCATAGCAAGTCCAGCAGCCTCGAATTCTTTCTTGTAGGGAAATAGTGGCTTGACGGTATGTAGGGAGTATTTCATGTCTGATTCAGTAGGAGTAGTGACCGGCAGCTTTCCAGTAGCGTCAGCAGCATCGGCGTATTTCTCCAGCTCTCTGGCAAAGTGGTCGAGTGCGCGACGTTGACTGCTTGTACGAGAAGGCACTTCTGGACGACGAATCACGCCAGCTTTCTTAGGTGACGCTTCGTTTGGCGCAATCAATGACAGGCGATTTTGCTGAGCCAAGGTTCTCTGTATGGCAGCCCACACATTAGGATCTGACAAGCCCATATCGTTTCCTTGGATCGGATCGTGGACGGTTATAGTCGCGGTCGTCGGCAACTTGTCGCTTCTCGGGGTGCCTCAAAGGAGACGCCGGTTCAGTATTCCCAGGAATCGCGGGACCATCCACCGCATCAGCATAGGCATACCCATCAAGTCTTTCGTTGTGATCATCATGTTTGTCTCGATATTCTCGTCTTTCTTCCTCGGGCACTTGCATAAGAGAACTGTCCCGCTTCCGAGAGACTGGTCTACCATATTGAGAAGGAAGACGTCGACTGACCCGGACACCACGATTCGACTGACTGATTCTCTTTTGTCGTAATCCTATACTGCTGCGAGATGAAGAAGGCGGAACACGGGGGGCATCTCGGGCAACCCTCTGGGGGCGAGTCAAATCGGGTCGGTCAAGAGGTAAAAGGTTGATCTTTGGTTGACGATGCGATTTTCCTTTCTAGGGTAATTTAAGTTGAGGCATCTCGTCTATTCCAAGAAAACAAAGGTCCAAAAAGGCAGTTGATAGATGCTTGAAAAATGTATTTGTAGCGGCCGATGATGAATCAAGAGGATCCTGAACATTGCCCTCATCTTGCAAAGCCGAGCCCTGAACGAGGTGAAGGGGCTAGCTCGGACTGCCGCCTTGTCGAGCCTTCCATTAGGCGCAAAAGACGTGATTTCCTTCTGACAGTCGTTGATGTCATGCCGACTGAACTGTCTGCCATGATCTCTTCTGATCGGTCATTTCTGATGATTTCGTGGCCACGTCGCGTGTCAACTGCCGCATTACCGGATATCTTTTATGCCAGGCGCAGAGTATAGCTCGAGTTGACGTTTTCCCTTTCGCAGGAGAAACTCTATGGCGGCGAAATCCCTCTTGTCAACTTGAATATTCTTATTAAACTCGGATCTATCAACGTGAGTCATTAATTGCTTGATTATCATGGGAAAATCAATTACCTCGCAAAGGACTGAAAGTGCGGCCGTGTTTGCTAAAGGCTGTCAGTGTCGGTCCCATTCTCTTCACATGAATGGATTACCTCTGGCTTTTTGCGACTTTCACGAAGGCATTGCCTGTAGAGGCCCAAGACCTCCTTTTGCAGCCCCGACAACCTCATTTTCAGGATAGTAGACTGAATTCTTTTCAATCAATCTCATGTCAGTTGGCTAACACATTGTCATGTTGCGATGCTACAAATCCAAGAATTCTCAAAATCAATGATGTTTGCATTCGGCATTTCTCGGGACGTGCTCTTCCGAGCCGGCGCAGCTGCGACCAGCTGCCCCTCCGCATGCCGAGGTATGAAATGCCTCCATACTCATCGCCAATGTTATTATTGGTCTCTGGCTTTGCTCCATTTGTCTATTCACCGATTTGTGAATTTCATGTATACATTAAACCAGACGGTTGTTCCATATACTTTTATCTTGTTCACACAAGCTGCAGAGAAATCACGAGTATCAGTACTCTCGCTCAGTTCATGCTGAAACAAATATATGGGCCTCTGATTGAAATAGTAATACGCTCTAGTCAGTAAATAATGGCAGTGCTCCATCACGACTGCATTGTATGTACAAAAGTCCAGGCACGTCGTGGAGTGAGTCAACGCTTCATGTGCTTCCATTATCGAGGGTATCTTAATGCTCTATCTAAATTATACCTCTATACGGGCTTAACCATAAAAATCTAGAATTGTTAGCATTTTAATCGATTCAAGGGTATAGGGTAGACCAACCTGCTGTAATGCTGCCATGTCTGCCATGGCCATGCGCTTGGAAGCGATATTGCGAGATCGCACCATGTGACGAGACAATGGCTGCGGAGTGGAAGTGCCAGTACCTGCTGGAGTAGAAGTTCCACTTGCGGTTGCTGAGACGGTGACGGTTGTGCTCGCTACTACCGTGTCCCCATCAGACTCTTGCTGCTTTCGCTTCTTCTTCTTTTCCTTCTTGGACACTTCTGCCGACTCATCACCTTGATCTTCGCTCTTGGCCTCTTTCCGCTTCTTTTTATCCTTCTTGTCCTTCTTTGACTTGGACTTGGTCTCTGCGCTGTCGTCTTCGGCATCGGCCTGTGCGTCCTTGGCTTTCTTTTCCTTCTTTTCCTTCTTCCTCCTCTTTCTCTCTGCATCTGAAGATTGGTCCTCGTCTACATTGTTAGCGGCCTCATCCTTTGACCGCTTCTTCTTCTTCTTTTTGCCCTCTGCACTGTCCGTCTCGGCATCAACAGAATCGTCGACATCTTCAGCTTTCCGCTTCTTTGACTTTTTCTCCTTCTTCTCGGGCTTGGATTCAGCCACCTCGTCACTGTCTTCTGCGCTGGACTCGGCCGTCTCGGACGACTTGTTTACCGCTTGCTGGTTCAGGAGCTCTGTAATCTGATCACCGACCAACAAACCACCCTTGACAAAACGCATGGGTCCAAACTTGCGCTCAACATAGAGACTCGTCTTGATTTCGGATCGGAAAGCCTGCTTCTTGGCAATCGACTCGTCGGATTCTCCATTCAAGCGTCCTAGGAGATCCTTGAATACATCGAGACCGGTACATTCGTCGCCTTGCTTCTGGCGTACCTTGGCACCCAGACCGAGGTTGTCGTCCTTGATGGTAATCTTGATGGGCGCGGAGCTCGCCTTGGAGTGCATGCTGGCGTGCGAAGCATCTTGGGCACCGAGATACTGGCCGGGCTGCCAGCCGTGAGCCCTCAGGATCTTTTGGCCAAAGGTCGTCTCATTTCGGCTCCATTTTGTGTTGTTTGGGTCTTGGTTTAGCTTTCGCTTGCTAGACAAGAGTCAGTCAGCGGGGACCATGAACGATGCAGGACAAGTATGCATTACTCTTTCTTTCCTGCGAGACCCATGATGTTCAACCGGTCTGTGGCACTACTTCTCTTTCCCCAACGGCGAAAGCAGAAAATGGCAGATACGAAAGGCAAAGGGCGTCCAAGTTGATGAGCCCCACCAGGAAATGCAGACGCTGGTCGCAAAGCGTTTTGGAAATTTTTGGCCGATAAGCGACAAGGGGAAGGCGGCACCCAGATTGTGACGGGCCCCACTGGCTCATGTGACCTGTAACGCCATTCTGTTACCACCACCTCTATGCCTACAGTTCTGGAAAACACTCGACAATTACTTGCCAACATCAGTTGTGATTTGTTTATTCAAGTTGACAATATTTCAAGTCAGAATAATCCATTGACTCAAACTTTGCCAAGTTTCCAATTCATCAAGTCTGTACTCGCCAATAGTTCCATCTCTCAACATGGCCCCCAAGAAGAAAGCAGTCACTCCCGAAGGCCATACCGATCGTGAATCTGATGGGCATTCTCTGCAAGTCACTCCACCTGGTGTAGAGACGATCACTACAGTAATTGTACGTCCCTTGCCCTTTTGCCCTCTACTTGTGTCATGATACCAACTTGAATTTCTAGGGACAGGTCCGAGAACGCCGCACCCAGATCCGACAAGACATTCGACGTGACTTTACCAACGATGTATCGCAATTCAAGACGCGAATCAACCAGCACTATGAGGCTCAGGAGACCAAGCGGTATGTCTAGAGACCTCCTGTTCCATGCTCATCCCTCTTGATCCCTTCCTTTTCGGATTCCCTCCAGCAAGTGTTTGGGGACAAGCATCTGATTGTAATTCTTGTAGCATGGAAATCGCCCGACAGCAGATCCGCCGCCTTTCCGAAGCCATTGAAAAGAAGGCTGCTTGTGAAGACAAGATTCTCAAAATGATTGCCATGATGGCTAATGAAACTGACAAGCTCCACTCCATCATGGAATGTGTCCTAAATGCCCGCCAACAGCTTGTCCTTGAGGCAGCATCGTCTGACAAGTACAAGGAGAAAAAGAGGTGATTCTAGATTTTCCATGTGGGCTTCTAAACGTGCTTGAAACTTTGGAGGAAGAAATCTGAAATGGGAATTGTTGGCAGCATAACAAGGAGGAAACATTTTGCGCTGTGTAATGATATCAAGACACACAAGACACGGGTACGGTAACGACTTATGAAACCGACTGTACTTACAAGTATACAAATACCACTCATCTGAACCATTTCTGGAATCCAAAATCTATTATTCGACAGCAGCCACCAATGTAACCTCACTGGCGGGCTTTATAATTTGTACAGGCAATAAGCTATGCATTTATCATCAAGAGTATGCGGCTTGTTCCACATGTCAACATTATCCAAGGCATCTTCCTTTTACACGGCCTGGCTATAACCACCCAACTTTCTCTTGCCGTATGTGAACCACTTTCTCGCCTCGTCCGCCCAGAATACAGAGCTGCACATGAAGAGCAACTTGAACAGATCCGAAAAAGACAAGGCCTCGGTCTGGAACACTTCCTGCAGCCAGGGAAAGTAAATGACTAGCAATTGTCCTGCCAAACTCAGAGCAACAGCCCAGTTGAACAGAGTATTGGAAAACAGTCCTACTTCACCCCGGAGGACCGACTTGCTCTCGGATCGGCACGTCAATGCGTTAAACATGTCGAATAGGACAAAACATGTAAAGGTCATGGTCGTGTCGCGACGGGTAATCTCGCCATCTGCCAGCATCTCGCGAGTGTACACAAACATTGTACCGGCCATAACAATGAATGCTTGCGTCATTACACGGGTCAGCAAGGCACGTGTGAGAACAGGCTCGCTTCGTGATCGTGGGGGTCGAGACATGACGTCTTTATCAACAGCCTCTACTCCGAGAGATTGTGCAGGCGGTCCATCCATGATGATATCTATGAGGGGTTAGCGATAGATGTGCAAGTTTGGTAAAAGTACACTTACTGATCCAGAGAATCTGCATGGCGTTCAATGGCGTCTTGAACCCCATGCAGGTGCAGATGAAGACCAGTGTAAGACTAGCTACACTGGTACTCAACTGAAAAGTGATGAAATTCTGAATGTTGCTAAAGATGCCCTTGCCCTGCTCAATGGCGTGCAGAATCGTAGAAAAGTCATCGTCCGTGAGAATCATGTCCGAAGCTTCCTTGGCCACATCGGTCCCGTGTAGTCCCATGGAAATGCCAATATCGGCTCTCTTTAGCGCAGGGGCATCATTGACACCATCACCCGTCATGGCAACAATGTCGCCTCGGGACTGGAGTGCGCGAATAATCTTGAGCTTGTGATCAGGATTCGTTCGTGCAAATATTGTAGTGGTCTGCATGGCGGCTGCGAGTTCGTCCTCTGTCATGGCATCGACTTCATCGCCTCGGAGAACTGGCTTGACAGCAACCTGGTTGGAAGAATGTTCTCGTGGTGTAGCAATCTGCATGCCGAGCTGCTTTCCAATCGCCACGGCTGTAGTGTCGGAATCACCAGTGATCATGATAACCTTGACACCTCCACGCATCAAACGACGAATCGAACGAGCAACGCCGGGTCTTGGAGGGTCACTCATTCCTACCAGACCGGCAAAGGTGAGCCCCTTGAACAGGCTCTCATCGTTGGGTAGTCCGGGACTTTCGCTGCCATCAACACCGCCAGGAGTAGTACTTCTAGAGTTGGGGTTGAGACCAGACCTGTTCCTGCTGGACCTGGCGACTGGGCCGCTCGCAAATGCAAGGACTCGCAGTCCCTTTTCAGCCATTCGTTCTGCCGCGTTGAATGCTTCTTGGCGGCGCGCAGAGTCCAGCACAACTTCCCGCCCATCATCTGTGAGAAAGGTGTCACAGGCATGGAGGACCTTGTCAATGGCTCCTTTCATGTAGGCATACTCCTTGTCGTTGTTTCGTGCATCAGCACCGACTACAATTCCCATCCATTTTCTTTCCGAGCTGAATGGTGTCTCGGCTGTGCGAGGTCCAATCGAGTCTCTAACGTCGTGTTCTGTAAAGCGGTCTAGTAGGTCAAGCATGGCTACATCCGTTGGCTGACCAACCCATCGAGAGTGTCTGCTAAAGTCCTTGTTCTGGTTATCAGAGAGAACCGTCGTAGCCCCATCTGTTTGGTGGTGCGAAAGACGCGCGTGATTGGCAATGTTTCCAATTCGGAGTATCCTCAACGTGGCCAAGTTTGGTGTTTGTTCCGTCACCTCTTCGGTTTCCACGTCTACAGGCTCCTTTGCTCCAAAGTACCAGGTATTGGCCACTGTCATGTGATTCATGGTCAAAGTTCCAGTCTTGTCAGAGCATACCACATTGACGGAACCCAGTGTCTCTACACTAGGCATCTTTCTGACAATTGCATGGTACTTGGCCATTCTATGAACGCCAAGAGCCAATGTCACCGTGACAATGATGGGTAAACCTTCAGGAATCGCAGCTACTGCCAGCGAGATGGAAATGGTAAAGATTTCGAGTATCTTCTTTCCTTGAAGCCATCCGACCACGGAAATCAGGCCGATAATGACAAAAGATATCTTGCTAAGCTGAGATCCGAGCTCGTCCATGGAGAGTTGTAGAGGGGATCGCGGGCTCTCGGTGCCAGAGACACTTGCAGCAATGGTTCCGAATTGGGTATCGCCACCAGTAGCATAGACAATACCCTGTCCGTAACCAGACTTGACCAAGGTACCCATGTATGCAATGTTGCTGCCGCTCGAGCGCGAAGCGTCTTGGTTTTGGGCACCGTCGTAGGCGGATGGAGAAAGGGTCGAAGGGCTCGGCAGTCGAGTAGCAGAACTAAAGTTTCTTGATCGAGATTCTGCAGTAATCTTGACCGGTTCGTTCTCTCCCGTGAGATTGGACTCATCAATGGTCAGGTCTGATGCCTTGGTGACGCGGATATCAGCGGGGATGCGATCGCCAGTGGTAAAGAGAACCAAGTCTCCGGGAACCAGTTGCGCGGCCATGACCTTGGTAGAGGCGGCTTCCATCAGCTCCTCGGCCGGAGTCTCGGCACCATTCAATGTGTCTACCTGCTTGTCGACGTCGGCGGCCGGAGGCCATGCAGCTTGAGAGCCTTGGGCGGACTTCGGATTTTGAGCCCTGACCAAGTGAGCATGGTTGGGAACAAGGTGGTTAAGAGCCTCGATGGATTTTTCCGAACGATATTCTTGCACAAAACCTACAGTGACGACAATGGTCACTGCGACTGTGATGCTTACGGCATCGTCCAGGTTTCCGACTATTATAGAAGCAAACGCTGAAGCCAATAAAAGAATGATCAATGGCTCTTGAAACTGTTTAACAAAGCGAAGCCATAACGGCTCTGGGGGCTCGTGAGGTATTTTGTTTGGTCCGAAATCGCGTAGTCTCGACAGTGCCTCGCCGGCTGTCAATCCATGGGTCAAGGAAGTTTGCAGATTCGATGCGGCTTCGGTGGCAGTCATGAAGGAATACTGGTCAGCGACTCCCTGAGAACCGTGTTAGAGACCATGATCAGAGACAAAACAGGCATTTAGGACTCGGGGCGACTGGGCACGCCATCCACACATACCCTTGATTGCGCCGATGTGGTGCGAGAGTGTCTAGGTCTTGAAGTCCTAGACCTGGTTCTTCCTGGACCGGAATCATCGTGATCGCGGTCCTCATAATCTTCCAAGCCATTTATACTCGGTACGGTGGTCGGCAGAAGAGGACTCTCGCCGCTATCTCGACGACCAGCCCAAGGCCAAGGGGGCATGGTGGACGGTAATGTATGACCGTGACGTCGTCGCGCAATACTGCATGGGATAACGTATATGGGCGGCAGAGCTACGCAGTCTGTCTTTTTGGTGTCTCAGGCGGGCGAGGATAGGAGTTGGGATTCGGGTTCGGGGGGGTTTAAGCGATCGCCGAATCTAGTGAGTAAGCAGTACGGTCATGGCCGTGAGATGCAAATGTTTGCACGTCTGTCCAAAAAGTCGTCGTCGAGGTGGTTTCCCAAGCAGGGGAGTCAGTCCAGGAGTGTCCCGAAGAAGGCAGTGGATCTTTGTATGGAGCAAGACGAGTCCAGATTCGCTTTTGGAGACGTGTAACTCTGGACTGGATTTTTAGCCTAGCGTAGAGCGGGCAGGGGCGCGGGCACCTTTGCACGGATGGCTTTCGACGCCAAGCCAACCTGGGCTGCAGCTTGCGGCTCTTCTAGGCAAATCTTAAGACTCTCCAGAGGCAGAGGCGCTGTTTCTTGGGGAACCTCGAGTGGATACAGTGACGAATCAAGCTCTATTGACCCCTGCTCAGACATGCGCCGGAAGGTAGCTCACCCCTGACCTCAGCCTGGAGTAGGCCTGTTCCGAAAAGTCGATACTCGCGAGTTAAAAAGTTTGGCGTGTCACAAGCAGTAAGATATTATCATGACTTTGCCTGTCAAGTGTTTTGATGAACTTTAAGCTATATAAGGTATATAGGTCTTTGACAGATCAAACAATTCAAAGAGTCTGATTCACTCAACATTTGTGTTGATGGACCAATTATTTGAACAGAGGCTCATTCTCACGATTATAAATGGTAGTTGTAGTGATATGGGATACATGTCGAAATGATGATGGATTGACATCAAGTCATTCAAGATTTAAAAATAATAAAATCACAGGTTCTTGTAAATGCCGAGGCTCATGAGCCGAGACCTTTTACATGACATTCAACAAATGAATACCTCTTGTCAAGCTTGGACAGCTATTCGTCGACTGACTGAATAGTAAAATGGTTGCAGAAAACCGTACGCATCAGGTACAGTACAGATGCCAGCTTGAGTGAATGCAGCAATAACACGGGCCAGCAAGTCGGTGTAACCTACCCCAAGACTGAGAATGACCCGTGAAACAAGTTGAAAATGTCAGAAAGAATGCACTGCGACGTCCATGCTTCACCTCGAGAAGCTCCAATTGCTAAAAACCCAGCCACAGATTTTGTTACCTCATCATAAGAGAAACGTGCAAGCTAAGGGTCTTGACTCCACTCGCTCCAGGCTTCCACCCAATCATCAGTCTGCTATTCCTGTGGCTTGTGTCACGGTGGGTCCCAGCCACTTGAATTTCAACACGCCCGTCACCCTGATTTTTTCATTGCCAGCTTTTTTCGCAGTGGTTTGCGCTTATTCTGGCCTTTGGTCGCTGGGTTAATTGAATGATTGCTTGCTGCTTCCCCAACCCAAACGCCCGTCCTCCCTCACCCCCTCCAACCCACCTGCCTACAACCACCTTGTCTTTTCTCTTTCCACTTTCCAGAAATACACACATCATCGTCAACGACTTTTGGATCGACCGATATATCTGGCTGTCGCATTGCCTCTAGCCACATTTTCGACAATTAGACAGCATCATTCCGATCTTGCTGCTGTCTTTGCGCTCTTTTTGCGACGCGGCACCGACGGCTGGCAGGCAGCGCTGCGCTGAAAAGGCTTAGCCCGCCCACGCGCGGTTCACCTAATCAACCTCTGGACGCGCTCCCACTGTTTACCTCCACCACTTTGCAACATACACCTCAACTCCCCCTCCATTCACGCGTAGGCGCATGTGCAAGGGCTTTCCACTAGCAATCGCCTTTGATGTTTGAGTAGCACTGCAGTCTCTTTGCATTCCTCTCGCCGTCACCTCATCCCCCCCATCGCTTCGTCGACTATAGCTCGTCCTCGTCGCCGTCGCGATGTTCTATTCAGAGGCCTTGCTGCAGAAGACCGGGCCACTGGCTCGCGTCTGGCTGTCGGCAAACTTGGAGCGCAAGCTTTCAAAGAATCACATTCTCCAGTCAAACCTACCGGAAAGTGTCAATGCCATTGTTGATACTCGTCAGGCCCCCATGGCCCTGCGTCTCAGCGGTCAGCTGCTGTTGGGTGTTGTCCGAATCTACAGCCGCAAAGCGCGTTATCTTTTGGACGACTGCAATGAAGCATTGCTCAAGATTAAAATGGTAAGCTTCTGCAATCATCATCTACAACTCTCGACTAACTCTATAGGCCTTTCGCTCTACTGGCAACAATGACATTCCGGAAAACCTAGCCATGCCTAATCGAGAGGCTCTCATGCTTCCCGATAAAATCACACCGGCGGATAACTTGAACATTCTGCCTCCTCCTGATGCCGACTGGCTTCTCGCTCAAATGGATGCCGGCGTGGCACCAACGCAAACTCAATCTCAGGGCCGTGGAAGAGGACGCCCCAGCAACCGTGAAATCAACCTCCAAGAGGACTTTAACAATAGCCAATTCCTAATGGACAATGTCATGGATAAAGACGAGATGGCTTTTGAAAACAATGACGACCTGGATCTGGAGCTCGATTTTGGTATGGACTTGGATGAGCAACCTAGAGGGATTGATATGAGCGTGGAAATGGGTAGAGATGCACCTGCTGCTCGTTCCATCGAGGACGACCTCATGAGCGAGCTCGACGCTGGTCCGGCAAAGGGCCCGGCACGCGATCAATCCACCGCCTTTGATTTTGGCGACGGCATTCAGATTGCCGACGCCGATGGCGACCTTCAGATGGAGGACGACTTTCAGTTCAACCTTGAGGACCAATCCGCCATGCCCGAGATTGGCGGAGTCGCACCTCCCGAGCGCGCGCGCATTTCCGAGTCGCCGCTCTCTGATATTGACGAGACCACTGCAAAGGATGTCGAGGAATGGACGAGACTGCACAACCACAGCATCTACGAGCCCGACCAAGAGCCCGAGGAGATGGAGGCACAGCCGCAGAGAAAGGCCAAGTCTAGGCGCAAGGTCTTTGGCCTGGACCCTACTACACAACTGTCCAGTGCCCACATCAAGGACCAGCAGGCAGACCGATCCAACATTCTCAAGGAGCCCAACTTTGTCGCCAGAGACCCCTACTTCCTTGCCCTCCTCGAGCTCAAGCACCGTGGAAACTTTGTCTCGAACATCATGGGCGACGGCCGTAGCAAGGCCTGGGCCCCTGAACTTCAGGGCTTGCTTTCCCTCGAGTCTTTCCGACAAATGAACGATTTGAAGCGCAAGCGGGATAGTGGTGTCGCTGATATGGACAGTGAAGATGAACAGGGCGCCTCAAAGTCACCGCGCATCGAGATTGACGAGGACGAAACGGCCCTGCAGATGGGTGGTCTCGGAGAACAGAGCATTGCTGCCGATGGTACCATCATTGACATCCCCGCCGAGGAAGGTCTGGTCATTGACGACACCGAGCACCACGAACGCGAAGGAAGTGCCCTCCCGGCATTCGACGAGACCATTGCTCCCATGGTTCACCCTGCCGACAGCGGACCCGTTTCCCTCGGAACCAAGCACGCAGTACATGTCCTCAGAGACCTGTTTGGCTCCGAGGCCGCCACGAGCGAGGAGAAGCGCAAAAAGACATCGGTTGTATTCCAAGAACTCTTGCCCGAGGCTAGAACCACGAAAGCAGACGCCACCAAGATGTTCTTCGAGTGTCTGGTGCTGGCCACAAAGGATGCCATCAAGGTTGAACAAAAGGAGGGCTCCCTCGGCGAATCGATACGCGTCCGTGGCAAGCGCGGCCTTTGGGGCGCATGGGCTGAGCGCGAAGCCGGCGGCGAGATTGCAAACCAGGATGAAGTCACACAACCAGAGCCCGCAATTGCTGGCCCGTCGCAAACTGTCGCGGCAGCAGCATAAGCGCATGCATTTGGTGTTTGTTGTGTTATGAGTTGATGCTTCACTGTACAAATTCTTCTTCATCTTGCGATTTCCGCATGGGCCTGGCCGAATGGCGTTCAAAGGAGTTTATGGTGAATAGGGAGATACCACTGGTATTCGGGTTATTAAAATTCAGAGTGATTTCTTCTCTGTAACTTGTTTAGGTGTCTTGAAGTGGCACTTGGCCATAGTCTAGGTAGTTTAGAACAACAGCTTCCGACGTGCATAGGATACGGAGACGGAACGCAATGTTATGGCATCGCATTGGCATAATACAAGACATTAAGTAGTACTTTTTCATGGCAGGAATCAGAATGTGATGTGAGAATTATCAGATGAAATATACAGGTCCTGCTCAGTGCTCACAGCACGACATTGCTATCAGTTTATAAGTGCTCTTTGGCAGAAGAGGTGAAAGCATCTGTCCTGATTTCGCAGCTCAGTACCTGGGTATGTCTACTTTATCAATCATGCTGGCAAGCTCAAGATATACCCTCTCATACACGGCTCGCTGGAGCTTGACCTGCGACAGATCTCCGCCAAAGCCAAAGTCGCATTCGAGGACCCGTCGGGTAAGTTCTTCGTAATCCTCGCCAAAGTCAGTCGGCTCCCATGAAAGCTGGCGCACTGCGCGAACGTCGTCTGGCTCGGCGATACGTGACCAATGCCCGACTTGAAGTAGGATGACGCCTAGACACCAGAGCTGCATCATGACGAGAATTTAGTAGGGTATAGGGGATAGTAGAGACGATCATTGTCTACTTACAGTCATGTTACGAATGCCGTGATCGAATTTCGCATTCTCAATCACTCTTGCCATTGTATCCGTGGTGTTCCCTTGGCTGGCCTTACCAACTGCCTCTTGCTCCTCCGTCAATGTTTGCGGTCGATTGTCCACAAAAGTTGTGTCAAAGTGTAAAGTTGGGAGCCATTCTTCAAAGTCCTGACTCGTGTGGAACAATGAGACATTCCTCAGGGTGACATACTGCGCCAGCCATGGGGTCGAGTGGAATTTGAGTACCGCGGCAACTAAAGAGAGCGCGAGTTTGAGTTGGTCCACCATTCTCACGCACCTTTCCGCTGAATAGCTATCAAGCAGTTGCTGAATGGATACCACGCTCGCTAAGTCAAAGGCACTGGGAACGACATCATAGATAGAGTGCCTAAAAGTCTCATCGGACCAGGAATCGAGGTATCCGACGCATTCGGTACAAGCACTTTTTCCAGTCCTGGAAGCTGTCTGGTGCAGAAAGGAGCATAAATCCCGATCCAGAAGGTTTGGAATGTGTGACTTGTCAAAGGCATCCTGTTGGGCACGTGTCGCTGGTGGACTCTCTTTACCCATTCGATGAGTGTCGTCGTCTTGAAACCGCACCTTTCGCTGCTTGGGCTGGCCCTCTTCTATGATTGCACTGATTGGGTTTGAATGTGACTGGGGTACGAAGTCAACCCTCTGTATGACCTCGGATTTGATTTCAAGTCTGAGTGGCTGCGAGATAGGATGGTTGTTGGGCGCATTTGCTTCTCTAAACACATTCGTTAGCACTCGGCAACATCGTCCATTGGTGTCTCTTACCTTGCCGCATTGCTTGAACATGCCACCAATAATTCCATAGACATACTGCCTATGACCGTTGTATTCAAGAAAAATCTAACATCGTGTTGATGGGATTTTGGTGGCTGGCGCCCACCGTTTTGAGAAGACCATGCATTCGACAGAGCCAGGTAAACGGCTTTGGAGGCGCGTCTGACCAGTTCAAAGTCTTCATAATTCCTTGGAAGTTGTTTCTTAGGGCCGTCGGTCACAGTCTTCTTTGCTAGCATCTCTTGAATCTTTCTCGCCTGTTTGCCAAGGCGCTGAAGACTACCATTGCATCGAGTCAGACTTGCTAGGGACCCTTCGAGCGTGGGTTGTTTCCAGCTTGCTTTGAATCTGTCGCGAAGCCGTTGGAATACCTCCTTCTGTTTCTCTGCCTATAATCATTTCAGAAAACCAAACTAACAACTGATTATACTTGCAAATAGCGCTTACCACATGTCTCTCGGATGCGTCGAAGCAGTCAAGTTCTGTCTGTATTTCTTGAATCGCTTGAGAAATGCTCTTGATTGTATCGTAATATTCATCGTAGCTGCGTCCTAGAACTTCCTTGAATGACTCTTCCACTGTTGTACTGCGCCATTGAGGGTGGTCAGGATCTTCGATCATACATCCTACCAGCGAGTAGTCGTCTATAGCTGCAAGGACCATCGTTTCCGTCTCGCATAGAAAGACATCCCGTTCCACGTTGAGACTCTTTTGTATACGCTTCAGCTCTCGGGAGTAATGCCGAAAAATGTCTGACTTCTTCTTCAGTACGCCGTATCCTTTGATGGCGCCCGCAACTAAGGGTAAAATGCCCAGAATCAATGATGCCGCGTCCATTTCTGATGACTTCAAGTGACACGGACGATATTTCAAATTGCTATCGTGGTTGGACTTGAGAAGCCGCTACAGATGGAGCGGGGTCATTCATCAGCACAAGAATTGGGATAGTAGCTGGCAAAATATCTGTAGGATAATGATAGATTTCTGCAAGTTTAATTCGTCGGGAATAGGTCAAGGCGCAGCCTGACGTGTTTGCACCCTGCTATTGGCCTCCTCGGTTCGTACATCATGCTCAAGAGCTCGGCAATGCTTTCCCCTCTTTTATTTGATTTAGGCTGGTGTTATCGCTGAGCTCACTTGCACATCACCAATGGCAAGTTCACATTAAGAAATACCGACCAGGAGCAAGAGACGATAGAAACCATTGACATGGGCTTAATTCAAGGTCGAGACGCATCCGACTCGGATGAGATCATCCAGGGGTACAATCAAGACATGATACGTACCAGTAAAGAGAGTATTGAGTTTGGCCACGTTCAAAATCTCTTTTGGCCAATCAAAGAGCTATTTTCCAGTATCTTGTCTCTGCTCAAAGGATGTGAGATCGAGTTCAAAAATCAGATTGAGTATATCAGTCTGGATCGGAGTTATAGCCGTCTGGTGCTATGGCATGATGGCTGTCAATCAGCATGTAGCACTTTACTCGGAAACGTGCCTCAAAATTCAACGGAATCGATGGCGAGACACCTCAGAGATATCGGAACTACTCTCTTGGACCGTAAGTGCATTTCTCCTGTATCATTTCTTTCTAGACATTAGTCGTGTATGAAGACGCAGGACTTCCACAGAGCGCTCGTGAAAACTGGAGTCATCCCTGCCTTGCCGTCGAAAGTCAGCTAATGATCTTTCAAGGCTTCCTGTTCCTCATGTCGAAGGAATCGACTGGCTTTGCGATTGATCGTCTCGAAAGTCATATTCAGAACTTGAAGACTTTGCTAGATATGGTCCAGTCCAGCTATGATGACGACTCGGATACCTCCGATTTCAATTATGACTCGTACTCTGAGATCGCTGAGGACTTGAAGACCGACACTACTTGCCTCATTAGAATCAATTCAGTCTTGAACTATACGGCACGATTAGCCCCCTCTTTCGGTACTTCCCCCAGAGGCCCGACGGCTTTGGGGGAGCTGTACCAATCGTATTGCGATCGAATCAGCAACCGATTTCCAAATGCCGTCGAATGTTTAATCTCCAGACTTGGAAAAGCCAACTATGACCGGTGTCTTCGGCGTATTCAAAGGAACAATGAGGATGACGAGGAGCCCAAAGAGACCGAGCGTGTGCAGATGGCAAACACAGTTGTGGTGTCCGCCTTTCATGACTCGGGCTTGGGCTCATCAGTCCCAAGCAAATCGTCGTACGCGGAAACGGTCATGTCATACGGAGCTGACGGCAATCAGCAAAGTGTGCGCGTGCCTACTCTGAGTGAGGAAGCCAAGCAGGGACTGCCCTTTACCTGTGTTGCATGCTCCAAGACTGTTACCATCAAGAACAACTCCCTTTGGAAACGCCATTTGTACGAGGACCTTTGCCCTTGGATGTGTCTTGACCCTGAATGTCCTTCTGGTGATTCCGTATTCAGCCATCGCAACGACTGGCTCGCACATCTCTCCTTCAAGCATCAAATGGCGCCTGCTTGGGCGTCCACTCAGTGTCCCTTGTGCTGCAGCGACATAGAGTCCGGAAAGACATCAATAACTCGGCATCTTGGTAACCATCTCGAAGAAATTGCCCTTGGATCTTTGTCCACACAAACGGAATTGGATAACGACAATGACGAGGATTCACAAACTTCTATATCGCATGAAGGCTCAACAGAAGATTCAATTGGAAAGTTGAATCTCACGGATCCGGGAGGCTCCTTACAAATTGAAGAGCCCCCGCCCGTGACTTTGGAGAACCAATCGGGTGATGATATTTTCCATGATTCACAACCACCCTTGAAATCTGACCGAGCTGAAAGCCACGGTCAGTCTCAGGATACCGAGCAACTCAACGTGACCGACGAAGGTACTGCATACATGCACTATGGTGGTGGTGGTGGGCCTTCTTCAGATTCCGAATCAGAATATGACTCAGATGGTCCCCCTTCACCACCGCCGCCGCCCGAGGAAGAGACTTTCCACTGTTGTGAATGTGATGAGGAACGAACTTTTAGTACAAGTTACGACGGAGAATGGGTATGCAACTCATGCGGGAAGGTGAAATGCTCAATGTGTGGGGATTAAATACAATAAGCTCGAGTACCAACGCTCCTTGCCCTCTTGTAGTATGTAAATCTAATCTTTTCCTTCCTTTTCTGTCGATCGATCTATGCTCTTCGAGATCTTCCACTAAAATCACAAGAGAAAGGTAGCCAACTGCAGCCGAGTGAATACCAGAGGCGCAGTCGATGGTGCAATAACCCTCAAGGCCGGTGCCGGAACTGCATTCGAATGAGCTGGGAATGCAGTCGTATAGTGTTCAGCATATACAAGAAGCTGACAACATGATACACAACCACTTCGGTCTCGTACATACTATTGAGCCTGGATTGAGCATGCATCCGCCACACATGCCTAAGCAATCTCGCAAGGAAGGTATCAGGCAGTTCAAGCATAAAGGAACGGAGTAGCTGGAAATGGGTGATGATCTCTGGGTTTTCCTCAGTCTTGAAAAACTTCAGGAAGGCTATTAACTTGAACCTGAATCCATACCGCTGCAACGTCGAATGATTCAAGAATAACAGTATATTTTCAGCTACGTATCAAGTGTTTACGAGCAAGAGGCGCATGATGCATGATGACGCTCAAAGTCTTGCGTGTGCAATTACGAAACTCAGTATCAGGTTTCCCTATTCACAGCGTCCACTATTATTACCTGACCTTTTTCAACCTAGAATAGAACTAGCTATGAATTAGATCGATTTGTGAAGGATATCGTTGGTTAGTTTGGAAAGGCACTAGCACAGTTTCCCCTCTCTACTTCGAAGCATCATTCATCAATATTCTCTGAGCATTGGTCCTCAACTCCGAGCCGGGGGGCGCATAAGGTCAAATAAGACGTTCTAGATGACAAATGAATGGCAGCACATGATTACTGAATGCGGCCATTGACAGCCGTCCCCCGGTTGTGCAATCGACGGCGGCTCCTGTTTACCGTAGGCTCGATGTCGATCAAGCAACAGAACACTGCACCCATTGCCGACCCCTACGTTTCCCACAAATACTATGAACGAGAGGAAAGAAGAAAGCGCAAGGAGGAGGAGGAGCAACAGCAGGCCAAGTTAAGGGCTCGCCTGACTCCTCACACAGCACCGCGAGGCGAAACGACAGGCAATGACAAACCAGAGGTTGTGTATCATAACCGGAACTCACATACATAACTATGGCTTCATAGCAGGACTCCTCTATTGTGTTAGCTGCGGATGCTCAGTCAAAGTCAAAGCCACAAGCCTCTACTGAAAACACTTCAAGCACCTCAAAGCCTGTGGCCTGGCTCTAGCGCTGGGAATATTTCGTGGTTTTGAGGTAAAGAGAGATAATAAAAAGATTAATAAAAAGAGATTATAAAAAATGTAAAAAGAAAATTGTGAAAAGAAATGATGGAGAGAAATAACAAAAAGAAATGGTAAAAAGAGATGGAAAGGGGGCCTGGTTCCGAACACTGCGTGAAGCTGGCATAGAACAGAGACGGGAGGGAAATAATACTGACCAAGGTCAAAAGACCATCTTGACAGAACTCAGCTATGATGACACTCCATGCTTAATGTCCCGGTAATCCCTTTTAGTTTCAGAAAGTCTTCTCTCATGACAACACATTAGGACTCTAAAAATACCGATCAGATCAAAGGTAGTGTATTCTGGGTTTGAGAGAATGACAGCACATGACTACTATGTTATGGTAACTTTGAGATTCACATTTCCTATGTGACTTGTAATGAACGACAAAGAGTGTGAATGGTTCCCTCAGTCCGATGTTTCCTGGACTGTTGCTTCAGCACCCACATAGCTTCGGCTTGCAAGTCACAGTGCCCAAGCCTCGTGTTTTCTACTACTTCTTCCCAGTGTTGGAGCCATTGCCAGAGCCCGCATTTCCACCCGCGGATCCAGTACCCTGATACTGGCCTCCCTGTGCGCCAGCTGCAGTGTTGCGATCGCCGGCAGACTGTGCTCTGGCAGCAAACCCGCCCGAGGACATGTCTCCACCACTGCGAGCCTTTGGCTTGTCAGTTTGTGTAGGGCTACAACGAGGAGAACCCAAATTACCTGAGTAGACTGGATTCTCTTGGAATCAGCCTTGGTCATGTCTTGTTTGGGCATATTGATGGTGTTGATGTAATCAAGAGATGTATATGACAGAGTTGTTTGTGAAGAAAGATTTGAGTGATGTCTTTGAATGATGAATGTTCGGTCAAAGTAGACAAGGGAACCTCTATATATACTCGTGGCAGTATCGCGTACTGAGAATCTCACGAAACGATTGTGATGTTACAAAACAGCCAATTGGAGCCTGATAAGCAGCTATCCCCCGAGATATGACCATCTGGAGCCACGAGACCTCTTGATGCTCTATGAAAAGCAAAAAGAGCACGTAATGATGCTTGAGCAAAGGTTGTACAAGGCGACCAAGGACACCCAATAATGCTAGGAGGTCTACCATTTCGACAGGTAGATGTGAACAATACGCAAGATTCTTTTCCGAAATTGCATAAAAATGCCCATCAATACCGCTTCTTTGGTGGTGTGACGATAAATTTAGGTTCACGATAGGGGAGGCCTACCAAAATATCCCGACGGGATTCGTCCACGATGGCATTTTCAAAACTTCGGTGAGAGACGCAGATGCAAGCCAGGAAAAGAACCAAGCCTCATAACAGCCGTGATTCCGGCAATTGTTTTAGAAGCCCAATGATGCATACGTTGCTTTGCTTCTTGAAATAGGGTCAGATACGGGAGTAACTGGGGCGATTTGTTGTTTTCGACACGATGGGGTGACTGGGGAGTATTTGATATGCGCCAACGACTCATCGTGTTTGATTCCTGGCCGTGATATAGTCGATGAATACTTTTGACCTGATACTGGCCCTATCCCGACAGTATAGAGGCAACTGAAATGTGTACGGCGTTGTCTGCTACCTCGAGCGGACCCGTACGGACCAGGAAAAGAGCAGCAAAGTTCGCAGACTTTCCTCAAGCTATGCCTTGATGCCCATTGATAAGATAACATTATAAATCATGACGGTGCTCAATGTGGCTTGACGGGAAATGTCTACAGTGGATACTCCATCTGCCCCTGGAAGTAGTGTTCACTTGAAAATTTGCCTTTCTGTCAAGTGTCAATATGTTTCAAAAGAAGATGAAAACTACATGGGTACCTGAATATAGTCAAGGACCCGTAGACTTGAACCGAACTTCTCCATGCTTGATCCTTGCTTGAATGAAGCGTCAACGTCTTATTCATCTCCACGCGATAAGACTGAGGAAAGCGTCATGTCCATCCCATCAATTACCATATTTAGCCACGAAATACGCATTACACAATCCAGTTCGCCATGTTGTCATGCTTCATATCTACCAAGCTTATCCGTGGCTCATGTAAGACGATATCATACCTATGCGCGTGCAATGCACCCCGCCTTTGGGTAATGCCGCCCTCAACTTTGCTAAAGAGTCTAGGACTGTAAGATGCAATGTTGAATGTCGGCCGCTAGCATGTGGCTTTCCCAAGAAAGAAAGTCATGACTAGAGAATGCTCAGGTGAGAACTAGGAAACTTCAACATCACATAGTTTGACACCCCAGAGAGAAAAGAGCAAAAAGAGTTGCATCTATCCTCGGTTTTCAATTCTGGGACATCAGCACTTTTGGCTGATGGTTTTGGCGGACAGGAATCTTGTGTTTAACCTTGGCAGAGCTGGCCAATGATGGTCCCGCGCACGTCGCCTGGCATTCCTAAAAAAGCCTATGTACCAGCATTCCAGTCGGGTGTCGATGATGTACAAAAACGCAAACTAAGTTTAAAAAGAGCCGCTCACGCCGCTGGCGTATTTCTACTGTCATCCATCTTACATGAGCCCATTTTCTTTGGGTTGGATTCATTATAATACCCAGACAGTCGCTCGTTGAACCACCCATTATTCCATTCTGACAAGCACCCATTTAATATTCAATATGCGTTTGATATTTCCATCATCAGTGATACAATTATTTCTATTTTGCTGTCTTGTCGGCAACACACTGGCACAAATCGAAGGGGTGAGTAGACACGGGTCCCTTTTCCTTACTCCCGCATACGAGGCTGCGCATGGATGCTCAGAGTCATCCTCTCGCTACAAACAAATCCAGCGTCTTCAGAGACTTGATGGCTGATATTGATACTGTAGCTCTGCGTCTCTGGTACAGAATTAGTCATCAACAGCAAAGACCCAACTGGATGTGGGAGCGCCGGCGCTTGTCGCTATAATAAAGACGGCGAAGCAGATACTTTGGCTTGTTGTACAGGCGGTAGTAAGGTCAGTCATACTTTTGATGGTCCATTGATTTCACAAGGTCTTTCTGTTTCCAAGTGATCAAGCTCACGCGCGCATAGTGTTCGAAATCCGGTACCGAATGTTTAGTACGAGGAGTGCATAGTTTTTGTCGGTAGCACTCTATATATTCACGTTTGGTGGACGCAGTCAACTACAGGACGATGAAGTAGAGAATATCATAATATCTCTCGCCCAGGGAGAGCCTTGGGCTGGTCCGGATGGATAACCTTTACCAGTATGATAGACAGAACTCGCAGGTCAACCGTGAGATAATGGTTAAATGTTAATAGCTCAATCGAGGATTGAATTCTTGGTTAATGGATGCCTAATTGTGGCAATCTCTCTAGCAAAGACCGTGTCTTTCAGCATCAGCTCTTTTGCTCGTGATACTTGCACAATCCAAGTTGTCTACTAACAAGATGGATACATTTTAGAAGCGGAATACATTGTTGAAATGGATCCCATCTGTGATGTGCTGCTATCCACCCGCCAGTGGGTCGGCGCGGGCACTAACAAGGGACCTTGACGGGCTAAATATGGCCGCGCCCCACCGAGAGCCTCCCTCCGGGTCGCCAGTCAACCTAAACTCGACCTACGCAATAACCTTCTTTGTTCACTGATTGTCATCACGAACCGGCCATGGATTGTTCATTTCTTCTCCTCTTCCGTTTCTGAATATAACTTTCTCTCCCTTCTCTTTATATACTTGTGCGATCAATCTGTTCAGCCTTCAAAGTCACTGAAAGCTGTTGGAACCTTGCGCGTCCTTGGTCAGCTCTGAATCCCTTCAGCGATAGTCCGTATCACGACTCGACGACAAACGAACTTGACAACAATCCAAACCTCATCTGCAAGAATAAGCTGCACCTGATATTCCGTCGCGCATCGATAGACGTCGAGGGCAATCGAAACAATGCCTACAAAGTCGCTAGCTGAGCTCTGCATGGCAGTATGCCTAAAGAATATTCGAGGTATGTCGGAACAAGAAGAAATAAGAAACAATCAAGACGATGCCTGCGCGTGGCCGTTTGCTTTCCATTCACTCGACCTGTTGCTCAAATTTTTACATCACATTCTTCATTCAAGAAAATCTTTCATTCAATTACTTCATTCAAACACAGCACCATTCATTTCGTCTTGACCCCAACCTTGATTCCACATAATACCACTCTGCTGCCACCATGGCACTCCATGTCCCCGATGATGGCAGCCTTTGCCGCGCCCGCACCGCTCTTCAAGAATTAAACCTCTCTGACAAGCTATCAGAAATCACCGATGTGGGCGGTCTGCCGTACGACACTGTACGCCCCATCCTGATGCGCATTGACAATGCCGCACAGCTGCACGCAATCGAGACAAACTCCCCCCATATTGCCGAGTGGGACGAGGAGTGTTGGCGGCGGTTGATAAAAAAACACTTTCCAGTCCTCGAGGCCCAACACCAGACCGTACCTCGAAATCCGGCTTCCTGGCACAAGGTGTACGCACAGTATGTCAAGTTCAATGCTCAGGCCAAGGCCGAGGCCGAAGCCAAGCTGCGTGCTGCTTTTGCCGGCCTCCAGAAGAAAAAGGCAGAGTCGCAGAGTACAATCGAGAGTATCAGGTCATTGCCTCGGCCTCCGCGGGATGTCAGGCCGGTCGGCAGGAAGGAAGCTCAGGGCCGTAGGGGCGGCAGCAATGATACTGGTGAGCTTCGCTGGACAGCCGGCTCTCGAACCAAGACAACTACTGGAGCCAGCGTTATGCGCAAGGTCAAACGTGAAGCTGCCGAGGTTGCCGCTCGCAACAAACTTGCAACGCCCAATGGCCAGCTGGCTGTCCGCCAGGGCCAGATCAAGCGCGCTCCACAAGGCATGGTTCACGAGCAAGCCGTCAAGCGCAACCCTGCCCTCAAGGTCCGTCCGCAGCCAGTTCGCCGCCCGGAAGACGATGCCCACGATCGTGCAATGAAGGAGAGGGAGGCAAGACTCCTCAAGCTCAAGGCAAAGGGTGCCAGCATTCTCGAGGATTCAGATGTGGACGACGACGAGACGGATGACGTTTTTGGCGGTGGCAGCGGTGGAGGAAGACTCAATGTTGACGACTTGGAAGATCTCTTCGACGATGAAAAACCTGCCAAGACTCAGCGACCACAAAAGTCGGCCGCCCTTCCCGGCAAGAGGCTCTTGTCCAATGCCCACGGAACGTCTTCACCTGCAAAAATGTACAGATCAGGAAGTACGAGCACCAGCACGAGCAAAACCAACCGCTCAGAAACCAAGCCGGTCACTCAGTCTCCCCCGACCAAATTCTCATACATATCCAACAGCCCACCAAAGTCTGCAACTCCCATCAGTCCGGAGCCAAAGAAGATGCCAATGAAGCGCAAGGCTGTAGACGTTTTCATGAAGCCCAAGCCCAAGGCTCAGCGTCGATAATCAGGTCGTCCATCACCATCAACGGTCATTCTTTTCACACCAGACATTCCTATATGTATATACGGCATGATTTTACTATGCATTGCATTGGCGTTTAGGAAAAGGGCAGGGTCATTTACATAGCGTTTTTCAGGGACGGATGCATCTGTTTCATTTCCATTACAGCATACTGGCCAAGGAGCCAGGGGAGTTTTACCATGATTTCCCGAGAGTTGGCGACATGATCGACAAAGGGATTCTACGGAAATACTAGGACAAGAACATGTCTAGTTTAATGAATCAATCAATGTCTATTGTGCTTCTTTGATCATAAAAATGCCAACCGTGTCGCAATCCGTGAAAGAGTGCCAAATATCTCGAGAGGATATTATTCACACCTTTCTCATGTCCAGTCGTCTGATCCCGAGTGATTATCAAGCCTGACTGGCTTCGTCTATGTTGAGAAAACCGGGGAGTCGAGACATTTTCCCCCTGTGCCATCCACACGAATGCAACGTCTCTCTGTATGCCATGTCTCTGTACTCGATTCAGACCATTTTTACCGCCATACTAGGCCAAGACCATGTTGTTATTGACATCTTATTTGTCCAAAGGGGGATTGCAAACAGCTCGAACGGCCTTGGAGTCGATATGTTTCCTTTCGCAATCTATTGACCACCACGGAGCGCCAGGACCAAGTGAAGCGTTGCGCCGCCCTCGAGCTCGTACTCGCTTGCCGTCTTGTCGTCGACCCTATAGACAAAAGTCCAAGCGTTAGTCTTGACCAGTCCTCTGTTACTTGGCTAGAAGAAGCCGTGGGGGTCTTTCGAAAGGTCGTCCTACATTTGCTTGCCTCCGTAAATCAGACGCTGCTGAACCGGCGGGATGCCCTCCTTTTCCTCGACCTTTTCCTTGATCTGAGAGACCTAGTGGCAGCAAATAATCAGCATCTCGAGCTCTGAAAACACGCCTTTGTAACTTGAAGTAGAACGCGCCTGGCGCAACGACAAGAGTAGACCGTCCACGCTACAAAAGAGCGGGCGGCCCGTTGCAAACTCCTAGTTGATCCCCTCCAAGGGAGAAAGGCGACAGGTATTGGGATCGTAAAGAGAGAAGCGTTACCTTGTAGTCGGACTCGATATCCAGCTCAATCTCCTTGCCGGTGAGGGTGCGGACCCTGTGTGTGAGTCGCCCGGTTAGCCTTGTGCCAGGAGCCCGCTCTCGCCCGCGCAATCGCGGATGGCGGGGTTCGATGCCTCCTCGACTTACTTGATGAGCATGTTGGCGGTGTTTTGTTTGGACTGTTTTTTGGGGGATTATTGAGGTCGATTTGGGCGGTTCCGTGGGATAGATTATGTATGAATGTTTCTCGAATGTGTAAGCTCGGTTTGGGTGCAAGGCAAGTTGCGAGTCAAAGGATGACCGGTTCGTGAAAGATGCCTCAGTCAATGCCAGAAGGCAGCTGCCCGGCCGTGCCTATGGTGGGGTGATCGGCGGGACTGGAGGTGACCCCACATTTAAACCCGGCGTTCGCGCCCCGGCTATTCATCCACCCACTTCCTGCTATCTGTCCACCCATCTACAAAGTACACACGCAAATATCTTAATTACCATATACCAGATAGCGAAGGGCTCACACCGCCCCTCGGACTCCCGGCTAACCCTAAATAACCCGAACCACTAATTAACTAATCTAACTAACCCTAATAACTAATCTTAACGTATCTGCGTATTTTTCCCATTTTATTTGCCGAAGTTATCGTGGATAGAAGTGTTTTAAGAGCAGATGTACCTTTTTATGTGGCTTGCGTTCCAATCGTGTGTGGCGACCAGTGTGCACGGACTTTTTTTGTATGTGAAATGGAGATGGGGGGACAGATAGCAGGAAGTGGGTGGATGAATAGCCGGGGCGGGCGTTCGGATTACGGTCATTGATTGATTACTTAATCATGGTTCCTGTTTGCAGATGCTCTTATTGACTATTATAGGGTCACGACAAGAGTAACAGAGTCCGGAAAAGTCCATCTGATGAATAGTCTCGTCGCTTTATAATGTTGGCATCCTTTGCACATTTACCTCAAGACGGATTTGTCATTGCCGTGAGAAGAGTTGAATAACTCCTCAGTCATTTCTCAATTTTACAGTGATTATTACTTAGAGTACAGTGGAGATTCTCTTTGTTCCCTCATGAAAGCCAATGCTTCTATTGCTTCTTGTCATCGCCAAAGACGTTCAAGCCCAGACCTTCCGAGTCAAGCATGAGTCTGTTCCTGCCGCCAGCTTCTTGGAGCTGTTGTGCAATGATGCGGGCGTTTTCAATCTTCTTGAGCTCGACATATGCCTTGCTCTTCTTGATGGCTTCACCAATGAGCTCGGCGGATCGAGCCTCACCCTGTGCCTTGACCACCATGGCCTGCTTCTCCTGGCGCGCCTTGTCAACAACGAATGCGGCTCTCTGAGCCTCCTGCTGGGCAACCTGCTTGGCCTCGACGGCAGCTGTGAACTCGGGAGAAAAGGCAAGGTGCTAGAAAACATTAGTTGGATTCCTCATGGCCATTGCACTCGCCACTTACAGTCAGCGAGACATCATCCAGGAGAATGTTGAATCTCGCAGCTCTTTTCGACAAGTTTTCCCGGACTAGTTTGGCCACCATTTCACGCTGTGTAATCAACTGACTGGCGTTGAACTGAGCCACGACGCTCTTCAAGACCTCATTGACAATAGAGGGGAGGACTCGCTCGTCATAGTCCTGTCCTAGCGTTCTGTAGATTTGCGGCAAGGCAGTAACCTCTGGCCTCGAGAGCACACGGCATGTAATGTTGACCATTTGCAGATCCTTGGTGCCCGTCAAGGAGGACACATTTCTCGGCTTTGCTCGAACATCGTATGTGATGGGGGTCTCGAACCAGGGAAGCATCAAGTGAGTACCTGTAATCTAGTTAGAACCAAAAGTGTCTCGAATCTCAACTCCGGGCGACCCGCCGTACCTTCACTGTAAATCTCCTTGCTTACACCACCAACACGGGTGTACTTGATTGCTCTGTGACCACCATCGACGTTGAAAAGAGAGTTTTGCAACAGAATGGCACCGCCAATACCGAGAGTGATGAGTGCAGCGGCACCTAGACTGCCACCTCCACCGCCGCCGCCGCCAAAGGGAACGCGACGTCGGTTCTGAAGCGCAAAACGCCTGGCGCGTTCAGCGTACTCTTCTATTGGCGACTTGTTTGACATGTTGACGGGACTCGAGGTCGGCGGAAGGATTTGAAAGTTGGAACCGGAGCGTGCCAAAGAGCTTTCGGCTGTCGAGGACTCGGTCTAGCAGCTTCAAAAGTCATGATCCGTTTTCTTTGGATGCCGCTAGGATCCGCCCCGAGAAAAGAGGCCCGTGCTCCAGCTTACCATTGAAGCTGGGAGCCTCAACTGGGCAGCTTCCACCTAGGAACCGCAGCTCTAAAAGTGGTCTAACCTTTTTCCGGCAATGGGGGTGGACCCCGGTTCCTCTTCCATTGAAAGCTTGCAGGGCAACGCGCGCTTCTGTTCGCGATCGCATCCAATTCTTAAACTGGCTTGGCCTTGACCAAAATTCGTAAACCAAGAAAAAGTGTTGCCTCATCAGGTGGAACTAGAGAGTCGGCGCCTGAATAGATCTTCATCTTATCCTCCGCCCGTCTCTACCGCAAGTGATTCCAGTACATCTCTTGGCGCAACTATTCATATTGTGTTCCCAGCTTCATCCTTGACCCATTCATTCCCATCAAGCCTTGTGATCTGCCGTCCGCCATCCACGTCGCAGCCTTTTCACATAGCATATACTGCTCCTTAGAGAAATCTAGACCCCGGTCTCCATTCGCAATGTCGACAAAGCCGCCTTCTCGGGTGGTGTTTGTAGGAAACATTCCCTACGGTAAGGAGTGTAAAGAGCTTGGCTTGGCTCACTTGGGTACTGACGGCTATCACCAGGTCTCTCCGAAGAACAAATCACAGATATTTTCAGCACCTGCGGACAGGTCCTCAACTTTAGACTAGTGTATGACCGAGAGACTGGAAGGCCCAAGGGATTCGGCTTTGCAGAATATCCCGATGCAGGTGCGTCCATCCCATTCCTACAGTATTGCGACCTCGCTAACATGTACAACCACAGACTCGGCAGCATCGGCAGTAAGAAATCTCAATGACTACGAAGTAATGAACCGCAAACTTCGCGTCGATTACAGCACCGAAGGTCGTGTGGGCGAGGAAGACGACAAGATGGGACCAAGCACCATGAACAATGCGGGATCGTACTCGAACGGCGTATCGACTGCACCTCCAGTCGTTCCGGCCGGGACACTGCCACCGCTCCCGCCCGGAAAGGAGCTGCCACCCGGAGTCAGCTTCCACGATGCCATTTCTCGTACTCTGCATACGCTTCCGCCGGCTCAATTACTCGACATTCTCTCGCAGATGAAGACGCTGGCCACGACAGACCCGGCACGCGCGACAGAATTGCTCACTGCCGCACCTCAACTTTCATATGCTGTATTCCAGGCATTGCTGCTCATGGGACTTGTGTCGCCCGAAGCTATTCACTCGGTCATTGATACGAGCGCGCCGCCGCCTGTCCAAGCACCTCCTTCGGCCTATCCAGCGGCCTCGATGCCAGCCATGCCCGCCTTCCCTGGAGTTCCAACTGGCACACCTCCAGTGGCCGCTCCCTTTGCACCGCCTCCAGTTGCACAGCCTCCAGTCAATTACGGTGCTCCTGTTGTGCCAACTCCCGCACCAGCTCAAGATTCTGACCAATTGTTGAAAATGGTCATGGAGCTGCCTCAGGCGACTATTGATCAGCTTCCCGAGGGCGAAAGACAACAAATTATGATGCTTCGTGCCCAGTTGATGGGACAACACCGTTAAAAACCCTGTCACTTTCGCATTGATTAGGAGTTATGGGCCATGTCTACAATATGCAAATGCATTTGGCGTTTAGGGGAATCAGTTCATGAAAAGCATGTGAAACTCGGTAGTTTTTCACAGCCGGCGACTATATTCTATAGCGGCCACTGATCTTGAGAATTATCAACAAGGAAATCATACATGGATGCATTGTATTTATACTGTCAGGCTTGGACATGATACAGAAATGCTAGGAAATGGTAATACTCTCGAGTGCTGGAAAGCAAGGCTCTAGGTTGTGTAATCCAAAAGTATGAAAGGGGCTCTAGCATAATACACCTTGTCAAGTCAAGAATCATTCGATTCTACTCATAAGGTTTTGTCACTAGGGAAGAACAATACCCTGGGCAGAATTTTACATAATTGTAGAATGACAATGCATGTGAAAACCTACAATAGGAGCGCTGCTATCCGTGCTATGTCACCCCAGCTATCCGTGCTATGCCTCACTATATTTCGCAACTACCAGCCACCTGCCAGCGCATATGGAATCGTATGCAATAGTTTTAATTTTCTTATCTTTTACTAATCCATCCGAAGATCCTTTTTTGCAGTAGGAAGCTGTATATTCAACTAGTAAAAAGGATAATTATGTAGCCGGGCCTAGCGACCAGCTAAGCGAGCAATAGCCTTAGGTACGCAGTGCTATTACTACTACGGCTCCTATAAACAGCTGCTATTCTAACTATTATCGCATATAACGAAGAATTAGCTATTATTTCCTTTTATTTTATTTATATTTACGGCGATGGCGCAGGGGCTATATAGGCGGGATAAGGTGGGACATAGCACGGATAGCTGAGGTGACATAGCACGGATAGCAGGACTCTACAATAGGTGCGGTGTAGGTGGGTGGGTGTAGTGAATACAGTACATGGATTTCCAGCTACTTTCATCTTTCAGCGTCACCTCTTTCAACTCTTTTACTTTGGAAAAGTCAGACGGTCCATCTCGAGTCAATTCAAACTGTTATTGCCAACTTGAGCACGCGACCACTTGCCTCAAAGATCAAACGAGTTCCCGTTCAAACCCATCAAGTGTCACTCAAGATCTGGGCCTGGAGATATGCATCGGGATCCCAGGGTAGCTCCGCAGACTAGTACGGAATAGGCCCGCCGACCAACTCCAGTTCGTCGTCGAGGTCCAGTCAGGTCCAGTCTCGCCAATGTGGGGTTTCGTGTTTTGCGCATGACTGACATCACCAGGAAACCTAGGGAGCTAGTCGATAGTTACGTATTGGTAACGGTGGGATTGATCCCATCAATTCAAGCATCAAGTCTTTGCTCTACCCCGGGTAGTCATTCTTTGCTCTAGGTTAGTCTTTTTTCCCTGGAGGGGGGAAATGTGAGACAAGTTTTTTATTTTTCTTGTTTACACTGAGAGAATATTCGTCTCACCAAACGTCCCGAGCAATTGGGAATCCCCCATCTGACAAACCCGGAGCTTCAGCAGCTTTTTCACCGCCGACTCTTGACGTGTACAGGCTCAGTCCCAGTGGTCGTTGCGGTTGCATTGGCCTGCATACCCTTATTCCCGGGATTGACGTGCAGAAGCAAAGGTCCCCCAACTGTGCACGATTGATTCTCGGTGGAGCCACTCACTGGCCCATTTGATCGTCCGTACTGTGTAAGAGCTCGAGGTATCGGATTCCAACCAAGCATAACCTGTTGTGGGTTGCGTGCAGTGATTCAACAGGGCGTCCTTCTACCTATCAGCTTTCGACACATCCAAAGGAGAGAAAAAGTCTCCGCACCGTGCCTCGATTGCTTTCATCACATCAGCCCTTACTACCATGTCACAATTACCATCAAATACGTCTGGCACACCCGCGGGTCCTTCCAAGCCTTCCGTTGTCGGTTCGCAAGCTGCCTCTCCCAATGAAGCCTCCATGGCTCAAAAGAAGAAGAAGCATCGCGGCGGCCGCAAGCACCGCCGCCCACGACGAAAGTCCTTTGCGGCCCTCCCCGAAGATGACGGCGACAGCGTGCAAGGCGGAGAGAGAGAGTCTGCCGCCCTGAGCAGCGGTGCCTTTTACATGCAGGCACGCCGCACGAGCAACGAAAGTCTCGACGACCAGGCATTGCTCGACCACCGCGGGTATCCCTTTGGCTCGAGACCCCGCCGGCCCTCCATCCTCGCTTCGTCGATCCAATATCCTTCGCAGCAGGGCGACAGAGACTCTGTTGCTCGGAGACGACCAAATTCGGGACGCCGAGATAGCGACGTCGAGGAGGAGGGACCTACTGCCGAGAGCGAGGTAGAGCCTCTACTTGCAGGTTCGCTTTTGCGAGAAGCCGGCCAACGCAAGGGCTATGGCGCCAGCGATATGCGACCCAGATTCGAGAGGCGTGGATCGAGCGGATCTAGCAAGAGAAGGTTCAATGCTCCCGCCACGCCGTCAGGGGACAAGTACAATGTGAATTATCCTCCGTCGATGCCGCCCTCGCCCACATTGGGTGCCTCGGTCGTCAATTTTGGCGATGAGATGATGCGGGAAGAGTTGAACGCTGCCCTTTCCCAGTCGACCAACCACTTGCTCGACGACGGGACTCCTATGCATGGCTCGGCATCGTTGCAACGGCGGCATACTATAGCACTCCAGGCCGAAGACGACGTGTGCTACCCTCAGGAGGGCATGTCGGAAATCGCAGACGAAGACACGCAACCGTCGCAGGAGCAGCGCAACCGTCGTGGTCGCAAGCGCCGAGACCGATGGCCCGACTTGTCTGTTCTCGAGGATTGGTCAGTGTTTGAAAAGGAAATCATTGACAGAAACGAGGAAAGGCGGATCAAGAAGATTACAGAGCCGCAACTCATCAATGGTAGGCTTCGCCCAACGCAAAAGGGCTGGTTCAAGGCCGAGGAGGACGCGCCGTACCGATTCACATATTTCAGTGAAGAGCTACAGAGCACAATCCACAGCCAGACTATTTCCGAACTCGTGCAACCCGATTCGAGCTTTCAGGAGCTATTCCTGCCAGAGCCACCCATCTTGTCCGATTCTGAATCCGAGACGGAAGAAGAGGCGCTCCTGACAGCCCATTTTTCTGCACGAGGCTCCGTCAAGGGTAGCGAGACTGGTTACAGTACCAAAGTTCCGACCAGACAGCCTTCCTTGGCTCAACCGCAACGAGCCTTTGATGAGCCAGGCCTCGGTAATAGCAGGCCCCTTTCACCCAGGCAAGTACCAGGTGGTTCCGGCGATGCATCACGACAACAGTCGGGTGAAGCTACACCTGTTGGCAACGGCAACGGCAATGGGAATGGGATCAAGTCTCCACCTCATGGGATCGACTTCAAGTCGCCGGAACCATTTTCCCAAAAGCCTGTCCGTTTTGGCGATCGCCCCGTCTGGTGGCTCGATATCCTGTCACCGACAGCGGACGAGATGAAGGTCATTCAAAAGACCTTTGGCATCCATCCCTTGACTTCGGAAGATATCATGCTGCAGGAACAACGCGAAAAGGTTGAACTGTTTCGACACTATTACTTTGTATCGTATCGATCGTTTGATCAGGACGAAGAGAGTGATAAGCACCTGGACCCTGTCAACATTTACGTTGTTGTTTTCCGCGAAGGAATCATCAGTTTCCACTTTGACCACACGCCACACCCTGCGAATGTGCGACGGCGCATCAGACAACTGCAAGACTACATTGTCCTCAGCGCCGACTGGATCAGCTATGCCATCATTGACGACATTACCGACGTCTTTGGTCCTCTGGTCCAGCACATTCAAGAAGAAGTTGATGATATTGAGGATGCGATATTGTCGTTGAATGCTCAGTCACAACCCCAGGCGAAGCGGCGAAAAGAGGATGCAGATGAAAAGTCGGTGGCTGCAACAGGGGCTGTGGAGCAAAATGACGGCGACATGCTGCACCGAATCGGCCAGTGTCGCAAAAAGGCAACAGAACTCCTCAGATTGTTGGGCAACAAGGCAGATGTCATTAAAGGGTTTGCCAAGAGGTGCAACGAGCATTATGAGGTTGCACCACGAAGCGAAATTGGTCTTTACCTGGGAGATATTCAGGATCACATAATTACCATGACGGGAAATCTCATGCATGCTGACAAGTAAGTCGTCCGTAGACTTGATACCGTTTTGTCCCTCCCCATACATTCAGTACTAATCCTTCAACAGAACCCTGGGCGTATCTTCCAACACCTATCTTGCACAAATCAACATTCTCATGAACAAGCGAGCCGAGCAGACCAATGACATGCTCAACAAACTGACGGTCCTCGGTACCATTGTGCTCCCCATGAACATCATTACTGGTCTTTGGGGTATGAATGTGTGGGTACCAGGCCAAGAGTACGAAGGCGACTTGACGTGGTTCTGGTGTATCACGGCAGGTCTGGTGGCATTTGGTACTGCCTGTTACCTGACGGCTACGCGGGTCTACAAGATTGCTTGAGTGGAACCCATTTCATTGACACAGTAACCAGACTGGATGCCGCGATTGTATATACGAGCGAATGGGGATTTAACAGCGTTTTCTTCCTTTGTTTTCCTTTTCTTTTCTGTACAGCATACAGCATGCATTACGTACAAGCTTGGTCATGAATTGGATTCCTAGAATAACAAGCACAAGCAAAAGCTATGGGATGATGAATTGGCATATATAATTTGGGATACTTAGATCAAAAGCCAGCATAGTTTACTATTGAATGAATCAGAATGTCAACTTTTCAAAAGTCTAATCTTTCTGTCCCATTTGTATACTGAGAATGGAAAACGTACAAGTTGAAACATCTCCATGCCAGCCGGCTTGGGTCATACATGGCTCAAGGCAGTTGACGAGGCAATTGGCACGAAATGACATTCCTGCCGCGAGCACGACTATCATAATCCCTGCCAAGGATCAACTCAAGCCAAGTTTGGCAGAGTCACATATCATGAAATCACCCATCTTAACAGTAGCTAATCGAGTTTTATAACTTGTTCTTTTGTTTTTGTCTAGATAATGCGTTACCGTCTTTTAGTCTGATAAGGCTACCTAAATGGTGCCAAAACGCAAACGATGGAAAACTATGACTACCCCAGATACAGCGTAGACAATCACTGATCCTCTTTCTCGTATGCAAGAGAAATGCAAGAGAGGGTGTACGCCAAATACAACGAGGGCTCTGCTGGCCAAAACAAGTCGCGTCTCCTAAGCTGAATCGACCAAGAAAATCGAGTGCTGCTTGTTGGAGGTGAGAGGTAAGTCGGGACTCTGCCTCTGTCGTGGCCATGATCTTTAGTCATGAGCCACATGCTTTGAGATATTACAAGTTATACAGTGAAGGAGTCCCTCAATGTGGGTAGGTATGCAGTAAAAAAGACGAGGCTTTAAAACTCCCAGTTCTCATCGACAGACTTGATGGCCCACTCAAATTTGGCCTCCAAAGTCTTTGAAAAGACCTTGTTGATGGGGACGTCAAACTTTTTGCAAAAGACAACCGAGAGGCGAGGATCAATGTAGTTCTGCACCGTGTTAGTAAAATTCTAAAAACAATCGTAGTACAACTTACGATCTTAGAGGTGCCCAGAGCAACCTCCTTGTTATCCTCTTGAGTCTCCATCTTGCGCTCGGCCTGGTTCAGACTGTTTTCGAGCTTTTCAATCTTGGCATCAATCTTTGCCACAGTCGGGCCCTTGCCCTCGGCCTCTACCTTTTTGGACTTCCACTCCTTTCTGCGCTCCTTGCCAAGGTCGTCGGCAGCCTTGAGTCGCTCCTTAAGCTCCTTCTCAGGGAACGGCTTCTCCTTGTTCTCGACACGCTTCTTGTTGTCGTTTTCGAACTTCTTGGTAATCTTTGTGCGCTGATCCTCGACAAGGAAGTTGATGTGCTCTTGAACCCATTCATTGTTGTTGAGTTCTTCTTCCAGGGCAAAATAGTCGGCGCCTCGCTTCTTCTTCAACTTGGGATCGAGATTGAGCAGCATCAGCTTGTGACGCCAAATCTGGAACTTGATGCCCTTGATTCGGTCACCCATCTTCTCCATGGCGACGGCGTGGTTTGCGCCAACAGTACGCTTGTGGTTACACAGAATGGCCACCTCGCGGTTGGCCTTGGTGTACTCGACCATCTTGTCGGCAATGGTGGCGTTGGGCGGGAATTTTAGCTCCTTGAGGAGTCTGCTCATGGTCCAGGAGGCATTGTAGGTACGGAACACCTTGGCAGTCAAGCCAGGCATGTAGCCGTTGAGGTGCTTGTTCAAGGACGACGTGGTCAATCGATCAAAAATGTCATCACCCTCACCCTTGGGAGGCTTCTTGAAGAGCCTTATGTTCTTGAACACCTGCTTCTCCACCTCAACCTCGTCATAATACCGAATACTGTCCTTGCCCAAAAAGTCAAAAATGACAGTCTGGGGCTCTCTCAGTGTAATGTGCTGATACTTGAGAGAGCAGCAACCGACGGTTTCGGCTTCATTCTCCGTGTCCTTTTCGTTACCTGCTCTGAGGGCAAGTTTATCAATCAGGTAAATGGCGGTAGCGCGCTGCCGATCGCCCATAACGCTCGACTTGAGATCCTTGTTGTAGTCTCGACGAATGCGGTCAATGTACTTTTTGAGACTGCGGGCCTTTTCAAACTTTTTAAAGTCGCTCTGACCCTTGGTACTGGAATCTGCACCCGTCATGACATACTTGTAGTTGCCATTAATGTTCTCCTGCCACATGGCCAGCCAAGACGCATTTTGGTCATGCTTGACAGCCTTCCACTTGTGACCGGCAGGAGGCTCGGGCACCTTGGCTCCCTTGCCAATGTTGATGGTGACCTGTTCCGGCTCGACACGAAGCTTGAGTCGACCAGTCTTGGGGTGCTCACCACGGCCGCGGAAAAGCGAAGGAGGTTCGATGCGAAAGTTGCCCACCTTTTCCTTTCTGCCATTCCAGACACAGAACTTGAAGGGCTCTTCTTCCTTGTCCTTTTTCTCCTTCTCGGCCTTCTTTTCCTCCTTGGTGCGCGTCTTCTTGGCCTCTGACTTTGCCTTGTAGTAGTCAAAGATTGGCTTGAAGTCGCACTTGTCAAAGTCCTTGATGTTCACCTTGTTGCCTTGCTTATCCTTGGCGCCACCGTGTTCGGCGAGGACTCCTCGAAAGTCCTCGAAAAAGTTCTTTTGGAAGACGGGATTTGATGCGTGTTGACTGTCGAGCATGGCTCCGTAGAAGCTAGCAACTTCTTCTGCTTCGGGCTGCAACATGACAGGTGTTCCATCGTAAATGAGCCTGACATTCTTGGGGAGAAGCTCATAGGCTGGCGGGAACATGACACCGTTGTGCTCAAGAGTCTGCCACTTGATGCCGTCATCCTCAATCATGGGCTTATCCCACCATCTTTCGGCCTCATCTTCATCTTCAACGTCCTCGCTCGCAGCCTTACTGCTAGCAGCCTTCTTGACAACGTTCTTTGCGGGAGTCTTCTTTGCTGGCGTGGCAGTCTTACCCTTTGTTGCTGGAGCTGGTTTGGCCACCTTTTTTGCAGGCTGCTTCTTGAGAGGTGCATCCGAATCAGAATCCGGGTCCTTCTTGACACCGTTGGACTTGGCGACTCCATTTGATTGTCTCTTCTTTGGAGCCGCCAGAGGCGCATCCGAGTCCGACTCATCCTTGATGGACTTTCTCTTGGCTCTTGCCTCTCTGGCAGCTGCAACTTCAATGTCCTTCTTCTTCTGAGCCAACTTGGCAGTGAGAGGCTTGTCGTCATCCGAGTCACTGTCAATCAAGTCTGCCTTTGTCGGCTTTGGAGGGAGGCCTGCGCCTTCCGCGATGCCTGAGGATTTCCTCTGACGTTTGGCCTGGAGATTTGAGTTGTCAGTACAGATATATTACGCGTGATCGAAACCTTTGTCGTCTGGACGTACTATGGGCGCATCATCACTGTCGGATTCGTCCTTGTAGCTAACATTGGAAGTTCGCGACTTTCTCTTGACAAGGCCGTTGAGGTGTTGGCCGTCCACGTCCATAGCATTGTCCTCGTTCACGGGACCATTGCGGATCGAGACAGGTGCGGGCAACCCGCCCTTGGAAGAGGCGTCCATGGCTTGGTCCGATTTTGAGACGGTTGCTGCCGAGACTAGATGCAAGTCAAGTTAGGTGATGAGATTAAGAACATTGAGGGAATGTGTAATGTTGAAGAGTTGAATCACGGGCAAGGGCGTCAAGTGAGGGCGGGCGGCATCTCGGAAGGCGGATCGCAAAGTGAATGGGCAGGCGCCAATAGTAGATGGTATAATGCAACTTGGGAAGCGCTAGAGAAACTTACGACGTCCATTGGGTCGCGACAAGGGCATGTCGTCGTCGGAAAAGTCTGAAGCCATCTTGTTGATGTTTGGGGCAGTCAGATAGGCTGCAAAGGATCGGTTGTGGCTCGAGTCAAGAGTGAATCCGAGATCAGGCTTTGCTTTTGCTAGCGACTTTGTGCAGAAAGTACCGGTAGTAGACGAGTCGATGCGACAAGACCTGATGGTTGACTGCACCGCGGTGAGCCAACCCCGTCTATAGCTGGACAAGAGGCGCAAGGAAATGTTGACGGTTGAAGAAGCCGGGCAAGTCAAGGGCAAAGGGAGAGAAGGAGAAAGGAAAAAACAAAATACAGCAGCTATGCTGGGGGGGGGGAGGAGGGAAAGGAAGACTTGGATTTAGAGAAGGGAAGAGAGGCCTTTCCCAAGTCAGTCTGAGAGACAGTTCTGGAGAGGCAACGAACTAGGATTGCCCCCAGAGGTGGAGCAGGTGCACAACGCCGATTGAAGGCTAATACGTAGGTACTACTGTACGGTACGACTTATTACTGCTGGGTGGGCAGTGGGCACTAGGTACGCGGACCAATCAGTGGGTGACGGGGGGGCTGACGTCGCTGGGAGACTGCTGTAGGCTGGGCTGGAAAGGCAGGCAAGCAAGGCAAGGTAGGTACCGAGCAAGCCCTCGACAAGGGAGTTGTCACTGACGGCCGAGCCCTGTCGAACAGCTCCAGCAGGATGGAGACTTTATTGGTAGCGCAAGTGGAAAATTTGGCAATGGGCGCCGAAGGACCGAGATGGGATTGGCAGTTGGCGACAAGGTGGAAACAGGTGGTGCAGAAAGGCAGTCACCTAGCATGTACGTTCATGGATTAGCGCTTAGTGTGATGCTTGCTGGATGGCTGGCTGGCTGGCTGCTGGCTGGGCGCCTTGCTGGCTTTGCTACCTTTTACAAAAAAACACGATCGATCGCAAAGACCCATCCGATGAACAGGCACGTTATGGACCGGCAAGTCTGAACAATTCTTGTTGCCTCATATACAAGGCCAACAAGCTTATTATGGATCCCAAGAGCTTGGTCCTTGGATACGTGCATAGCAGAGTTAAAAGTGGAGATTTGAGAAAACAGCGCACAGACCAACTTCATCACCCGAGAGACTTGAAGAGTTCAAGAACTTCCAGAGAGGAGGAACTTCGGCAGAATCCGGCTTAGGCCCGAAAATTGATGCGAGGGAAAATAGGTGCAGCCAGTTGAGCGAGAAGTTACGGCAAGGAGCTCGTTCAACGTTGTTGCTTTGGTCTCCGAACTTGAAGCCCACCACTTCAATCCTCCCCCCATCACCCATTGACTCAATTGATCGCGACTGCGCATCGTGATCAAGGTGTGACCCCGGACGAACCCCTCCGACACACTCTCTCAATACCAATCACCATGCTTTCGAGGGTAGCACGCCCGGCTCTGAGAGCTGGAGCTGCGGCTATTCCTGCTCGGTACGTCGGTCTCTATTCAACCTCAAATATCCACTCGCGGTTGTTGGCAGTGTCCGGGCGCATCAGATATATGCACAAAAAGAAGGAATGAATGAGGCCAAGGGATTACGCAAGCATCAACTTTTTGAATGCTCGACATGTTGTTCATCCGGACCGTGATGGGGACATGGAGTGCGCATTTCGCAGATGCATCGTGACGTTGCATGCTAACACAACTTCCTTCTTTGCAGCGTCACCAACAATGCCGCCGGCTACGCCACTCTTCGTGAAATCGAGGGCCGTCTCAAGTCCATTCGCAACATTGAGAAGATCACCAAGACCATGAAGATTGTCGCCTCCACCAAGCTCACCCGCGCCCAGCGTGCCATGGCCGATGCCTCCAAGTACGGTCAGACCTCGGGTGAGGTCTTTGAGTCTGCCGAGACCAAGCCTCTCGAGGCCGAGGGCAAGAAGACTCTCTACATTGTCTGCAGCTCCGACAAGGGTCTCTGCGGTGGTGTTCACTCTGGTCTTTCGCGTTACATTCGCCGCACTCTCGGCCCCGGCCAGCCCGAAGCCGACCTGGTCCTCATTGGCGAAAAGGCTCGATCTCAGCTCACCCGTACCAACAGCAGCGACATTGTTCTGAGCTTTGCTGGTGTTGGCAAGGACGTTCCCACCTTTGCCGACGCCCAGGCCATTGCCGACCAGATCACCCAGCTCCCCGGTGACTACTCCGACATTAAGATCCTCTACAACAAGTTCATCAACGCCACCAGCTACGAGCCCTCTGTTGTCCCGGCCTACTCTGAGGAGGCCATCCTCGCTTCCGCCAACTTTTCTGCTTTCGAGGTTGACGAGGCTCTTGTCGGTAACCTGCGGGAATATGCTCTGGCCAACTCTCTGTACTGGGCTCTTGCCGAGGGACACGCTTGCGAGATCTCTGCCCGAAGAAACGCCATGGATGTGAGTTTATTTGAATCCATCCTGAAATCGCTGTTTACTAATCCTTTACTAGAACGCCTCCAAGAACGCCGGTGAGATGATCAACAAGTACCAGATTCTCTTCAACCGAACACGTCAAGCCGTCATTACCGGAGAGCTGGTCGAAATTATCACTGGTGCCACCGCCTCCGAGGACATGTAAACTCGAGGCCTAGAGAGCTAGATGATAGATGGGAGGAGTTGGTATAAGACTCGAATATTCCCTTTGTATCAAAGTAACCACATGCAGTGAAATTCTGCATCACCCTCTGTACCAAAGCCTCAATACATTTTTGTCCGAATCTCGGCAAGTACTGCGTGATAGCAAAGTTGTTAATGATGGTAAATCAAAGTTCTGAAATGAACCATGTCAAAATCAATTTTTTACATTGATGAATACCATTTCATGATCAGTAAACTCTGACATGAGCTGCTGAGCCAGCAAGCAATTCTACAGTGCTATTAATAAACTCACATAAATGACAGCAAAAAGAATCGCTAGTTTGACGTGCATCATGTTTATTCTATGTAGCTCATGTAATCAGCAGTATAGCTGATGCTTGTTGGAGGTGCTATAATGCAACGGATCAATGCCAATGCCGCCCATGTGCCAGAGAATTTGCCACGACATCCCGATTCGCCCGACAGGTTTACTTTCCCAGGCATTATATGTACAAAAACCCAATGACTATGCATTTCTTGGGCATATCTCGTGTGGCATATACCCTCGCCATCCCAGTATGAGCTTGAACATTCAAAGACCCCAAACTCCTTGTCAAGATGATCTCCATCGTCACCCCTATCCCGTCATCTCAACGTCGCTAGCATCACTCTCGGCGTACATGGCGACCTTTTGACTTCTACGTCGTTGGCTCCCAAGCTCTTCTGTAGGCGTGTCGTCAAGAACCAGCTGATTGCCATCAGCTTCCCATTGGGCCTTGATCTCCTGGGCTTTGTGGTCCCATTCCTTGGAATCCACCTCCCACTGTTTGAATTTTTCTTGATACACACGTTTTTGTTCTCTTGCCTGCTCCTCAAATGGCTGTTTTTCCTCCGGAGTAGCTTCCTTCCACATCTTACTAGTCATGGTACGGACGTCATTCGGACTCGGTCTGCCTTTATTCAGCCTTCGTCCCTCTTCACACCGTTTGCGGGCCACCTCGAAATGGGCCTTGCTGTACAACAGGTATGAGTTGCCAGCTACTTTCTGCGGCGGCCATGGTCTCTCGCCAATCTTGCTGAACACGTGTTGCCAGGCAGCATCCTGGTGAGCTTGTATACGTGCTTGCTTGGAGGTGTGGGGCGAAAGAGGTTCTCCCTCGGCTTTGCGTTTCTGCCCATTGATGGATGTTGCCAAAGAAGCCTCCTTTGACAGGACAAGTGGGGAGGGCACCTCGATTGGTCCAAGCATGGTATCAATGACTTCAGACGCGGCGCGGAGGCCTGATAGATATGCGCCGTGGACAGTAGCAGGGTGGGTTCCCGTTGTGTGCTCACCAGCAAAGAAGAGATTACCCACAGAACGAGCCATGGTGTCATAGTCATCATGCTGCATGGACGGAGCTGCAGACGAGTACGAACCACGAGCAAATCTGTCAGATCCCCATCGGGTGACTACCGCGTGCACGGGTGATGGAACCTTTCGACCATAGACACCGCGAAGAACCTCGCTGGCTTCTCTGATCAGCTCGTCATTCTTGGAATACTCCGTGTCAAAACCGGCGTCACCTGCCATGAGGGCAAGAAGAACCGGAACGCCACTGGTATTGGAGACGTCAAACCACTGAAAGAAGCGGCCGCGCTGAGAGGAGTAATCGCTCTGCTTGAGACTGTGGCGAGAGTGTGGAGTTCGCAAGACACCAAAGATGTCACGGCTAGTGTCCCAAAAACGTTCTTGGTACACCAAGATGACCTTGTTTAAAATGCCAAAGCCCAGACGGCCAATGGCGTCCGTCTTCCACGGCGGCAGAGGTGGGCTGAACTCGATATTACCGTGCTTCAACACCCCCAGCGGTATTGTGGAAACAACATAGTCGGCGTCAATCTCGACACCATCCTCGCAATGGACCTTGGCGGCGCCACTGCCATCAGCATCATAGGCGACCTTTGTGACGATGCTTTCTTTGCGGATATCTAGCTTTGATGGTGCGTGTGCTAGGCCATATGGCACACTCTGATAGCCGCCGACGACCATGGTGTGCTTACCCTCCCATTCGTTGCCAGCATCAATGTCCCATAGGCCTAGACTCAAATTCTTCAGGTTTGTAGCATTGCTGTATTCTAGATTGGCAATATGCCAGTTCATCAGTCGATAGTCTTGGGCTGTCAAGTCGACAATGTCCCTATATTGGGATATCGAGTCGTCCAAGAGCCCTCCCAACGTAACGTCGGAAGATTTTGCCAGTGCATCTAGCTCAAGATCACGGTCTTCTGCAACCCCGTCCTTGAGTGCCCAGCCCATCAGCCGAGCCTTGTGCGCCGCATTGAGAGTTGTGGGAGCACCCGGCTCAACGTGGATCCTACCCGTCGCCTTGTCGGTAGAGACGGGAACGAGATTGACTTGAGGTGCAAGGTTTTGCTCTGCCACTGGTAGTGCTTGTGGCAGGGCTGCGAGCGCTTCCTCCACGTGGGCAATCGTCTTGGCCCCTTCGGAACTGCTGTCTCTTCCTTCATCCATGAGCGCCCTATTGCCTTCAATGAGTTTCGAGGGTGCGTTCTTATACTTGTACTCGCTGACACGCTCTAGGCAATCATTGAAAAGCTTTTCGACTTGCAGATCTCGGTTCGCATTAACTGGTTTGCCGTTTGAATCGTACAGGGTCGTGTCTGGTCGCAGTGCATAGTACGGCAAGGCCATCTGTCCCCTGACCAATACATTGAGGGGATTGCCTCGCTCAAAGCCAGTGATGATCATGCCACCACATTCAATACTGTATCTTTGACCCTTAAAGCCCATTAGACGTTGGCAGTCCCCACCGTTGACAGATCGCGAATAGACGCGTCCACCCAAACGACTTCGGCCCTCGAGGACTACTACTTTGGGAGGTTCTTCGCCCAGGTCATGAAATTTATCGGTATACTGCTTAACCAGGGTGTCCAAGTGTCTCGCACAACCCAGGCCAGACATACCAGCACCAATGACAACAATAGTCTTGGCTTTCCGCCTCGGGGCGGCACCCTTGGTGCGGCGTCCCTTGGAAATAGGGACTTGGGCACAGCCATAGTTGATGTAGCCTCGGCGGAGCAGCCATTCATAGGACACGTTTGCCACATCAAACCATCGTGTGTCTCTGGCGCAACCAATGGCCTCTTCACGTGCCACGCCTACACGCGGGTTGTTCATCCATAATCTCAGAATACCATTGCGGATGTTGAGATAGGTTGTAACTTGTGCATGACTGATATGCTCTCGTAATATTTGATACTCCTCTTGATGTAACACATATGGGTTGAGTCTCGAGTGCTCTGCGGCGGCAATGCATTGATTCGCATAGTCATATGGTGCTATGTCTGTGGGTATCGATACTTTTGGTCGAACATCATATTTGCGCCTCGACGAAGATGGCTTAGCTGGAAGAGGTTGAGTCTGGTCGACACTCTGTATACTCTGTGGAACTGGTGCTTCTATTGATTCCTTTGAATCAGTCACGTGGACAGGAGTCGTTGCTTTACTGCTAGGTGATGGAGGAGGCGAAGATAGATCTGACAGGTCTGACATGGCAGAGGCTGAGGAGGCGAAAGACTTTCCAACACCCTCTTGATACCCAAGCAGCGCCGAGTCGACCGCATTCTTCTGGCCTGTCTCACTCGGTCTAAGAGAAATTAGAACAATCTCATAGCATTGATACAAGTTTCAACAAATAACATGTCCGTCCACAACTCAATATCATGACAAGAACTTACTCGACGACATCCTGTCCGGGGCCTGAATCGGGAGTCGGCTCATCAACATCCATGTCGTCAATTCGGACAATGATACTGGACTCTGTCCTTGGACTTGCTTCCGATGTGTAATGGTCAACAGAATTTGATGAGTTGGTATCAGAAACGTGTGGTGGAGATGCCGGCATGCTGGTGAATCTGCCTCTCGAGGTCAAGAGGGACAGATGCAAGTCCAATTCGTTTAGACCCCTCAATGGCCCCGGACCAGTGGCCTTGCCTCCCTCCACGAGAGTTTCTTGAGTGCTTCTCATAGTTTGCAGAGCCCAAAAGCGTTGTGGATAGAGAGTTTCATGGCCATCTACAGGGCGAGGTCGAAATGAGTTATCGGAGCTCGGCGGGTCTCTCCAGTGCGGTTGGTCCGAAACAGTGTATAAGACTCTCGAGGCCCATGTCAAGGCGATACTGTCACTGGGGTGATCATTCGAAGAAAAAAGAGTATTAGACTGTTGAATCGAATTAGCCAATGGCCCAGTCCCGAGTCTTAAAGACGGAGTATTTTGATATCAAGGCAATTTGGCCCTGCAAATGCTGGGGAGGTGGAGGGAGATTGGCAGATGAGCATCGTACCTTCTACAGTGGTTTCCACAAGACGACCTCGCTGAATGATGAAATCCCCCAAGAGACGCTTACAATTCGTCGCAAAGATATATCATGAGAAATTGAGATGGAACAATATTACAGCAAGTCTGGAACCTTTGAATTTATGCGCCAAGAAGGATGTAGTTCTATCAAGTGAGTACAAGAGATGCGGCAAAGTCGTCGAACCATGAGCGGAGGGGCCATTTGGACCCGCACCCTAAAAAGTGTCATGCCGACACGTGACTCCCCGTCTGTCGAGTAGAGTTTCAGCCACCAGACGCTTCATTGCATTCAACCATCATGGTCAGTTCTGGTCAACGATATCACATTTTCATCATTGAGCCCCGATTGCAACACAAGTCCGAATGCACGAATGCAGCTTCTCAACTGTTTCGCATCTCGGCATGGTGCTTTAGCAGTCTACCACATATAGGAGGGTCTTTTATAATATAAACCACCGACCCCAAGTAGACTGCAGCTGCTTCAATACCAACCATGACGACAAGTATTCCAGGCACCGATACAGTTCAGCCCTCAACGTGAGCTGATGTTATTCACCTACTTGGTCACGCAGCAGTAGCAGTAGATCTCGGCTTTTCCATCGCGAACGACTCTTTCTCGATTGCGGCCTCCATCATCCTGTTACCGCTGATGATCGACGTGGTACATATAACAATGTTTCTCCGAGCTGGAAACACAAATGTCAGTAAAGAAGCACAAGAGATGACGGGCCATGACGGGACATACCTTCTTCCTTCTTTGCAATGAACCGCAAAGCCGCAATCTCTGTAAATGTGATGCCACCCACAAATACCACAAATACCGTCTTTTTATCGCCACTGCCAGACAATAGAGCCCGAGCCTTGACAGCCTTGTCCTCGCCCTTTTGAACTTCATCAAATGTGGGACCACGGGCATGTTTCGCAGCCTCTTCGAATCCTCGCCATCCTTGAGCGCCGCTGTTGGCAACAGTGCCGGCCGCAGATGCACCACTGCCACGAGTAATGGACATGAGGTATTGTTTCTGCAGTATACACTGCACAAGGCGAATGGAGAGGGGCGCGTAGCCGCTGTAGACGTATGCGATATCGTTCGGATCGTGTTCATTGACCTCATCGACAATCAGGCGTAGTTGCTTGCGGAGATATGTGTAGTTTGTCTTGGTTCCCGTAGCAGCACCGGAGCCAGGCATGGGGATCATACTGGCCATTGGCGATGATCGCGACAGCAGCAGCTGCAACTTTTCGAGATTGTGCAGTGTGAGCAAATGTTGGTAGCCATAGCCTTCAAGAATCAGGCGTCTGAAGTGGTCAAACTCCTTGGTCTTGATGCCTCCAGATATACACGAGTATATGCATACAAGCCTCAGCACCTCTTTCAACGGCGCGTCTCGAGCAATGAGCTCTTCGATTGCATCGTTTTGCGAGCTGGGGTCGGCACCAGCGGCCAGGTTTTGCTGAACCTCTAGTAGCCGACTGAATTGATCGGTCCGAGTATGCTTCATAATCTCCTCGGCGAGCCCAGTGTGGATCTTGAGGTTTTGTTGTTCGGCTTGATACCCCGGGAGTTTCTGGACAAAGTCCTTCAACTCGGCAGTCGTTTTTGATGTGTGTCTGCTTTCATAGTCGCTTTTCAACCGGCGTGCCACATTGTTGAGCAAAGTACCAACAATGGCAAAGTTGGTGTCGCGGACCCCATCGTACAGCTTGTCGGATGAGTCAAGTTGAATCTTGCGCTTTCTCGACGGAGCGCTCGACGGTGCGTTGGAGGTGCTCTGAGATGGAGCTTGAGCTGAAGCGCCCACGATGGTCGAGTCAACGTCGGTCTGATTATTTTGAATACTAAACACTTCATCTATGAGCCCTTCGTAAGTCAGCTGGGTGAGTAGCGGTGAAACCATGTCGACTTCACGGTCAATGATGATGACGCTCTCGAATGAGTTGCTCGGAGTTTGGCCTGCCTTGTCTGCTTCGGTAGCATCATCGCCGGCCAATATTTCCTGTCGCATTCGTGAAAGCAGCGTGGCTACACGTTTGGCATTGTCGCCCTTGCCAATGATTCGAGGGAATAGGCCATGTCTTGTTTGTATATTCATGAGCGCCTTGGCGATCAAGAAGGCGGGAGTCGTGTCTTTGGATAAGAACAGATCCCGGAATGAGTCGTCGAGCTCAAGAGAGAGGACATCGCGCTCCAGCGGGAAAAAATACAATGGAAGTTCGTGGATATTGACATCCCCTAGTACGCCGCTCGCCTCGAGAAGCTTGTCAGATACGACTGTACGTCTAGGGACCCAGAATATGTGAAATTCATGACCGGTTTGACTTTCACGCTGAAGTCTCTTGATCTGGTCTATGACCTCGTTAGCAGATCCAACATGGTATCACATGATGATCTTGTGGCGAGTGCTGTGGGTAGCAATCCCCAGACTGTCAGTGGTGTGAGATTCTCTTGAAACGGCCACCCACTGCATTCTCTGGCCACGGACGGCAATATACTTGTCGCAGTCCATAGTCCGGCCTACCGCCTAGTCAATATTAAAGGGCAGCTCACCAGCTATATTCTGGGCATGCCGGGCGCATTCGCCGCGGGCCATAAAGACAACATTTTGCTGGCTGGTGTCGGCATTGTTATTTTCTAGAAAGAAGAACTTGTCGACTCCATATTCTTGTAGTGTCGAGACCTTGACCACGACGCCGACAGGGCCAGCCAAGCTTCGCTCAATCACGAGGTTCTTCTTCCCGCGAACCTATGGACGTCGGACGTTACTCGCTGAGGGCCGAATGAATGGGGTAGCACTAAAGGCTGGGTAGAATGGCTGACTTACACCCTCGAGCAGATACAGTATATCTTTCCGAGCCTTGTCTCTGATCTGCTCGGTATCGAACCCCACATGAGGAGCCATCGTGAGCTCTCATGGGGGTTTGTCGCGACTTGGGTGAGGGAGCCGAGGCGCGGGTTGAGAGGGTGAGAGCGTGTAGGATTAATTAGGAGCTTGAGCCTTTACCCCCTCCAAGCAACCCGTCGGCGATTTGTCGAGCTCTGCCCGATGCGACGTCACAGCCCCCCAGGCCCCTAGCAAGCTCCTACTTGACAATCGTGGCGGGGCTATTCCAATCCACCTTGGTGCCTCGATGAAAGGTAACTTTTTTTTATTCTTGCAGGTATTTTAACATTCCATCACTGCCTATTCCACAATCATGACAAGTTGTTCATTGAGATGAGTAAGATATTGTTGTACACTTTCAAGCATTTCTCCAGGTAGTAGATGAATACATTGGCGGCACAAGGGAAAGGCTCGTTCCATAAGCGATCACGCCCTGTTCTTATTCACACTTGGGCAATACCATTCATGTTGCGTCTCTGGCCACAAGGCCTGGGAAATCTGATACCGCGGCCTTGTGTTATTTCATTGGAAAATGTCCCATCGCTCGGGTATTTTAAAGACAAATGCTTCCAACTCCTTGAGAAAATAATGCAATTTCCTATGTCATGTCCCCCAGCAAAATAATAAGTTGCTAGCTCTTTCATGTTTACCACAACTTGTGGCGCATTCGCAAAGGGGATTTTAGACCGTGTTGTCGTGGTACATGAATGCGATATCTCTAGGCCGTAATCTGTTGCCACGCACGAATTCTTCGTCGCCAGGTGGCCGCTCGTTCTTTGTGTTACTCGTCAGCATGGACTGTATGCTCATGCAGACGCTCTCAACATTTTGCACCGGGCTCCAGCCTTGACTTCCAAGGAGGTCGAGACAAATGATGCCGTTTGAGTATATGTGCGGGTGCATCGGTATGGGACGGCTGTCTGTCTTGTGAAAGGTGACTTCTGGCGGTTCTGATCAGGTGCGTCAGTCAGGCTGCAATGTTCCAGCTCATATTGCACCGGGATCGCATACCGATAGGGTAGGATTGGGAGAACTTGAACTTGAGTCTGTATGTTTCCCCTGCGTAGAGGGGATTGGAGTCAAGGACTTGTATGTCGAGCTGCCACTCCTCGAGGTTCTCGGCGGCAACAAGCGTGATTCCGGGTGGCAGGCTAGCAGAGATCTGGGAATGAGTTCCAATGTTAGTTGCGACAAACGTCGTCTTGCCGTAGCAGTCGTCGACTTGGGCGCGTTACCTTGGAGAGCTCCTTGCCGAGTCTCTTTGCCCCGAGCCCGGACATTGCGTTTGATAGTCTTCAAGTGCGGTCAGGCAAGATAATCCTCCAGTGCTGTCTGTCAATGGTGGGGTTGCCGGCGCGAGACGCCAGAGGCGGAGCAGCTTTGTTGACAGGGTGTTCTCTGGGTATGACGAGCGCAAGTCAAGATTCTCTTTGATTCAAAACAAACCCGGGTCGCGTCGGGTCGCAGGTGAGCAGTATAAAATGTGGTCGCAAGCCTGGAGCGTTGACATGTATTTGATTACAGTGGTTGCAAGTGGCAGGCAACGGCCTGAAGAAAGCTGCACAGGTGTGATACCTTGGGTAGCACACGCGGGAGGGTCAGTCATTGTTGCCTCTAGTCTGGCGATTGCTGGCCTCGACGCTACTTTTTATGTATTTGCACCTGGCGCATAACAAGTGTTGGTTTCAACAAGCCATGGTAACCTAGGGATGCAATGCAAGCGACAGGCGATACTTGATCTGTGGCGCCCAGCAATATGAATGATTCTCTTAATGTTGCTCTTGCTTTGTACATTGGTATTGATTGCCAGCATGTAGTTACCACGGTTTGTATTTCAGCGATGTTCTCGAATCGGTCAGACTATAATATTTGAGTTGTCTCTTGGCCGCAGAACATGTTATACTACTACAGAATGTTTCGGCTATCCATGATCAATATTACCAATTACCCAAGCATCACAGCGTTGTAGATGCGAGTATTGAACTCATTTGATGATTTTCAAAACGATACTAGATCCACGGAATAACACGCCACTCGCAAACGGCCTGGATCAGTGTGATTGACTCTTGGTCATTCCAAAGTAGAGAAAGTACACTACATGGAAATGTATGCCCTGTCTCGATCGCAGCTCAACTCGTGCCTTGCGGTAGCCAGTAACTAACATTAATCCAACATCCGGATGGCCAAAATGCCGTCACACCTTAATGTATTTTTGTTTGTCGGGCTAACAACTAACAGGACAGAGCCACTTCCCTATGAACTTTACCTGTCTGTGGAGATGCCCACCTTTGCATGACAATATTTATAACAAGCTCAAACCAAAAATCGTACAGCCTGACAATGGCTAGCTGATCGTCAACCACTCTGATCAAAAAGTGTCCCCATCACCAAAGTAGTGCATCAACTAGTTCAAAAGCATCCAGGTACATGGACTCGTGGAAAAACACGAGTGCAACGGGCGCCTTGTTCAAGTTGTAGCCAACTGATTACTTCCCAAAGAGCAGCGATATAACAGTGGAGGGAACCAATCCATCTTAAAGTAGAGTAAATGTCGTTTTCACAGTTCGGCCAACGACTACAGGCAATAAAGACCATATCTCGTCTTTCCCTGCCGGATTCCCGCGTAGGCTGATCAGAGCAGTCCCACGTTTGCGGCTGAGCACTGTGCCACGACCTGAATCACTCGGGATAGTGGACAAGGCTCACTTTAGAGGAAAGTAATACGGTGTTGGGGCAATTTCGCAACCTACCAGGATACGTAGGCTGTGCAAAAAACTGCTGCGATTTCACATGAAAGAGGGAGAAAGAGTCAAAGTTGCACTTGGAGTGTCGCGCGAGGCAGACGGGTATGATTCTGTGCATTTCACTGCTTCTGTTACTGCTGGATTCACAAACAAGGACTTTGATGGTTGGAGGACGACAATAGTAATAAATGACTCGGGACCCTCTCGACATTTGCTCGTTCCAGTTCTCTCATTCGAAGAAAGTGATTCTCACCATTATCGTTTCTGCCCCGTTCGTTTCCTGTAGTGTAGGTAGATTCTGGCCCCCGCAAAACCTCCAGTGGATCAACGACCCAGTCAGCCAGTGTACACACACCCCCAAGCAAGCTGAACCCCTCATTACCCGTTCAGGCCAAGAAACGGCGTGTCAAGGACATCCCCTCCATTTCCAACTGGGCTCCAAGTCTAGTTGATAACAGGGAGCTCCGCAAGGCTTCTGGTGAAACCTGCCCGACTCCCATTCTTCTACGCCAAATCTATCGTCGTCGTTGTCGACGTTGTCTGCCCTTGCTTCGGTTTTCTCGTTTTGTTTCCTATTACAACAAACGGCGACAATCTGCCATAGAGATACCCCCTTTTTCAGTCCTACGTTGTATCAAATTACCCAGCGGCAGTCACCTCGCAACCCCTCGCAGGACCCCTCAAATCAACCCCACGGTATCATTTACTACCTATCATCCAGCTGTCTCTGCAACCTGCAGGGCCCGAGACAGCGAGAACAATGAGTTGTAAGTGATTTCGCAATTCTTCCACGTGCGCCACAGAATACAGGTGTTGAAATGGCCTGACCATCTTGTGCTTCATTGTAAATGTCATTTCACATGGGCGCAACACCCTTTACTGTCCAATTCGGACCCCTGTGCTGACATTAATCGTCATGTCTACAGTCACGGGAATGCTCAGCCGGCTCCAGGGCCAGCCCGAGAGCTACGACAAGAAGGCCAAGTACCGATTCGGTCGAACCCTCGGCGCAGGCACCTATGGTATTGTGCGAGAGGCAGATGGTCCAACGGGCAAGGTGGCCATCAAGATCATCCTAAAGAAGAACGTCAAGGGCAATGAGAGAATGGTCTACGACGAGCTGGACATGCTCCAGCGCCTCAAGCACCCACACATTGTTCGATTTGTGGATTGGTTCGAGTCGAGGGACAAGTACTACATTGTGACGGAGCTCGCTACTGGCGGAGAATTGTTCGATCGCATTTGCGAGCAGGGCAAGTTTACGGAAAAGGACGCCTCCCAGACCATCAAGCAGGTCCTGACCGCCGTCGACTACCTGCACCGTAACAATGTCGTACACAGAGGTAAGGAAACAGCTTACTACTTGTCACCCCGTTGCCACTGAATCGCCTGCTAACACATCTCTAGACTTGAAACCTGAGAATCTACTCTATCTTAGCAAGCAGTCCGACTCGGATCTGGTGCTTGCCGATTTTGGTATCGCAAAGATGTTGGATACCAAGGACGAGGTGCTCACAACCATGGCTGGTTCTTTTGGTTATGCGGCGCCAGAAGTCATGCTCAAGAAGGGCCACGGCAAGCCTGTCGACATGTGGTCCATGGGCGTCATCACTTATACCCTCCTCTGCGGTTACTCTCCTTTCCGATCCGAGAACCTTCAGGATTTGATTGACGAGTGCAGCAACGCACAGGTCGTCTTTCACGAGAGATACTGGAAGGATGTCAGTGACGACGCAAAGGAGTTTATCCTCCATCTGTTGCAGCCCAAGCCCGAGGATCGATGGACAAGCCAGGTACGTTTTTTGTCATGATTGCTTTTCAAAGAAGCCCCGTGTCAAGCTAACCAAACACGCAGCAAGCACTGAGCCACTCGTGGCTGTCGGGCGAGAGCGCAACGGACCACAACTTGCTGCCCGAGATCAAGGCGTACATGGCCAAGGCCCGCCTCAAGCGCGGAATCGAAATGGTCAAGCTGGCCAACCGCATCGAGGCGCTCAAGATGCAAGAGGACGACCCAGAGAACCCCGATTTCCCGGCCGACAGCAAGGACGCTGCCGCCGATGCCGCCGCCGCCAACTCTTCCGACCCGCCCCGCGAGAAGAAGTCGCTCAGTCGTATTGCCAGAGGCGCCATCTTCCGCGAGATTGTGCTGGCCAAGGTGCGGGAGATGAAGGAGCAGGAGCAAACCCTCAAGGTCAAGGAGGAGGCCGAGAAGGAGGCAAAGAGGAGAAGCTTTACTGGAGCTTAGGAAGGCCGAGAGCAACAAGATGCAAGTCCAAATCCGGTTATAAACAACAGTGGAAGAACATCAACATTGACAGAAGGGAGTTGCTGCTCAGCAGACAGTGATGTTTCACCTTGAAATCAAGTGTAAATGGGGGGCGCATGTACGAGAGCGAGAGAGTTTGGCTTGGAATCAGAATTGCGCATCGGCCTTTCCGTCATGGTGACGAATTGTCATTCTTGGAATACGTAGATGCTGGGTCCCGTCAGTATTTTGTTTTATAAGGGCATTTGCCCGGGGCGCGAGATTCCATTGAGCTGTAGCATATTCGCTATGGCCAAGTATTACCTACATAGGTACTCAGTCAGAACATTATTATTTATTGATTCGAGTTCATGGTCCGACACGTGTCCAACGGGAAATGTCTTTGGTGACCAAGTCCATTCCTTGGGTGGCATGTGTCTTGCATGTCGTGACTCAAAATATGAAGCACGTGTCTTTCAAAAGCCTTGCTGCATGTTTTGGATTTATTTGTATCCATGTGCGCTCCCGGCAACGACGAGAGCACGTCATGGACATGTCTTGAGGAATCTGTGTAGATTCAAGTGACGTCTAGAAGCAGCTTCCATGCGGCCGCAAGAGCCTGGCGGGTAATCGAGGGCCGAGCCGAGACGATGTTTGTTATTATTGTCTAGATGTGTGGATTCCCTGTTTGTTTACTTGAAAGACTTTCAACGTCTGCTGGCATTGCAAGGACAAGGTTTTGTCAGGTCACTGCTCCTCCATGGTTGTTGATCAAAACAATAATGGTCTCACTGCTTAATGGACATGCAGGTCTACCGCTTATAAAATGAGTAACAAGGGAGAAACCAAAGAGTAAAATAAAACAAAAGATGTAAAGATACAAGGAAGCAGAGAAAGTTCAATGAATACATGGAAATGAAAATCCAAACTGATCAATGACCTTGTTAGTCCAAAACTTGGCCCTCACAAATCATCCCGCCAGATCAAAGAGAACATGAGTACTCACCCGGGTGGACACTATGAAAGTACTCCCAATACCTCTTGGTAATTGGGTCTGTTGAAATATAGTCTCCTTGGAATAACAAGAGGTTGCTTCGAGTTGTTGGAATTCTTCCAACAACTAACGCTACAAGTGTTGCGTAATGTGACCAAGATATCGCCAATCATGTGGATACCAAACTCATGAATTCAATCCCTTGACACGAGAATATACTCTTTGGTTATGATGAATATTTCTTATTGTTCAAGACCTTAACTCCTCAAGGAGCTGGTCACTTGTCTGCATACCCCGTCATACCTATGATATCTGAAAAATAATGTAGATGAAAATGCCCATGACCCTTGTACTCCTACCCATATGCAACAAAAGTAAGAAATGATACACCGAGACACCTATGAATGCGGGAGTGAATAGTAATATATGTTAAGTCCCATTACTTCATGACAGACGTGGTAAAATTTCAAGGCCCAAGCTCACTTAGAACTTGCTCCCGCAACGCCTCGTACCTCCGGCTATCGAACCTCTTTCTCTGCCACCCATTGGCCCGGAGTTTTTCGATGCGCTTCTGGAGGTTCTCGTCGCCGCCGGCGCTGCTGCGCATACTCATCTGGCTGGCGGCGCGGGGCGGCGGATAATAGCCCGAGTTGGACGAGCACACGCTCCCGCTGCGGGTGCGCTCCCAGGCGTCGCCAAACATGGACAGGCGCGCCGAAGTCAGGTCAAAGTTGGCCTGGGCCCCAAACGAGCTCTTGAGCTGCTGCGAGAGGGCACTGTCGAGCGTGTGAGGCGTCAGGGCCGCCGACAGCGGCGTGCTGGGCTGGTCGTCACCGCCGTCCGAGGCGCTCAAGGAGCCGGTGCCGGGCGGCGTCAGACCTGGGAGAGATGGCATTTCCGGCAAGGACGGCGTTTCCGGGATCTCTGGGGCCTCTTCCGACTCGGTGAGTAGGGCGTCGATATTGTCACGGTGCCAAGCTACTTGAGATCGAAGTGCCGAGAGTTGTGAAATGATGCGATTTATGGACCGGGTTTGGAGGAAGGACTCGAGGTCGAAAGAATCTCTGTTTTGAGACGTCTTTTCGGGAACTGATTTCAGAATAGGGGACAGCAAGCTTGGTGAGTCGGCCGCCTTGGGTATTGTGATGGCCATGGGCTTGCAGACGACTGCTTCCTCGGCGACTGCTCCGTGTCCAAATGGGGCCCACCCCAGAGTAGGGCTGTCTGGTCGAACATGGGGCTCTGCTTGAGGTTCGTACTTGGGAATGTCAATTCCTGGAAGGCTGGAGAATGAAACCTTCTTCTTCTTCTTTGGCTTGGCAGGCTGAGTCTCCGTGTTCAGGTCCTCGGCTGAAGATATCGAGTCCCGTGGTGTAGATGGGGATGTGCAAATGGTTGATGACCGGGGGCTTGCGCTTGAAGAAGAGCTCAGGCTGGGAGTCACCGAAAGTGAGCTGCCCGATCTCGACTTTTCAACAGCAATATCCTCGGCCTTTTTGATGAGGGCCGAAGCCTTGTCGTAGTTGTCGCGCGCATCATCCAGGAGCTTGGTTCGGTAGGCGGATGATTGCGATAGAGGTCGTGCACACATTTCAGAGGAAGATGCGGCGTAGAAATGTAGATATATGAGGTGAAGGGTCTCTACATTGGATGTATCCTTTAGATTGTCCAAAATCTCAGAACACCTTGCCGAGCATGTGCGGTATTTGCGGCTGATATACTTGCGCTTGACCTCATTGATGGCGTCCCTCCAGTCCTCTTGGGTTTCTGGGACATTGGCCGGAGAAGCTGGTGTCGTAATAGAAAGCCGTGCTGCTGCTTTTCCCATGGGAACAGACTGTTGTCGACGGTGACCCATACTACTCGGAACATGAGGCGTCATGAGGGATACTGGTCTTTTAACTTGAGTCGCCTGGGCAGAAACTGCTGACCGGTTGTTCGCCGCCGGCAAAAGAAGTGGTATTAATCCACCCATGATGAATATAGTTCTGTAAAAGCGAAGAGATGAGTTGATGAATAAGCCACGCACAGCAAAAGTTGGCTGGTGGTTATATCTGGCGGTGCAAGATTCGTTTTCTGCTTTTCGTCTGATATCGTCATCCAATGGACAAGGCAACAAGTTATTCCAATGGTCAATGGTCTTTGCCAAAATATTTCACTGCAAGTCGTGTAGAGGATTCAACCCGACGTCTTCCTGCAGACCCTGGGTAAAAAATGTGCTTGCAGCAAAGGAATGTATGTGTTGGTGATAACAATGTCGAAGAGGATGCCGGGGCAACCCGGACGTTTAGAAACTTTCACGTTTCAACCAGGTTGTTCGATCCAAGACAAGCCGTGCTTGAAGATGACTGAAGCGATGGACTAGGATTTCCACCCCGGATTGTCTATGCCTCTCTCGTCTGAAGTGTTCCGCTTCGCCCCCCGGATCATAAGATTCCCGTGTCGTGCCGATTGAAGTCGATTTCCTGGTTTACAGTCCTTTTACCGCTTGAGGACTCGGGAATAGCAATGTCTCAAAAGGTAGTGAACGAAGACACGGGTCGAGATGATCATGTAAGCTTTTGTGATTTAGTCATTGACAGCTTCGTGCCAGCTTCGTGTGCGAGTTTGTGTGTCGTAAGCCAGAAAGTTTGATCAAAAAAATAAAAGACGAGACGATCGGATGTGCGAAAAGCCAGGACTTGTATGTATGTATGTCCAAGCCTTGGCAAGGAAGAATACCAGGACCCGACCCCCCTCTATCTAATGTATCCCAAAGGTTATGCAGGGGTGCTGGCAGGGCCCGCTCGGATGCAATGGAGGCGGGTAGGTATATGTATAAGTAGACGACTTATACGGCAAAGATGTGACGCTGCTGAGAGTGACCAATCTCTTGTCTCTTGAGGTACGTCGGTATGAATAATGATAAAAGGTTGATCAAGTGGACACACGACTGTTTAGAGAGGAGGGGGAAAAGAGGGAGAGAGAGAGACTAAGAACACTTCTAGGACTTCCTAGAAGCAAAGGGTCCATAAACCCTTTATGCTTTCAAACGGTCAGGGCATAGTGTAGCCGCACGAAGAAAAACGCTGTAACGGGATTGGCCAAGTCGAGGGGGGTTTAGATTTCATATCAAATGGACATGGTCTGGCCTCGAAATCTACCAAGTACTTTCACACTGTACCTACATACGTATCTACCTGGTCAGCACGAACAAATGAACAGATCTGTGTGCCATTTGGTCCAAGGCCCGAGCTGACGGTCAAGCTCAAGTACGAGCTTTTGGCGGGGGGAAAAGAAGCAAGTCAGCACCAGGGTAAATTTGGCAGAGCCACATGATGGACAAAGCAGAATAGAGGTAGCAAACAGTTTCCCAAGAGAGAGAGAGACGGAGGGAAACAGCAGCTACGGTAACCAGGAAATGCTACCATGGAAAATTAAAAGTACCATTGAAAAACGTGTTTGTAGGCGGGGAGGGTAAAGAGAAGGACAGGAAGGAAATGGGGCCGCCAAAAGCAAGATTGGCATCGGTTTGGTAGAGGGGCGGGCAACTTTTCGATCGATGTTAGCAGATGTTAGCGTGGTGCGCCCCGTCCGCCATGCCGGTTTTACTTGCTTCTGCCCTTGCCCAGGACCCCTGTCTCTGTCACCTAATCTACTACGACCTTGACCACTGTGCATCTACCTACAGTACATACCGACACTACGACTACCGACGCCCGGGCGACCACTTTGATGCAGGAGGCTGGAGCCCATCAACATTTCTTTTTTTGAGCGCTGCTATCCGTGCTATGTTACCCCAGCTATCCGTGCTATGCCTCACTATATTTCGCAACTACCAGCCACCTGCCAGCTGCGCATATGGAGTCGTATGCAATAGTTTTAATTTTCCTATCCTTTACTAATCCATCCGAAGATCCTTTTTTGCAATAGGAAGCTGTATATTTAACTGATAAAAAGGATAATTGTGTAGCCGGGCCCAGCGACCAGCTAAGCGAGCAATAGCCCTACGCAGTGCTATTACCACCACGGCTCCTATAAAACAGCTGCTATTCCAACTATTATCGCATATAACGAAGAATTAGCTATTATTTTCTTTTCTTTTATTTATATTTACGGCGATGGCGCAGGGGCTATATAGGCGGGATAAGGTGGGACATAGCACGGATAGCTAAGGTGACATAGCACGGATAGCAGGACTCCAAATTTTGTGTCTCTTTTTTTCTTCTTTCTTTTCTCATCATGGACCGCCTCTGGGAATTTGTCCTTCATTTCTCTGCAAAACTCGGTAATAATTCCTCGGGATGAGCGAGATTTACCTCTTCCCCCCCTATTGGCACTTTCCCGTATCGATATGATCCCCGTCTGCTCATAAAACCGTTGCACCACCGGCGGCAGATTATTGAGTTATTGAACATACTGGGGTTGTTCAATCTTAGTACCTTACCCACCTGGCCTTTGCGTCTCGAGGCCATGTCCCGCCGCATCTCGACGGAACAAAATCCCCTGCTGCCGATCCCATCATCCATGGACCATGTCCATTCACCATGTGTGCGCACACGATGGACCATTGTCTTGTAACCGATGTCACTTTCATCGTGGGGTTGCCATGGAGTCGATGGCGCACTTTGTCATTTACCTACACAGTACCCCCATGGCCAGCCCGCGGGGCAGCAGCAGAGCCAGAGTGCTCTTCTTTTTACGGTAACAAGATCGCAAACGTCAACGAGGCGGGCTCATTTCCACGAGGATGCGCCTTGTATTTGTCGTCCGGTTCTCGTCAAGGAAGAATTTTCTTCGGAATCAGGAGAATTCGTAAGCGATTCTGGTCTACCTCCACTCTTTCACCAGAGTTGCAGTACTGTGTACTACGCTGCCACCCACACCTATCGCAGAGCAACAAGTACTTTGTAAATGGGTGCTGGTCACCTCAAGTCTCTCGAAACACGGAAACCCGGGAATTGTGATTCGTTCACAGCGCAGGACCAGTACATAGTCGACCCGAACCGGTCAATGCGTTTACTCTCGGTCTCTCAGTCGCTGTGTACATTGATACAGGACATTCTCACCTAATCCACCTCTCAGACTTCTCGTGAGCTCGCCTACAAGACCTTGATTCCCAGTTGGCTCTAGTGCGGAATGCAACCGCACTGACATTTCAACCAGGAACTGCAGATGATGCTCACATCGCATTGGCAGAAAGCTTTTCTTTACTCCTGCTCACGGTCACACGCGATGCTGACCCTGTACGTCCGAGCGTCAGAAGTTTGCTGCATCATGTTTCATTCTCTATCCCCAAGGATTAATGACAGTTGACCTCTTCTCCTCCCCTCCCATCCCACAATGCTATTAACAGAGAGTAAGACTTGTTCAGACTAATCTACTGTGGTTATAGTCGATTGTGGGGAGCAATAATGGTTCATCAAACTCAAACTACAGAATTAGAAATCAGTAGTTTCTCGAATCGTCGCTGCTAGAGGGCGCTTTGGCTATCCAGAGGTTCTACCATACCAACGGGATGGGCGACCGTTCATACAACTCGACCAGTCCAAGCTTCTTGGTAAAAGCTTTCACCATTCTAAAAAAGGCCCGTCTTGGCTCCATTATCCATTTTTACTGCCGCTGGGGCATTACCTTGACTACCATTTCCTTTTCCCACTGATCAACTACAACAGTGGACAAACAGAAGCAACGGACCTGCCCCAACCTGTTGGTAATGCTGATCTTCAGTCATTGGATCTTCTACTTTTGATGAAGATTCCAGTGATTGACCTTGCCAGCCCTATCGGCAGATATCTAGACATTTGAGCCTCAGACTTGATGAAAGATGATTGATATTCGGCCGAGTTTTGTTTGTTCATAAGGAGACACTCTACGCTAAACTTTCCAACCACGTATGGGCACTAATAACTGCACGGCTCAATGACGAGTCAGCCAGTTCAATATTCATCAGTCCTAGTTTTATAGACGGTAATAAGTTTTATACACAAGTACGCAATACCACCATTGTACTCTTACCATGATAGATCCGGCCAGCAAAGAGGTCCTTTGCTCTCAGCCATGAATGGTACAAGCTAAAAACTGCCTAAAAGTCATAACACAAAACCTCTTGTTCCATTTGAGCAAATTTGCATGCAGTACCTATGCTACCTATCCAATCCTCTCATATTACACAGTAGGAGAAACAAACACACACACAAACGTACAAACGTACACAAGGAATTGTCCTGTTCATCTTTTGCAAGGAATCATGTCACCCCAGTCCACTGTAGGATTGCGGACAGCAGACGTTCCACTTTTTTCGCAACCTCGCAATGACGAGCTGCGATCTTTGAAAGGAAAAGAAATCTCCGCTTCCACCCCCCCGGCCCACGTCTCCTTACTCTCCACACACAAGGTTACACATACTCCATAACCATTGCATCACTCGATCAAAAAAAGCACCACCAAACAAAAAAAGTCTGGAATGTTTTTCTTTTCTTCGTAATCATAATCGTGTGGGGGAAATTCATCTTTCGTATCCATACAACTGCGCCTCAGTAGACGACGGGGTCTTTTTCTTCTTGAGGCCACACTGATTTTGACAACAAGGAGGCGGAAATGTAGCAATAGGGGAGGGCCAAAAAGATGTCTAGGCTACCTATTTTGTACAATCAAGCCCAACAAGGGTTCAAAACTTTCCTACTGCAGCATCTCGCTTTGACAGATTGGACAGGTTCAAGAGCCGACAAAGAGCCACCACCACCACCACTCACCCCCTGATGGTTCATGTATGTACGTTATCTACAAGGTAGGATAGGGCAAAGTCATGGTAGTTCATGTCCCATGTATGCCAGGGACGGGACCCTCTCCCCGAGCCATGTAACTAATAACCTGGTAAAAAAAATAACTACATTCGGTATTTGTTATAATATTTTCCGATCACGAGAATCCTTTACAGCGCTCGTTCCCTTTTTCTCGTATCATATCGAGAGGAAACTCTTTGACCAACAAAAATATACAGGATAGTGGATAACAAGCATATTCTTTGCTTATTCGTCCTGGAAATGGGAAAAAAATCCGACAGCCTGAGCAAGATACTATAAAGTTTTTCAGCTGCAATCTGAGCGCCAGTTCGCAAAACCCAACCATGACGGGATATCCCTTGGGAGCCCTCTCTCGGGTCTCACGGATGCTTGTCCGCCACTGTGTGTAGTATATATATTCAAGCTGCAGGGTACAATAACATTCGGATATGCATACATGACAAGTAACGTCGAGCTTTTGCGGTGTAGGTGAGATGTGACGGAGAGATGGGATGAACACCCCCCAAGACTTGACAATTGACCAATAAGACGAGCAACCAAAATTCCATCAACTTTGGGTTTTCTTTTCCCTGTGGCTGATCTGATATGCACGAGTAAACATAACAATGTGAACCTTGGACGATGCGCCACTCGAAAGGATTCGCAAGTGTTGCCATTTGGTCAATTTCATAATTTCTTTTGCTTTCTTTCTTATTCGCAGACTATCATGATTCCTGCATTGGGCGAGGAGGAAAAGGCGTCCGTGAGTATCTACCATCGGCTCAATAAGATTGCCACGACTCAAGTCTATTGCTGTGGCTGTTCCTGTTGCTTTCCGTCGTCTACCGGGGCGGCTTGCTCAACGGCTGCGGCAGCTTCGCCCGGGGTGACCTCTTCCCCCCTGATACCGTGAACCACCCGCAGACCCTCGGCCTTGACTGTGAGGCCGTCCAGCTCCTTCTTGCGCTGGAGCCTCTGCTTGACCTCCTCGGCAACATTGTCAAGGCTAATCAAGACACCCTCCTTCTCGGGGTGACCATCGCTCAAACCCATCTCCTTGATCTTGACCTGACCCTTGGCCAACTCATCCTCTCCGAGGACAATGGCAAATGGAACACCATTGTTCTCGGCAGCCTTGAATTGGTTTTGCAGCTTGGGCTTGACTTTGTAGAGGAACTCGGCCTAGTGCGTGAGCATCATGGTTAGCCGGGGCTGAAATAGCGTAGAGTCCGAGTTACTGCCGCCGTTGGACGGCTGCAAATCACAATATTGTTTTAAAAACTTACCTTGATACCGGCCTCCCATAGTGACGCACAGACGGACATGCGCTCCTTGAGCAGACCCTTGAAGCCCGAGCCACCAAAAGCCATGACATAGACATCGACCTCGTTGCGCCGCACGGCGGCAGCGTTCTTATCTGCCTCCATGCGCGCCTTGGTAATGGAGAATATCCGGTCCACGCCAAAAGAGATACCGACGCAGGGGACCTGGTTCTTGCCCGAAAACATGCCGACGAGGTTGTCGTATCTACCGCCGGCAGCGACGCTACCAACGCCAATAGAGGGGTCGTTGGAGCGGTCGTCATCCGGGTCTGTCGATGCCTTCTTGCCCTTCTTCTTGGGGGCGGGCTGTACCTCCTCGGCCGCCGGGGTTTGCGAAGGAGCCGAGCCTTCTGTGACGACTTCGTAGATGACACCAGTGTAGTAGTCCAAGCCACGGGCCAAGCTCAGGTCAAAGGACACCGTGTCGAGCGCGTTAAAGTATTCCAGGTAGTTGAAGAGCAGCTCGAGATCATCCATACCCTGCTTCATTGACGCATTGGCAGCGAGCTTCTCGTCGGCGCGCAGCTTCTCCAGCAGGTCTCGCTGGCCCTTGAGGGTAACCCACTCCCCGATGCGGTCTGCGACCTCGGCGTCCAGGCCCTTCTCCTCGGTCATTTCCTTCCTCACGTCGGCCCAGGGCAGCTTGTCGAGCTTGTCTACTGCCGATGAAATGGTGCGGATCTTGTCCTCGGGCACGCCGCAGACCTCAAAGATACCGTCGAGGATCTTGCGGTGGTTGAGCTTGATGGTAAAGGTGCCCGACCAGCCGAGAGCCTCAAAGACCTCGTTGATGATGCGGATGACCTCGGCGTCGGGGAGCATGGGATCGAAGAGGGCGCCGGCAATGTCGAAATCGCACTGGTAAAACTCTCGCATACGGCCCTTTGTCATGGCGGGCTGGTCTCTCCTGTACACCTTGGCAATGTGGTATCTCTTGATCTGTTGCACGTCCTTGTTCATGGCGAGCCACCTGGCAAAGGGGACGGTCAAGTCGTATCGCAGACTGCAAAGCTCTCCGCCCTGGTCGGCGAGATCGTAAATGAGCTTGCTGTCCTCGCCATACTTGCCAGAGAGGATCTCTTTGAGCTCGAAAACGGGCGTGTCAATGGTGACACCACCGTGGCGCTTGAAGACTTCGGTGATGGTGTTGAAGATCTTGTCGCGAATGACCATGTCCTTGCCCTCCCCTTGTGGACATTTAGCACTTTCATGATATTTTTATTCCGGCGAGCCGACATTGCTCTTGAAAAAGAACTCACAGTCCTTGGTGCCCTTGGGGGTCTTGAGCTCGAACTTGGGGGCCTTGGGCGCCATGTCGTCAGATTCTGGTGGCTCAGTATAGCTCTGGTGGGATGTCGAGGTAAAGGTACGCGGGGTAGTTTGCGTCGCCGGGACCGCAGTCGTAGTGGTGGTAGTAGCAGTGGTAGCGCGACAAAAATTGCCAATCGATCGGGGTCGGGTGAGGACAGAGGCAGAGACGGGAACAGAAAACTGTCGGAGGGAGCGCGATGGTCTGGCGGACCTGAGAAGGGATTGGATTGGAATATTCATCCAAATAATTCTTTGGAGTTTGCCCGCAGCCCCTCAGCGGATGCGCGCAAAATGGGGATTAATTCTCGTGAGTCAAACCGGAGCCCTCTCTGACCTTGGGTACGTTACGGCATGTGTCAGAGCCTATGCAAGGCTGAATGGGGATTTTTTTTTTCTTGAGCGACATGAAAGGCGCTATGGAGAGTTGGGCACTCTGATTGGGTTGTGCTCGTCATGGCGGGGTCATATCGGCAGATCGTCAAATCAGCGGGCCTTGAATTGGTACCTGTTGGGCATTAGTATATGCAGGTAGATTGAAGTATTCTGATTATATCGTTGATTAGTGTCTCTTCAGGTATCTTAAGCCAAGTCAATACTAATCAACTGCTTGTCTAGAGTTATCAAGACTTTGATACTGTTCCATCCGTCCATGATTTTAGTCTGTTACCTTGACTTGAATTGGCCAAATTATTTCCATGTTTTGGACTATTCTTTGTTTCAAAAGCTGAGGTAAGCGAGGGTGGGTGGCGGTGCACTCTCCACCCCAAGCTCGAATGACTTCATTGCCACGAAGGAGGGAGGACGGACTTTGTAGATTCATCCATCAATTCTATTGATTTCATCAAGCAGACCCCCTGTTTATCATCAGTGGCTCAAATAGAGTTGCAACTGTAGATTGCTTCTACTTTACACATCCTAAAGCACATACTTGACAAACCCTGTACCATGGGCCGCTGGTCGCAATACGATACGGACGAGGAGCGGTTGCCCTCGGGCATGACCCGCATAGGCTACGATGCCGATGACCAGACGTACACGTTCCGCGATGCCGACGGCAGCATCTGGGAGAGCGCCCCGGGCAGCCAATACGGCGGTCTTCACCGAGTGTCGGGACCGCCGGCTCCGCGCCAGCAACAGCAGTCTACCCACTACGAAGCGGGAGACGGAGAAAACGACAACGACGGCTTGCTTGAACAGCCGCCTCCGCCGTACACGGAGGACCCGGAGGACCCGACTACCAAGGCGTCGTGGCGAGCCGAGATGATGCCCTTGTTCAACTTTTTCATGATTGTCGGGCTGTTCCTCATTGGTGTCTTCTTTTACCTCCGAGCCACGGCCCGCCAAATGGATGACAGGCTACGACAGGGCCAGTGCGGAACAGACGGCGTGCCCTATACAATCCACCATGGAGATACGTGCTGGGATATCGCCAATGCCAGGGACTCTTCAGTCGAGACACTCTTGGGGTTGAATACGAATCTCGACTGTGATAGGCTACAGGTTGGAAAGTCAATCTGCGTCCCAGAGGCTTGAGTCTGAAATGACCAGAGTTTATTATGAATATTGTCAAGGCTATCAGGGCTCGTGAGAAATTGTATATATTAGTCTTGTAATTGAACCAGTTCTATCCGTAACGCCATTTCTATCCCTTGTACTGTGTACTCTTTTGATGCCTGACCCAGTCTCTTATGCAAATATCGTTTCGAGTCATGCGATTTCGTTTCCTTTTCATGTGCTCTCCCATCAATAGCACTGGTCTTGCATTCCCGTATTAGTAATATATACATCCGCGTCGATATCCATTTCGTGTGTCAAGCCCCAACACCTCGTGTCATCCAACCATCCGTGCTCTATATCATGTTGAGCTGCCCAAGTTTTCTGCAAAGCGCGGTACGTCCATGTAACCAATGCGTTGCTCATAGACTGTGCATGTATTCACACTAGCTACGATGGCAAAGTGAAGACAGCAATGCCGGTCCAATTGTTGCCCTTGTACGGGCACAGTTTAGCAGGTGGGCTTCCGGCTAATACGTTGAACGCCGTGCTCAAGCAATTCCGATGCATGGCGGGCATGTCGAGCTCGAGTTTGTCTGCGCCGTTCAAAACGCGTATGAGACTATTCTCTGCATGTATGGTGATGGTGTCAAAGCTGTGGACGTGGAAAAATGTGGTTTGTAGGTGAGATTGCATTGATTGAGCAAACCTCTCAAACCGGGATCCAAGCAAAGACGGCCAGAATCGTCAAGATGGCGGGCGCCACGAGGAGCGCCAGGTGCGGTGGCCGCATTTCTGACGAAGCAGACGGGACGACTTTTCCAGAAGAAGTCATGACCCAACCAGAGGGCAACACGGCGCTGACAGTGTTGGTGCTGGTGCCCAGTGCTCCAGCAGGTACGCTCGCCGTGGCCGTGGATCCGGCAGTCGCAGTCACGGTCAGCGAGCCGGCGCCGTCCAGGTTTCCATTGATGGTGCCGCCCTCGGATGTGATCGAGGTCCAGTCACCCGAGGTGTCGCTGTACGAGTAGGAGCTGCCCGTGCTGTAGTCGGTCACCACCATGTTCTTGACGTACATGCTAAAAGGTCCCTCTGAGTAGTCGGTGGGACCGCGTGCCCAGTCAATGGTGCCGGCGCTGTTGCTCGAGTCTCCTCCGGACCAGGCGCCAAACTTGATCTGCATGGGCGTCTGGGGATACTGATCGGTCTCGGCGTCGTCATATGTCAGAGTCCGGACAACCGTGTCGGCAACCATCCACACGATGCGCTCGCTGGTCCAGTCAATGGTGTATTTGATGAAATTGTCCTGGCATCCTTCGGCCGGATTCCACTCTCCGCGGTTGTACGTCGTCACTTGTCCCTTGCCAAAGTAATTTGTCGCCACTTGATAGGTATCGGCGCCCAACCATTCCATGTCAATCTCATCGAGGTCGTCGGATTGCAAAACGACCGATGACACAATTCCTGCTCCCGGTGCTGCCTTGAGCTCAAATTCGACACGACCAAACATGATATAAAACAGCGAGTTCAGCTGTGGTGCATCTCCAGACTCGGCCACTGTAAATGTGACGCCATCGGTCGAGCTGTATGTAGGAGTGCCTCCCGATGCTGAAAACGAATTGACTTCTCCTTGAGTGAAATCAACAGTTATGGTCATTCCAAGTGCCGTATCAGCGTCACATGCTAAAAATAAATTGTCAGCTCAATCTCTGGGCAATATGGTTTTTGGGGGGAGATGGCGGGTGTGCATACTTGTCTCGAGCGGGTTGCAACTTGAGTATGTCTGAGCAGCGACTTGGCTCACCATTAGTGCTGCCACAGCGGCAGTCGTTCTCTGGAGCAACATGCTTTTTGTTGTGATTATATTATTGGAGAAAGGAATTATAAAAAGTAAACAAAAATAACAAGAAGCAGGTGAACGCTGGCTGAGCAAAAATCCAGAGATGAGTTCTCGGAGCAGAAAAGGTAAGGAAAAAGAAGGGTCCTGTATTGAAAAGACCCTGGATTATGTACACCACACAGGCTACACGCTCGACTAGGTTCCACGTATGTTGGTACAATGCAGTTGTTCTAGTTTCAGTATGCAAGAATGAGGAGTTTTGAGTTACACACGCAGCCCGAATGATTCTTATTGAACGAAAGCAGAACCGGAAGCGGTAAGGAAAAGGGGAAATTATCGGTCGCCGCCCAGCCCTCAGGCCCAAGGCGCAATCGTCATCATCATCACGGACGGGTCGTTTGTTACAAGATCCAACTTCCAAGCCGCTCGCTCAGCTCTCTCTCTCCATGGCCGTCAGCTTGTTAGTTGCAAACTTACGAGTCCATTTCAAGTGGATCACAAGGGGGGGCTTGGCTGGCCCAATGACAAGCCTGGGCATGTCCATCAGAGTGGCATTGCACATGTGCAGCGATGCCCTATGTAGACCACCATGATGTGCTGGCTGTCGATGAATTGGGCGTAATGCCGAGCGCCTTCTACAGTAATAAATCTTGGTGGTTGGGGAAATTTCCGTCGGTTAAGAAGAGGTTGGTAGCGCTAAACGGGCCTTGAATTACGCAGCTAGTGGGATTTTCAGTGGGACCTATTACTCGATTCCGGGCAACCGTTAGCATCTGTGGCACCTAAAAGTCGAGGGGTTGGTGCTACGTGATCACCTCTAGCCGAGAAAACGAACTCGAACGACCCAGGTCAAGGGTCGCCTCATTGTCACCCTTGAAGCAGAATGCGACAGATTAATAAATGACTTGACCCACGAGAAACTGGTTTAGGAAACCATCAAGTCTATGATTTATTGCGTCACCCTGATACTGCCATTATTTCAGGCTTTGAAAGATGATTTCTGCACTGCCATGTATCTATGGATTGTTGGAAGGAAGTGAGTGGTATAATGCTCTAGGTTAGTATATCATTGTTGCCGCTCCAATTCTCCAAACCATAGCTGCCTGCACCCAACTATGACTCGATGGACAATGAGGATCACAGATCTTTTGCTCTCTGCTGGAACATGCAGCTCTTGTTAACATACGTCCAATCCCGAGAAAGACATTGTAATTCCGAGACAAACCTTGGGCTTGGTAGTGGTTTATCCTGTATTCTCTATCATCTCAAGGCGAAACAGGCCAGGCTTGTTCAGAGTCGGTGGGTTCACCAAGCAGCGCACCTATAAGAATTAATATTTCCATGTGATTTTTGGACATGCTCGCTTACGGGAACCAAGTCATATCTTACCTTTATTAAATGATAATGATGCATTTTTCCAATCGCAAAGTGCTTGTGTGATTTGATAGACTAGCAAGTCATCCTTTTTCTCTTTTCTCTCTCTATTTCTTCTTCTCTCTTTCTTTTCTTTATCGTTTTTTTAAGACAGATTTAAACAGAGATCCACAGATATACTGCTTAACGTGCCGTTACGTTGTTCAGAATAGGAGACAACCTTTTGAGATTTATACGAATACGGAAGGCGTTAAACAATACCGCATCCAAGAAACAGAAAGAACATACGCCAATGTGAACTATACGCTTAGTATATTGGAACAGGACCTAGAGCAATAAATTCATTTCTTGGAAAGGAAGAAAATCCGCGGTGAATCATGGTACCAGTTTGAAAATGGCAAAGAGCACCTCAAGCCAAGCGAGGAGGAACATAAAACTCTTGAACGATGACAATTGGAACTGACTTATTACAAGAAGATCTTTGGCCAGGTGAAGGGCCTAGAGAAGAGGAGTTCCAGGACGATTGGGAGTTTGGCGCTCCATTCAAGCTTTCAAATATCCTTTGAACAGAAAGGATATCTCAAAGACTGGGGTTTGATCGGGTCAGTCTCAACCAAGTTTGTCAAAGATCCCAAAACCAAGGTTTTTGTGGGTGATTGTTTGAAAGAGTTCATGACAAAGAACAAACTCCCCAAAAGCTCCTCATTCTATAAGAATTTCAGCAATGGAGTTCTTGCATTAAGGCTGGAAGACCAAAAGGAGCAAAGATCCCCGGGGGTCGTTCCATGTCGGCAAACGAGGTGCTACGACTGGCCTGACTTTTGACCAGACAAGTTGGATAGAAGCGGTCGTGAGATACACAGACCGTATTGGCAATTCTTATAGCTGGGAACTTGTTGTTGTTATCCCGGCTCCCAGTGAAGGCCCTTTTCTGACAGTGAGGACTCAGGTTCGTGTGTATTTGACCTAGATGGTCGGATCCTTGGGATGGTCGTGGCTAGTAACCGTGAAAGTAGAATGAAATGGCAAAGAAGCATGAGCCCCGACGGCGACGGTTGTCGTCAAATAAAATGCACCCCAAAGAAAACTGGGGGCAGGCTGAAGCACCCATGGCCCACGAGGATACCATCGGAACATGGCCAGTCGATGCAGACGATACTTTTGTATCTCCCATCGAGTGGGTATCAGATGATATCAAAAGGCTTTCAGGCCGTAAGCCAAGGGTTTTATCAATATAAAGCACATTACTCCTCATACCCTACACACTTGCACTCTTGTCCATTTCTTCCAATATGATACCCGCTCGGTCATCACTATCCGGCTTTATCGAAAACGATGAGTGAGTTCAAGGGCAATCCTTCCGATTTTTGCAATCACTCCTCAAAGCGTTCTTAATGTGCTGCTGGTATGAGCTATGGGAACCCTTTTAGAGGCCTTTCATCGCCACTGCCAGTAGATATAATGTATGTACCCAAGTAAACAAACATAAAAGACGCGTCAAGAATTAAAGGGGCCGCATAAGCACCCAAGATCAAACACAAACCATAAACCTTATAGAATCATAATTTTCAGGCAGCTACAATACTAAAATGTCGAATGGACCTGGCACCAACTTTTTTCGACCCCCTTTCCTACCTTGCTCCAATAAGCGTCAACGGCAAGAACACACTTCATCCAGCCCGAAAAAGGTCAGGAAATCGAGCAGTGAAGGCAGCTTGTCAACGACACCAAGGAGCCTGCCAATCTCGACCATGGAGCCTCTCCCACACAAACCAAGCGATGTCAAGCGCAGGGGTATTATTTCGGAATACCCGGATCTCCAGAGCTAATCGCTCGAACGTGAACCGAACGCTAGCATCCGCCAATTTGTGTCGTCGGCACTTTTGCGGGTGTTTGTAGAAAATATCTCGCTGGTATCGACCAACCCAATCTCATCGCTGAATAGTCCCCAAAGCTATCTCATCGCCTAATTGAGATATTATAAGATTGCCCCTGGGAATGGTTCTTGCCAATTTGCGTTGGTATTGATAACATTACCGACCTTCATAGGAAGCACGTACCAAAGAGGCTGAATACATCCACGGTATTACTAATTAGAGTACCAAAGGATACGATTAGTTAGGAAAAGCCATTAAATTCGCATTGGATTGCCGGAAAGCTCTCCGCGAACATAATATCGACAATGTTCACGTCGAAATCCGAGATACTGCCAAGAGCAAGCTGCAAGTGCAGAATTGGAAGCACAAATCGATATCATAGAACCCTCTTTCCAGAAAACGAACAATCAAGCTCTACGTACGTTATGATACCCGAGCTTCCCAGTGACCTATAATCGAGTACCCATGTACTTTATTTCTGACATGAATTAATAGTTTTTTGACGTGATACAAAGCTGACGGGTGTGGTGTGGAAAAGCGGGGCTGGGTGACCCGAGCATCTGGATAGGAACGGGAAGTGATGCAGCTCGGAAGAGCCTCACAAATGGTCGTGACGGAGGATCAAGAACTTGACGGATCAAAGGGCATGCCATCTCCAAGAAACCTTGTAGTGCTCTGGTTGTGACTAGGGTAGGGTAGGAAGAATTGCAAACTTGTGAATAACAAGATTCTTTTGTTACGATGGACTCTCTTTCTCTCTTATTTTTTTCTCTCTTTCTCTTTCTTTCTTTCTTTCTTTCTTTATTTTCTCTCTCCTTCTATCGACTTTCTGCCTACACCATTCGACGAGATTGCCTACATTCTCGCAATTACAAAGGATCTCATCTAGGTGTCCACATGTGCCAAGTGGACCACGGCATCTCCACAGAATGCCAAAGTTAAAAGAGGCTTGGCAGCAACTAAACAGTATACTCTATTGAAGGCGCCTGAATGAGAGTTTTCTCGAGTCCCGAGAATTTGTCATGTACGAGGTAGGTCATGGAGAGTCGCCTGCACGAACTAGCCTCAAGACTGCCTCGGCTATCACCCACGTACCGTGTTTACACGAGCATCAACTCTCACAATAAGGCGTAGTGACATCTCTACGGCACCTCTGACGGCTAACGTTCCCGACGGGTCACTTGTCAGTACAGTCTGGTCAAAAGAAGTAAAGAGCTCCTTGGGTTACCAGCAAGAGGAGAACAACAATAGCATAACAATAGATTACAACACAAGGCTTCAAACATGTGAATCCAAGCATTGGGGACGCTCATTTACCAAATGATTTGCCAATTTACTTACTATAGCAATGCTCCACAAATTACAGTTTCTAGACTACTGTGTATATCCCCTTTATAGCTTCGAGCTATACTCGACGCCCTAGCGCATAGCATGAACTGAGAACCACAAAATCATTATCATCATATCATGGCAAGAAATGACCATTCAAGACGACCACCGGAGCATAACGCCCTGGGCGCCCTCTTTTTTACCGCGCTCAGCGTCGCATTCTCCAATACAAGAGTGTCGCAGGTCAATGGGCCAGTACAGAAAGAATCCACTATCCTTTCAAGTTTCAATGGATCCGGTCCAGGGTTCTTCTACTGTCTGGTATGCACATGTTGCTTTTTCTCCTCTGCGACTATACCACATCGCGCTCTCAACTCCGCCTTTTGACTTCGCTTATCAGCAACTCCCGCTTGCCCGCCAGCCGATGGGACAGCCGGGACTGCCCACCACTTCCTCCCGTCGGCCGCATATACATATTCCTTTTCCGCATCGCTAAGAAATGTTTAGGTAGGAGCGCATCCGAAGAGGGGAAAACAGGATTGCCAATCAGCCATTCGACCACAAGGAAGGGGAAAATCCCAATGGTTTTAACTGCAGACATTTGTTTAGTTTTTCTCGACCAAGCCCAATAGCCTTTGCCACGCGGTGGGATGGAAGAACAAGGGCCCTTGCCCATTATACATCCCGGAATCATACATGCATCCCCGGGACATTCAGCTATCCCTGCCTTGACGGGCCTTTTTTTCTCGACTGCATCCCGAGGTTGCCTTTTGACGTGGGTTGGGACATGATGATCGGAACAGGTATGCTTTGGTTAAAGAGCATTCGCGTCATGAAGTCGGGGGGAAAAGTAGAAATGATATACATATTACAAATGCACAATCATTCCCCGTTATGCAGGTCGAGGGAAACGACTTTTTTTTCCTGTGTTTTCTGGTTTTCTTTTCCCATAGTGATTTCCCCCACAATCCGTCCGTCGACTGTTTACTCAAGTGTAGCCAGCCAGTCTGTCGAGGAAGGAAAACAGTGACTCGTTGAGAGGGGTCATACCAAATCACAATGGCAGATACAGCACCCCCATTTGCCATTGACGAAAAGACGCCGGTTCCCAAGGACGGATCAGCTCACGAGTCCAACACGACGGAAACGGACAGCCATGATGTCGCGTCGAGTCAGATAGACACGGACCTGGGCAGCAAGGTGACGCGCAAGATCGACATTGCGCTGCTCCCGCTGCTGGGCATGATGTACCTGCTCGCCTTTCTGGACCGGACCAACATCGCGACGGCCAAGCTCAATGGCTTCGAGGCGGACCTGCACATGCCGTCGTCGGGCTACAACACGGCGCTCTGGGTGTTTTATCTGCCCTTTGTCCTGCTCGAGGTGCCCTGCAACCTCATCCTGGGCCGCCGCGGCGTCCGGCCCGCCTACTGGCTCGGGGGCATCATCTTCATCCTCGGCATCACCTCCATGTGCCAGGGCCTCACCCGGTCCGCCGGCGGTCTCTATGCCTGTCGGGCCTTGATGGGCGCCGTCGAGGCGGGCGTGCAGCCGGGAGCCGCGCTGCTCATGGCGCAGTACTACAGACGAGTCGAGTTTGCTCCCAGATTTTCATTCTTTATTTGTTGTGCCTTGATCGGAAACACATTCAGTGCCGTGAGTATAGACCTCGTGTACGAGCGACTATAGACTCCTCTTCATTTGCTAACCTCCACTGTGACATAGTTTCTGGCTTATGCCATTAGTCACATGGACGGAGTCCACGGTCTCGAGGGATGGCGATGGATATTTATACTCGAAGGCATCGTGACTGGCTGTTTTGGTATTGTCCTTGGAATTTTTACTCCGAGCTGGCCCGAAAAGGCACACTTTCTGAATGAATCCGAGCGTGAAGTCTTGTTGCGCCGTCTAGAGATTGAGAGGGGAAAAGAAAATCTCGACATGCAAAACGTCAACTGGATCAAGTGCATGCTCAACTGGAAGACGTGGGCAATGTAAGTGACTACAAGACATTTGCACGCCATCACTTACTTCCCTTGGCTGACCAGACTTGCAAAGCACCCTCGTCTTCTTCTGCTGCGACATGAGCGCCGCCTCGACCGTCTCCTTCTCGCCCACCATCCTCTCCCAGCTGGGGTACAGTGGCAACCGGGCCAATGTCATGTTGATACCCATCTACCTCGTGGGTGCGTTCATCATGGTGTCTTCCGGATGGATTGCTGGGCGCATCAACAACCGCTCCGGCGTCATTGCCTTTGGCGCGGCCATGTCCATTGTCGGCTGGGCCATCCAACGTGCCCAGGTTCAACCTGCTGGAGTCCGCTACTTTGGTCTCTACATGATTTACTGGGGCGCCAATATCCAAATGCCCAACTGTGTTGCTTGGTTTCACAGCAATGTGGTTGGTAGACCAGAAAAGGCTGTTGGGATGGCTATTATAGCTGGTTTTGGGTGAGTAATCACAAATCTCGCCTCTTCACAATGACCAATGACTGACATGATTATATAGCAACTCTTGCAATTTCGTTGCCTCCAATGTATTCATAACCTCTGAAGCACCACGGTATCCGACTGCATTCTCTACTGGTCTTGCCATTCAATCATTGGGATTCGTGTCTTGCCTGACACTGGCGGGTTTCTTCTTTATCCAGAATAAAAAGGCTGGCACTCAGAAATACTACTTATGAGTTGACATTCCGAGATCATGTATAGACGCCCCATACTAGACTAGATTTTACAATAATTACAACACAATCAACCACGCTATTCAATGCAAATTTCAACCATGATTGTGGATTCTAGAAGTATTCTCTAGTATTGTCGTTACGCAATTCCCTTCACTATCAATGTCGTCTCCCACCATGACTCGGTGTGGTCCATATTGACACATGGAAATCTCGTGTTAGTGGATCATTTACTTAACACCTTTCAAGCACACGTTTCTTTCATCACAGCTTCTCAAAGCCCGCTTGGCTCATCGGTAGAGCGCCTCACTAGTATCCTTTCCAGGAAGCAATGAGGAGGCAATTGGTTCGACTCCAGTAGTGGGCAAGAATAAACAGTTCTTGCCACCAATCATACGGTCCTCAATAGACCGACCGATTCCTTTTTTGCACTTTTCCAAACTTGAGATGATTACTTTTTTCTTCTGCTCATAATCCTTCTGATTGTCCTGTTTGCTTGCTCGATTTCTGGCTCCCTTTTTTTTTTCCATCATATATTTCATGATTGGACTACAAAACCGTGGTAGTGACTTGAAAATTCTATATTTGTAGTATAATCCAAATCTAGGACTGCCATCTACGACCAAATCGGCTTGGACAAGTAAGCCTCGGCCTCGAAAAGAATGTCTGACCTACTTCTTCAGCTAGATGTTGCCTTGCCGGCATCCTCAACCATTCGCGAGACAATCTTGTCGTGAATCTTTTGCCAATTGGCCTCGACGCTACTCTTGACGAGGCCCATGAGCATGCGATTACACGACACGTAGACTTCCTCGACGAGCTCAAGGCCACTGTCGTCGGCGGCAGCATTCTCTCCCCCTCCTCCCTCCTCTTGTGTCTTGTTGTCGGTCCTCTCCCGCACCGTCCACGTCGTCTCCATCATTACACCCATGGGAGAGCGCACCCGCACCCACAAGCCGTCGGCAAAGTCGACCATTTCCTCATTGCTCTTGACGTTGCTGCTGTACACGGGATTTGGGACATGATCATGAACTTCGTACAGCTTGACCGTGGGGTTTGCGCCCGCCAGCGCCGAGACTGGGGCTGGCACCTTGTACGATGCAAAGGTCGGCGCCGGGTTGGTCGGTGCTTCTACGGCCTTGTAGTCTGTCAGGTGCGGATCGCAGTGTAGGTAAAAGTCATGGTCGTGGAGGAGCGCGACGGCCCCCTGTCTCTTGCTCGGGGGCAACGGTATCGGGGTCGTGTTGCGCAGGTTTGCAGTCGTGTTGAGGACTAGGTCAAAGTATTCATGTTAGTATCTCCATGTCGACACGGACGCTGGCATAAGCCGGTCCCCATCAAGTGTTGGTGTAAACAAGACATCAGGGGTATTGACGCCGTAGAGAAGTGGACAGTTCAAATGTGGCATGACTGCGGGGCACAGCAAGACGAATCAAACCAGGCGGCTTACATGACATTTTGCTTTTAAACTCAAAGACAATTGAAGCTCGCTGATAGTCTACAAAAGCAGCAAAAGATTGAGACAGCTCTAGAAAATAAACAATCTATATATCTCTTAAAGATATTGCACAATGCCAAGATCTGTACGCAGAGGCTTGACGAAACCAATACTGTCTTGTATTTGAGCTTGGAGCAATAGCTCTCACTAGACACCGGCCCGTGACATCCTAGGTTAGATCTGATCGCCCGGGACGAATCTCTGCCGATTTGATTGACCATGGTTGCAGACCCTAGAGGCAGTAGGGGCATTCCATGAACCAGGTAGAGTCAGTCAGTCAATCAATTCAAAGATCAACACCTATTGTTGAATGATTATATTTATATTAATGCCATTTGCGCTTCTGTAGACCATGTACTTGCGCATAATCTACCATGACGAAGTGCTGGGAAAAGGGTATCTCATATGACATTATCTTGATCTCAAAACAAAAACATTCCATCGCCCTGTGCCACGATTTGGCAACAGTCGAGTCTCTCAATTTCGTTCTTTCGTTCAGACCTCTCTCGCGACTTTTTGCTTCTTCTAGTCTAGAGTAATAGCAGTATTGCTCGAGGTGCCTGATTGCTGCTGCATCGGCCGGCCCCGGTTTGCTTGAGCTGCCGTATTCTTTTGGTTGTTTGGTTTCGATGCTGGTTGCATCTTTGGTGTAGGTTGCGTCTTTGCTGGCTGCCTTGAAGCCACTGGCGAGGTAGGGACTGGCTTCTTTGCCAACTCTCTTGCTGCATCGTCCACCGCCTTGAGCAGTGCAATGATGCTATCGTCTGCGTTGCAGCAAGCGCTGTCGCCAAAATTCTGCCAACCTGCATTGGCTTGGCTCCAGACTTTTGCTAGCACTGGCTTGAACTCGTCGTCGGGGTTCGAGTTTGGTCCAATTTCGGATCGAGTAACGTGCCAGAATGGCGAACCACGTCGTTCCCTGAGCTTCAAGGCGATGCGATAGACTCGTGGTGCAGCCTTGTTCGGTCCTGACAAGATGTATCTAATAGTGAACCAATCTAGTTGCTCGGAAAAGATCTCGGCACGTCCCTGTGGTACTTGGGCCCAAGAATCCTCGATCTGGTCCAATGCCTTTATTGCGGGAAGGGTAAAGGCCAAGTATTGTGGAAGCTTGCTGAAACCCAACGAAGAGTTAATGAGGCGGTTGAGACCGTCAAGGATACGTAGATGGGGGTTTCCTTTCTCCAGAGACATCTTGATCTGATCGGATCGTAGGTCCAGAGAAGCCTTCCAACGTCGAATGTTGGCTTCCGCTGCATTTCCGGCAGTGCGTCCGATTGCATCGCTATAGGTAAAGTCGACTCGAGCAAGAGTGATGGTATCGCATTTGATATCCGAGGGGCTGCGCCTGATGGCGTCCACACAGTCGACAAGTCTTTCAATGGCGTGAATCCGGTTGGCCAAGTCGCCGACAATGGTGGTTCCCAGGTCGGCCTTGAGCTGCAACGCAAAGACGCCAAGTTGAGTATTATAGGCAACGTCCTGCTCAACGTTTCCTTGGAGAAGACCAAACTTGGCTGGGTCCACGACCCTGAAGCGAGCGTCGGCCACAATGGAGAGAAGTGGCTGTTTTTGTGCTTGATCCTCGCCCTGCTGAATTTCCTTTCGAATTCGTCGTGTATTCTCAATCCTCATGAACCTGATAAACACATGGTCATGTGCCCAGGTGACAGGTTTCCCGGCCGCAATGGTCCCTCCGGCAAGAATCTCAGCTAGGCGTACCTTGAGAATGGGTAGCTTCATGGTGGGCGTTTGTGGAAGGCTCATCTTCTGATCGTCACGATACTTAATGTGACGTCGGTGTAGCTCCTTTGAGTTGATGACTTGTGACATCATTGCAGCGCTAAAGATGGTCATGCCTGCAAAGAAGGTGTCGTTTAGAGCTGGTGACGGGGTGACGAGTGGCAGTTGTGCAAATGTCACAACGCGAGGGCCAGTCGGCAGGTTGGCACTATACGAGGTCAGTGAATAGGTAGCAAATCAGTAAAAGGGGTACTTACACCTCCATCAGCCACCACCTGTCCCCAGCCAAACTCAAACTCAACATCATGTACCATTCCGCAGGCCAACCCTTTCTCTTGAACCAGAAATTCTGGCCCGACTCTTTCGACTTTAGTATACTTCGTATTTCTTCGGGCCTCACCGGACTACGAGTGAAGCTCCAGCCCATACTCTTGCCTCTGCGATTCAAATCGTCGGCCATCCAGGCATAGCGTGCGCCTTCCAGGGCAAGTATGCCTTCTTCGGTAGGATCCTTGGCCAGAGTATTCAGACGTTGCTCTCCCTTGTACGTTGCGGTTCTCTGGGGCGTCATTGAAAAGGAACCAGTGATTGGAGCTATCCGGAGGTTGATAAAGTCTTTTTGTCCAACTTGTACGCGTAGACTGGACTCGAGGGGTTCGTCCCGAGAAATGTCGAGGCTGAGGGCTGCTTCCCTCTTGAGGTAACGGTCCTTGGTTTGGAGCTTTCCATGTATAGTGGACAAGATGTGTTCCACATGTCGTGCGATTACCTTTTTGAGAAGCTTTTCGGTGGATATATGGGATTTCTCAAACGTGATATCTGATTCTTGAACCTCCTTGCCATCTCTAAACCAGCGCAATGAGAGGTAGCTCGTGGCATCGTTGTCAATGGTAGTCGCTCCGGATTTCCTGCCGCTGTGGACACCCATGATAATCCAACTCTTTGGGCTGTCTGGGAGGTGTCGGTTGGTCCAGTATTGTATGGCCATGCTTCGGTTGAGCCGCTCAATCTTTAGAGTGTCCACCCAGCTTGCCCTCGCCAACTCGCGTGCTTGTCGTACGTACTCGCTAATCTTGTGTGTGAGTACAAATTCGTGTAGAAAATTGTAGCATCCTCGCAGTCCTTCCTTTTCCAAGGCCTCGTTTACGCGAGCCTCGAGGAAAACCCGCAACGTTTCGGTCAATTCTGCCGGGGCAGGTGTAAAAGCAAATCGAAAATCCAAGAACCAGTATTGCTGCTCAAAATCCTCATCGGCAATTGTCAAGTCGACCTCGTATTCTCCCTCGACCTTGAATGTCACACGGCCCGATGCGATCGTGTAGTCGCGAAACTGGAGTGGTATCTTGTCGTGATCTTCTAGGTTCAGTCGTAGCGAGAGGAGAGTGTTGAGCTCCTCTATCCACTGTAGTTGCTCTTCTGCGGTCAACGGGGGCGGTTCAATGTAACCCAGATCAGGCATCCATGAAGCACTGCCGGTGGACAAGACTTGCAGCGCTGTTTGTAAATCTGGGTTTGGGAGTCGTGCAAAAGTAAGGTCGCGCTTGATGTTGGCCATGTAGCCGAGGCCGTCGTCGAATGCTTTGCGCTCCATGTTGATGTAGTTCATCAGGTCGATGAGCTTGCTGACGGTCGGGGCCTTGCGACTCCAAGAAGCAATGACGAGCGCCTTGGTCCATCTTGCGTGCAGCTCTTGCATAAAGTTCAAGAGTGATGCCTTTTTACTCAGGTTCTCTACCGATGTGTCGTCCGGGAGACTGACAGCAGGCGCCGAGTTGCCATTGACGGCGGGAGCCGAGACTGGCATCTTGGCCAGCTCCAGGATCTTGGCCGTCAACTGATTGTGCGAGCGCTGGGCAAGGCGCGACAGCAGGAGGCCGAGAGGTATGTATCCCTGGGTTATGTGTTGGATTTCGTCGGGGAGATCGTTCATGCGCGCCGATCGCGCGACGGCATCGTGGTCGCCGCCGGGGAGGCCATTCTGGATGCCGTTCTCCATGGCAACGGCACCAGGCATCATGCGATGCCGAGATCCAGAATAGAAGCCAGAAGTTGTCGTCGCCTAGGTAATGCAAAGAACAATCAGAGGTGGTTCACGGTATCGCGGTAGCGGCAGGTTGTGTGTTGCGACTGCGACTGCGACTGCAACTGCGACGCCGAGACGCGGTGATTTGGGGGAAAAGACGTCAAAGAACGAGGCTGGATTCGAAAGAGGCAGTTAGTTGACGCAGGCCAGGCCAGGCCAGCCAGCCAGCAGGTAACGCGGCGGGTTGATTGAACAACAACGGGTTAGTCTGCAAGGTAAAGAGCACGGACCTCTACCTCAAGGTTTGGGTGTGTCGTTGATGAGCCGCCTTTGTCTTTTTTTTTTTCTTTCCGTTGCCTCCTCTTGCTCGTTGCAAGCAGCAGGTTCGGAGAAAGCTCAGGTTGTGGCTTGATTGCTGAAAACAGCCACATTCAATATGGAGAAAGGTATGAGCTACGTTTACGTGTGGATTGGTTTACCATGATGGGGGGACTGGACTGGACTGGAAGCTGCCACACAAACACTCCGCCAGTGGAATGCATTCATGATCCCGTTGGGGAAAAGTTCGATTCTCAGGTGGAACCCCAGCCTAAAAAAGCGGATCTTCTCCTTCCTCCTCCCGAGATGCAACATCCATACTTATGCACCCACTTTGGCCTTTTGCACTACCAGACTACTTGGGCTCTAGCTTCAAAATCTCCACCACTCATAGGACAACTCGGATGCTGGCGCGTATATCATGGTGCATTCCAAAGGATCAATCGAAAAAGGCCCTTAAATTAAAATACGAACCCGATTTCGCCTTGTGTAGTAGCTGCTACTGCACAGTCCAAAAAGGATTGACAATACTCTGTAGGATGCTAAGCCAAGTAGGGTGGGTCGGGTCATCATAGGGTGGTATTATTGTCCATTTGATGGGCGCCCTGTATTGTAGGTTGCCAAATACATGTATGCACCAGATATAAATATACGGACCATGTCCTTCCCCGGACGATGCCGTCTTTTCAGTATTTTTTCTCTTCTTCTTTTTTCACTTTCTCTTCATCCACGTTCTTCACCATGAAGCTTCATCAACAGATTCTCGTGTGTATCGCCGCCATTGCGCCTCTGGCATTGGTCGAGGCCAAGATACCAGTACCCCAGTTACGCGGCCATCGAGTTCGCCAGGACAACCCGACACCTTGCACATCGAGCACGGTCGAGACGATTACAACCATCAACCGTGGAAACGAGGGCATTTGGCATGTCAGGGCCAACCAGACTGACCTGAACCAATTGTACCAATTCTCCCAGGTTGACTGGCTCAGCAACGACAAGACTGCTGTCCTAGATCAATGCACCAGCGTTTGCTTGGCAGGCAACAATACCGAGACCCCGGGCAGTTGGCTCCCCAGTGACAAGTATTTCCAGGGTGCCTTTGTCAATACGCCTGGAGGATCAGGACAGGACCCAGAATGGATGTGTGCCTGTTATGATGGCACACTTTCTCAGACCAATCTTGTTGCTGGTGGCGGTGTGGTAAGCTTACAGATTCCAGAGATACAATACCTGTCCATATTGAATACCTGCTAACTAAATCTCGACAGTGGGACAATGCGTATGTAACAACAAATTCACAAAAAGTGCATCAATCAATTCGGTCTGATTTATGACTAACCAACGTTGTAGGAATCCCGGCTCTGGCACCATCATCAATCGTGTCTGTTGAGTAGTCGTCATCAACATGTACAAAATATCGATGAAAAGCAGGCAAAAATTTCACATCGCTACCACGTCTTGACAGTTCTTTCCCTCGGCGCATCACAGGGAACTTGGGATATGTACAGAGTGTAGGAGAAGGATTCCACCAGATTGCAATCATGACGAATATATGATCCATTTACAATCCTTTTTGACTTGAGCTGCAACAATTTCATGCGAATGCCTTGTAGGATTTCACTTACCATGAATAGCAAGTCACGACACGGGCCAGATTACAACCTCATCACGTCTTGAATGTTTTCGCATACAAAGATGTAAATCACGGATGTCGTGTATGATTTTCCTATTTGGGGCGGATTTAGTACCTAGGTATAACAATCAATCTCGGTAAATATGCCCATAACGCCTATACCCTTGGCAAAGTATCTTCTGGTTGACTAGTCGCGTAAAGGCGCCGTAATAAGCTTTGGATTTGCTGCAGGTCCAACGTGTTCCTTTAAAGATGCTAGCTGGAGACCTTGTGTGTTCAAAACAGCCAAGTGGCTCCAGGGGACACGTTATAGCTTACGGTCAGCATGGGGATTGATCAAAACTGCTTGCCTTGTGTACGCATCTACCTTTTATATCGTCTTGCCACAATTTCAAGACTTGCCCACTTACTCAGTCGAGTTATTCTCGCCCTATTTCGTAGTCAAGTTTATCTAATGTATCATCATTATTTCCATGTAAACATACGACAGCCTCACAATTCTGGCAATGCCCCAGTGCTCCAAGCTGTGAGACGATTCGCTTACTGCTTTCAACCCGCCAACAAGATCTCTCAGGCACAATGCAATACTATTCAAGCTTCAGGCCGATCGCGTAGCCGACAGCGTCCATATTAGTAACAAACTCTGCCTTGCTTCGTCTTACCCATCTGGAGGCTTGCCGGCACTGGCCATCATGTCGACCATGTGATGTATAAGTAGCCAGTGGCTTGTTTGACCATTGGCCAATCCCCCATAGAATTGGCTAATCAGTGGGACCCTGACACGGCCCCGGGGGACGGTTATCAGCGGCAGGGTCCCCGCAAAGCCGCAACAGGCCCCCGCCGTTATCGCCCCTCCAGGGTCCAGTGCGGCGCCCCAGCCCACTAATAAACATGGGGGGAGAACAATCCATATCTGGGGTTTGAAAGGATGACACTTTTAAGGAATGTTTTTTCCAATGATCACCTTTTAACCTACACTACTCTGTTTCCAAGTCCCTCTTCTCTTAGTTTCTGCTTGGCATTTTAAAGTAATATACATGCACCTCTCGGCTCAAGAACAGTGAAATCAGTCCCAATGAAAAGTATAGCCCGCTCGAAACCTTTTACGAGCTCCCGCCATGTCGTCCGCTCGTGGAGGCTAGTGGACAGCACCATCATCAACAACAAGACGCGAACCCTCTCGTCAACTGCCCGACAATGGAGACCAACCAATGTGGGAGGCATTGGTCTCGCGGCCAAGGATGCCTCTGTGGGTGAACAAGCACCGGAACCTCTCACCATTCAAGGTATCAAGACCCGTCGAGAAAAGGCCGGCAAGCTTGTTGCTGGTACGGCGGCATACTCCGATAGTGACATGTTCAAGTCTCCAGTATGAATCTTCTTGTATCGATATTGATCGCACTCAACACAGTGACTAACATAGTCATAGCATGCATATAACAATCCAAAAGCACTGAGGTGGGATCGTGAGTAGCTCATGTCGAATTCCAGCAATTCTTGATCTAATATGAATACAGACCTGCTGAGTGCAGAATCTCTGGCACGTAAACCATGCGTCTTGAAGCAAGCAGCCAAGTACCTCAAAAAGCCAGGACTGGTCTCACTGGGTGGCGGCCTGCCGTCGGCGGACCACTTCCCCTTTGACTCCATGGGCTTTCGCATTGCCACGCCACCAGACTTTTCCGAAGCCACCACGCACAAATCTGGACGAGACGTGTCCATTGGCAAGCGCGATGTCGTCGACAAGGACAGCGTGTTCGACTTGAGCATTGGCCTCAACTATGGCCAGTCGATTGGATCAGCCCAGATGCTGCGCTGGGTCACGGAGCACACGGAGCTCTGCCACCGGCCCCCTTACTCTGATTGGCGCAGCTCTCTCACCATTGGTAGCACCGGCAGTCTCGAGTGCGCCTATCGAATGTTTTGTGACCGAAACAGGGGAGATAGCGTCTTGACCGAAGAGTTCAGTTTCAGTACTGCCCTAGAGACGGCGGCGCCTCTGGGAATCAAGGTGTTTGGTGCCAAGATGGACGAGCAAGGTCTTTTACCCGAGAGCATGGATGATATTCTGTCAAATTGGAACGAGTCGGAACGTGGTGCGAGAAAACCTACCGTCCTCTACACGGTGCCTTCGGGACAAAACCCGACTGGTGCCACCCAAGGAGAACAAAGACGGAGAGACATCTATGCCGTTTGCCAAAAGCATGACGTTTTCATTTTCGAGGACGAACCATATTATTTCCTCCAGATGCAACCATACACCGGAGCAGACACACCAGATGTGCCTCCACCAGCTACCGTCGAAGAGTTCCTGGGTGGTCTCATCCCCAGTCTGTTGAGTATAGACGTCGACGGGCGGGTCATGAGACATGATTCGTTCAGCAAGGTAGTTGTGCCTGGATCTCGCATGGGCTGGGTGACGGCCAGCGAGCAGATTATTGAGCGGTACATAAGACACGCCGAATGTTGTAGCCAGGGTCCTAGCGGCTTTTCGCAGCTTGCCATGCACAAGTTGATGGACGAGGAATGGGGCCACGAGGGTTATCTCCAATGGCTCATGAACTTAAGGCTGGAATACACAAAAAGGAGAAACACCATGCTGAGAGCTTGCGAAAAGTATCTCCCGAGGGAAGTGGTCAGCTGGACTCCTCCAGCAGCAGGCATGTTTGTAAGTCTACCTCGACCGCGTAAACTGATAACAATGACTGACGCTATTCAGATGTGGCTCCAAGTCGATCATGAACAACACCCCGGTGTCAAGACCAAGAGCTTGCTCGAAATCGAGGAAGAGATATTTGATGCCTGCATTGACCAAGGTGTCTTGACATGTAGGGGCTCTTGGTTCCGTGCCGAGCATGATAAGCCGCCAACGTCTCTCTTTTTTAGAACGACGTTTGCTTCGGCGTCCGAGGAGCAAATGGATGTGGCCATTGAGAGATTCGGGGCTGCTGTCAAGGAGAGCTTCAAGCTGTAACTGTCATGATTGTTTAGCAGTATTATTAGCGGTAGCTAATCTGAAAATTTGAGTTTGAACGTTTGATGGGTCAAGAGAATGGTACAATGATATACCAATGTTCAAGTTCACGTAGCTCAGGATCCCTGACCGGATAAGATGCTAGCAGGAATGGTAGCAAGCAACACTAAACTTGATAGTGGATCGCAAGTTATTGACGGGCAGCAACTTCACAACGAGCGTCAATATCCGAATTTGCGAGGCATTACGACTGCACACAAGAAATAATTCATTCCAGTAACGCTGCATTTCGACAAATCTAGCAATTGAAAAGGACCGTATTCTCAACTGTAACAATTTATTTTGTTTGCCTATAAAGTACACCTGCGCCATGCGAAGAATTCATAGTTGCCCCGAGGAAATCAAATGTCCTATTAGTAACAATAGTAATTGTGCCGCTCCATGTTTTTAGTGCTGGGCAAATCACTACATTTCATGATTGCGAGATTCATCTTCTACTAGTCGTTTATGGTATTTACGACTGGCTGCGGGTGGTGCGCTTGTTGACTTCAGCCTTGACGTTCTCAGCGCCAGTTGCGACAGCGTCAGCGGCCTTGTCCTTGGCATCCTTGGCCTTCTCCTTGGCGTCGACGGCAGCCTTCTTGACAGGCTCGGGGGCGGAACCACCGAGAGCAAAGAGACCGACAAAGGCAGCAATGGTGACAATGAGACCACCAATGGCAGTGGGAACCTCGGGAACAAACTTGATAGCCTGGACAGGGTCGTTCTTGGCAATGGTGAGGAAGAGATCAAGCTTCTCCTTGACGTAGGTGACGGGGTCCTCGGTGAAGCTAAGGTCAGAGGGAGACTTGGGCTTCTCAGAGGGCTTGGGCTTGTCGGCAAGCTCGAGGAGCTGCTCCTGGGGGTGCTTCTCGCCAAAGGTCTCCTCGGCAAGCTTGTTGGCATCCTCAACAGAGTGGCCAATGTAGATGTTGTCAAAGAGAATGTTGTTCTGCATGGTCCAGATCTCAAAGCCAATCTAGTAGTATGAATTAGCACACGCTGTAAGATCTGTCTTTCCAAAAAGGTACTTACAGCTCCAATGGGCTCAAAGTTGGCGGGAGTCTTGTCCTCAAAGTAGTCGGGGTTCTTGATCTTGCGAGGAGCCCAGACACCCTTGTAGGCAGGGTTGTCAATGTAAGGAGCAGTCCACTTGCCCTTGTAGTCGGGGTTCTTCTTCATGGGCTGCTTCCAGGGACCGCAACCAGCGGCATCGGCACACTTGGGGTTGGGGACCATGGGGGCGATCCAGTCACCGTCCTCCTCGTCATCCCAGTCCTCGGGCTTCTGAGCCTCGGGGTCAGGGACGGTAAGAGGCTCATCGACAAGCCAGTCCTCGGGTTGAGTAGCCTCCTCATCGAGAATCTCAAAGGGGGCCTCCTCGTCCCAATCCTCGGGCTTCTTGGCATCGGGGTCAGCGATGCGGGCCTCGTCAACCCAGGTGTCGGGCTTGGAGTCCTTGGGGTCGTCAATCTCCTCGGCAGGGTTCACGGAGGGCAGGAAGTCCTCGAGAAGGCTGCCAGTCTTGACCTGCTCGTTGTTCTGCTTGATGACATAGGTGTTGTTGGGGTGAACAATGAGCGTGTACAGCTCAGTGGTCTTGACAACGCGAGCGGTGGGAGGGCTGGTCAGGTGCTTCTCCTCGTACTCGCCAGTCTTGGGGTTCTTGTGGTTGAAGATGAAGTGAACCTTGTTGGTGTGTCCACACTTGTCGGGGCCGAACATGATGACGTACGGGGTAGTGTTAGCAAACTCATCCTGGTGGAGAGCCTTGTTCTCGCGGAGAAGCTTGAGGTAAGCACCACCGCACTCGAGGCCATCTGTGGTCGCCAGGTTAGCCATGATTGTAGGTCAAGAACATGCAATCTGTACTCACTCTGAAGCTTGACCTCGTACTGGACAACCAGAGGCTTGTCCTTGGGGTCAATGGCCTTGTCAAACTTGGCCGAGATGGCGTGGTGAGCGGCGGGGTTCTTCACAACGAGACCCTTGTCGCCCTCCATGCCCTTGTAGACGGTAGGCTCCTCGACGGACCATTCGCCGACGTAAGCCCACTCCTCATCGTTGCTGGAGTCCTTCTTGGCGTGAGAAGGCTTCCATCGGGTCTCCCAGTCGTCGGTGAACTGCTCAAGGAAGGGAGCCTTGAGTGTGGTGGGCTATTGAGAGAAAAGGCGTTAGATCTACTGATCGCATGGTTTCACGAGTGCGCGAGATTGCGTGATGCTTGTCGTGGCACCAATCTACAAAATTACGCACGCGGGGTTGCTGAATGCAAGAGACACTTACGGTGAAAGTAGGGAGCTCAGCAGCAACCGAGCTGGCAGGCTCGGCCTCTTCCACGGCCCAGACACCGCTGGCGAGGGCGGCGGCGGCCCAGGCAATGGTGGCCTGAGTGAACTTCATTGTGAAGTTGGGTGTGCTGTCGGAAGCGACGGCGACGAGATTGAGGTATAAGATGTGGCAGCGGCAGGAAGCTGTATGCTAGTAAAAGATAGCTAGCCTGCGGGAAGTCGCCAATACAATGGAGAACTGATCGAGTTACTGATCAGGTCAGGATGAGATGCTGAGAAAGAATGATTGCTGCCAGAGCTCGGCGAGGCAGAAGAAAAAAAAAATGGAATTCCTGTCAGAGGCCTGGAGGAGGAGAGACAATTGGCGTCCAGGTGAATTTATCTTGTAGGCACAGTGGCTTGATCAATGACCGAGGACCTTGCGTTAAAACGTGTCCTTTTTTTGATGGGGACCTAGGACAGGTTGCGGCTGTTGGAGGCACCTTCCGTAGCTTCGACCAGCTTCGGTCGGCGTTGATTGGCCGAATTGGCGACGGACCCTTTGAGCTCGTGCGGGGACTTTGGGGACTAGGGGCGTGTCTCTGGCCGCTAAAAGTCGGAATCCACAAGGCTTTTGCTGTGTGCTGCTGTGTGCTGCTGTGTGCTGCTGTATCTCTAATCAATAGAACTTGTAATACTGAAATGTGATTTTATCATGAATATGAATTTGGCTGTCCCATGTGCAGATTGTGGCGAGCTGTATTAAAAAGTGTATATTCTAGGTACAAGAGACCCAATGGCCCGATTGTGAGTCTACAACATAATTCCGATGGCTGAGGCTGAGGCTCAAAGGATTACATAGCTCACCACAAGCCAGTGTCCACTAGGCGTGACCGTGTCTGAGCAAAGGCCCATGTGCTCTAATCATTCAACACACAAAGGACTGCTTCAAAACATTAGTGGTGCGTCATGTACCCACGTTGAGTCTGGAGAAGGATACAATTTGAGTGCCAAAACCGCGGCAACGCCAAAAGATTCAATGCCAACCCAGGCTTATGAAAGTCCCGAATCGGTCTTATCTGTCTCACTTTATTTCACGTGCATGAATATGCTCACTGTTGTCTAGGTTTTGTCTATCCTTTAACCAGGCAGCTAACCTCAGAGTACTGTCCCAACATTACAAGTTGAGAGCGTGCTTCTTGTCCATTCACAGAGCAGCATATGTCATGCCTCTGTGTTGTTGCAAGATCCACTGCATATATTCTGTGGTATGTGATTAATTGTCCAAAATTATATCATTTCAGCGTGCCCAGATGACATGGCTAATTAGAGGATATGATCATTTCAAATAACAGGAGACGTCTGATAATCATAAAAGGACGTGAACTGTTGAATACACCAATGTCTGTGATCATCCCTCAAGCGGTGTATTGAATTTGACACCATCTCCAAATTCCGGTTTGCAGCCAGTGGACAAGACGCCCAAAACCGCGCCATGTGCTGAAAGTGGAACCCACTTGATAACTCGTGAAAGAGACGCAAAATAGAGAAGGGGAAAAAAAAAATTGATTGCGCAATCCCCATATGCACACCCCAAATTCATTGGACCCCGATAATTCGCTGCTCGCCAACGAATCGTAGCTCGTGCCGGCAAGGCATCGCATTTAGCCTCACCTAAAAAGCCAGACAACCTTCCCTTTCCCTCTTTCCTACTCCGGATTTCTGTAACTCGGTCCCACTCCCTGGCCAACCGGAAAGTTCTTCTTTTCCAGCGGGTGATTTCCAATTTACCCTTTTCTGCAGAGGCCACCTAGTCCACAAGCAAGGAAAAGGGAATATTGACGACACCTATTCATTCCCACCACCCCCCAGGGACTGCCAAGTCGGGACAAAAGCAGGCGAGAGTTCAGGTTGCATCAGGTACCCGGGTCGCTTAATTGGAACCACTTGCCAACATGGAACAAGACGCGGCAAAGAGAGCAAAGACAGAGACGGAGATGGTGGTTGATAACAACGATTTCCTCGTCATCTCCGATGATGCCAATCATCCAGCCAACCTCATTCCCTCGCTGTGCGCAAAGTTCTGGACACTGGGCTGGGTCACTGGTACCGGCGGAGGATGTTCGATCCGCGATGAGTAAGATATACCTTGACATGTCCTGCGCCACTCATCTCAACATTGTTTGCTCACGTGTTCTTGGAGCAAACTTCCATTTCCGGAAGTCTTGAACAACCCTAGCTTCATCGAATCCACCCATATATTCTGATGCAATCATATACTCGCTTTCCATATACACTTTGCTGACCAACCTCAGGGTCCGCGATCTGGTTTATATTGCGCCGTCGGGAGTGCAAAAGGAGCTCATGAAGCCTCTGGACCTGTACGTCCTAGAGCTCTCCAAGCAGGTTGACCTCAAGAACCGCGTCTACCTGCGCTCGCCCCCGGGCGGCCGTCCGTCGCAGTGCACGCCGCTCTTCCTGGCTGCCTTTACCAAGCGCGGGGCGGGATGCTGCATCCACACGCACTCGCACTGGGCCGTGCTGGTGACCTTGATCCTCGAGTCGCAAGGGCCCGGCAACGACAAGATGTTTGAAATCAACAACATTGAGCAGATCAAGGGCTTTGGGCGGGGCTTCCAAAAGTCGGGCAACCTAGACTACCACGATACTCTGCGCATTCCCGTGATTGAAAATACTTCCCACGAGGAGGACCTGACCGAGTTCCTCGAGGAGGCCATGGATAAGTACCCCGACACATATGCCGTTCTCGTTCGCAGACATGGTGTCTACGTCTGGGGAGACAATGTCCACAAGGCCAAGACCATGTGTGAGAGGTATGTTTACAATTAAATCTCAAGCCAACTCAGCACTGACATGTCCAGTCTCGACTACCTGTTCCAATTGGCAGTAGAGATGAAGCAACTCGGCCTGCCATGGATCAGCAACGTGGAAAAGGTCATAACCTCCTCGGGACGATGATACCCACACCCAAGAAACAAAAAGGACAAGAAAGAATGACGAAAACATGATTCATATTAATTGCTGTACACCTCGTTGTCTATACGAGTTGATGTCTAACGTGTCCAGACTATTAATATTTTCCGTGCCGCCGTAGATGCTTTGAGCCATGCTGATCCCATTTTTTCTCATTTATATGCGATATTATTCCTATTATATCCACCACGAGTATTCATTACGCAAGTGTTTTTCCGCTTACAGAGCCAGAACGGCAGCCAGAGCACCGAGCAGACCGACGTACGAGCTTGCTGGCCGGCTGATGACGTCGCCAGCATTGCCAGAAGACGAAGACGAGGTGCCGGAAGCAGACGCGCCAGAAGCGGTACCGGTGCCGGAGCTCTTGGTGCTGGCAAAAGTGGTGGTGATGGTGGAGCTGCCAGAGGTGATGGTCGAGACAACCGAGGTGACGGAGGCGGAGGCGCTGCTGTCGCTGTCGGCGGCGCCAGTGTTGGTGGGGGTGCCAGCAGTGCCGCTGTAGTAGTACTTTTCAACGCAGTCCTGGAGACACGAGGCGTAGGCGGCCGTCTCCTCCTCGGAGCCGTCACCCTGAACGCAGTTGGCCGAGCACTCGGTGGTGGCATTGACGGCGGCGGCGTCAGGGCTGGGGACAGTGATGCAGTGGGCCTGGCAGTCGACGTCACCGGCCTCGCCTATATATTGCGTGTTAGTTGGTATGGACTTTGCATGGATCTTGTCAAGAGCAAGCTTGTCAAGCCGGCCGAGGCAACATACACTTTGAAAGACACTCCAGAGCGGCGGCCTGTGCCGAGTCGGTAGCTACAATGCTGGAAGTGGTAGAGCTGGCATCAGTGGCGACAGTGGTGGTGGCAGACTCGGTGACGGACTGAGCACTGGCAGTCAGGGCGAGGACGCCGGCGACGAGGAACGAAGTGAAACGCATTTTTGCGGGTTTGGAATATTAAGTAAATGGGGGTATCGGTCTAAGTCGAGAAGGAGATATCGTAGTAGCGACTGTATGTGGTAGCGATTGTATGCTATTATAAGAGAAGTTTCTGCAAAGAAAAGAGACGGGAATCAGAGGTCAAAGAGGAGAACAAAGTTTGTTTACGGGGAGAAACCTTGCCATTAAATAGGAACAAATCAGGCAGAGAGAAATCTTTCCCACGCCAGACAGACAGACAGACAGACACGGTCGACACGTTCCATCTCTGCCATGCTTCAAGGTACATTACCTAGCTTCATCCTACACAGTACTACTCTGTACACTACCGTTCCATTTTGCCTCTCAACTACCAACCAAAACGGCGACCCGGCCGTCTCTGCCCCTGGGCTGGGGAAGGCCTGTTGTACCACTCCGTCATTGGCGGCAGGGGTAGTATATTATTAGTGTGCAGGTGAGCTGGGAAGAAGAAAAAAAAATTCAATTCGAGTCAGAGAAATAGTACGGGTCCAGTTGCCATACGATGTTACCTCCGAGCTTGGGCTTAGGCCTTGGGGTACATACAATTAAATATGGACCGTCCATATGCGGCGGCCGGCTTCTGACTTGATGCCAAGGTTTTTCCTTTTTTCTACTCCCACCTATTTGGCCCTGCGCAAGTTGCAAAGCCTCAAGGTAACCCCCCGGGGCCCTCCCCCCCCCATAATGTCGGCTCAGATGCTCGCTCAATGCGCCAGCGGTTCAATCCCTGTTGGTCGATGCCACGGCGCGTTCCCCTGGGGGCCTGCCGAGCTCTCTAGTTCGCTCTCTAGTCACCCCGTGGCCTAGGAATTAAAATTACGAGCTTCTTTCCGGGCTTATGCTTGCTTTAAAGTGGTGGGCAAGGTACCCGAGCCCAAAACGACTTTTTTTTCAGGTCTGAACGAGGGATTGATACTAAATGTGTCTGTCGGGCATCTTGCAAAGAAAGATAACACACATCCAGTGTGACATGTGAGAGAAGAGTCTAAAATCCATCTCTTTAAAGCTAGACATGGCCGAGTGTCTATCCTATAGACCCTGGTGTCTTTGTCTTCCCTTTTACCCTCTTGTCTCGGCGAAAGTGAATTAAACATCAAACAGCCAAAAGGTCAATTCCCGCGTTGGGTGTGGGGAAAGAAAGGTGGCTAGGTGAGATCGGCCGGTGATCTCGAGATGTCTAGCGCATGAATAGGCACGGCGCATAAAGAGCACAGTGTTGATCCCCTTGAAGGTAAAGCAGGTTTAACTTCTTCCTAGCAGCATACTGGAGACGACGGAATATTGGGGCAATGCCAACTGGCTCGACTGGTCAAGTCTTTTCGAGCGTCGGTGAGGCTTTGAGAGGGAGCCGTTTGTATGAGCACGTCCACGGAGCCAGTCCAATTCTGTTGTCTTGTTGAAAGGTCGCGGTCTCAGTTCAAAGAGACGGGCCAAATTCATGAAACGTCGGTGCTGAGCACATGGCCGGTACTGGCTGGCAGTTCCCGTCAGCAAGAATTTTGAAATTGACTGATCGTCAGAAAAGATGCCAATGCTGCAGTCCTGTACCTACAGTGTCATACCTACGTGTGCAGAATGTCCCCGGTTTGCAGGCTGCAGCATTCAATTACATGATGGATTGCAGTCATCACCAATATGGGGGATGCACATGATCCCTTTTGGTTGCTGTGCTACAATGATTCTACTTGCTTCCTTGACTCCATAGCTGCATCTGGTGGTTCCATGTTGAAATGCTGCCATCCAGTCTCCACCTGCGACGTCTACACTACGCATCCGGGCGAGAATCACTTTTCATACTCGGAATATTCCTGGGACGAAATTCTCTCTTCTTCTGCACCCATCCGAATTAACCGCAGCCATGGCGAGTACTGTGTATTGGGCGCTGTCGCCGAGGTGGGTGCCGCGAACAACGCACCAAGTCTGGAATACGAGGACTGCCCACACACGGATTTGGAGCTGGTGCTTGTTGGGCAACCTGGGCTTCCGACTTGGTCCAATCTAGATTCACAACCACGACTCCACCGTCAGCTGTGCTGCTCGTGTTGATCTCTCTCTTGTGGCGATTTTGTAACGTCAGGCAATGTTGATTCGGATTCACCAATGCAATGAGATAATGTCTCGCTGATTCCTTTTTTCGAAGCGCGTTATCCTGCGTGTCGACACTCATGTGCCATTCGTATTCTTGTGGTCGGTTATTAGTAACTTTGATCCTTCTCGGATGTCGGCCCACTGAATTGGCACTAGGAATAAGTTTGAGGCAGCACTGAGCCTTGGAGACTCGAAAATAATGGAACTCTCCGCACGGGGAGGACCCATATGATCAGTGATCGACTCTCACCCTCCACCTAGCAGTGACCGCTACAAGCGCCATGTAATCCTACAATGAGCTCCAAGTGAATATGATTGAGCCCAAACACTATTTACAGCTTGACACCTCTTCCATCTACGCTTTTCCTGTGCATTTATATGACTCTCTCGGATACTAATCATCTAGGTTAGTCAGCCATGCCCAGGCTGTCCCTATCGAGCTGCACGTTCGCTCATACAGATAATGCACGTCAAATGCCAATATCAAGAAGCCCCAGGTATTGCATCATGGCACCTTCAATTCTACAAAGGCAAACAGCATGACTCGGCAACGTCTGTATATGAACAAGGCTCTAGCCGCCTCTTTGCGCGCAGGGCGTGTACGGCCCGGAACATTCCCGGAAACCATGAGGCTATCACAACATTTGTATGGTATTTTCTAGTCTTGGACCAAGTGATCTTTCCACAATCATGGAATCAGTCTTTGCTTCGTTTGAACAACAGAGGTCACTGTGTCATACAGTGCTGGCGCAAAGTGTCCACGACGACGCAGGCCTCACAAGCATTGAATGAGAAGTAATGATTGTCCGATTCTATAGTGAATTGCTCTCTCAACCTAACAACGTGCCATCAATGTAGAGACAGGAAAACCGAACGAAATACTCAATATGGACCGATTTGATCGGATTGGTAAAGCCTGGAGACCAAGTCTTGAATGAGCCCATCCGTCTGGCTCTGAAGATGATGACCTATCGCTTGTCGTGCTCAAGTATTGCTTGAGTTACGAAATTGTAGGGAATATGAGGAATGAAGTATCTCACACAGACACTACACGATCATGGTGAGTCTGGTTATATCGTCAAGATCAAAGGTTTGATGGATCTGGCTCCTATTCACTATGTAACCGTGCTGATGAAAGGTTTACCCAAGATGCGGGACGTTAGTTGTCCATGAGGTGGTGTAAGCTTGAGGTGGGAGAAATAGCATACAGCGTACCATTTCGACAATGAGAACGCCCCTAGCAACCGCATAACATGGTAGAGAGAATACGACTATGCCCACTGCCACCCTCTTGACCACGTTATTATCATCTTCAAAGAGGTCCTGCATCCAAAAAATAAAAACTGCTAAAACGCTGGCTGACAGTATTATAAGCATCGACACCAGTGACGAGATTCTCCACAGCCACTGATCGATTGTTGTTGGAAAGGTTGCGTTCCATGCAGCTACGTGGATAGCTCCGAAGGGTAATGCAAATATTCCTCCCAAAAAACCGACTAACCAAATTTTATGAAAATATACTTGTTCTTTGGCATCTACGTCCACATGTGACATAAGTTCCCAGTAAAATGATACTCTTTGTTTAGTGAGACGATGGGTTTCAGCGTGTAGGTGGAATGCCAACTCGAGGCATCGACTTCGGTCGCCCCGTTCTTCGGAATCGATCATCTTTCGCATTTCGTCGTGACTTTTCCCCTCCAAAGCATTGTATTGAGATCGTAGAACTCCTTGGATCTCGGGGTCTTGTGGAATATCAAACGAGATTCTGGAACCTATGCCGACTCCTTTGGGCTTGCTGAAATAAAAACCGTATGTCACCAAGCTCGTCATAGCAAAACCCGCCACACCCACTTCAAGTTGTGCGATAGGTAGGTGGCGAGCAAGCCTCGTGACTTTGTCGACCAAGAACCACGCAATCTGCCAGACTGCGAGGACTTTGGCGAAAGCCCCGGCCTTGGAATGGTCAAGTATCTCTTGTTTACTGACAGGAGGTTCTTTGGGCAACAAGCCACAACGTATGGCAAGGGAGAGTGCCCTGCGGTTTAACACCGTTTCCTTGCAGTCACAAGCGGCCTCGGGAGACTCATTGTGAGCAGCGAATGGGCCAAGACAACATAGACGGAACCCGCCCATGTTGACGTAGTAGCAGTGCGTTCTGGTCCACTGGGGAATTCTATGTCCCTACGTCAGTATTTGCGAAAGAAGGCTGAATTCTGATTTGATTTGATTTTCATTTCCATGCAAAAGGAGAGGGGGTTCACTGAACGCACACTTCGTCCTTTACTTGTCCAATTTCCTTTAGTCTTCGCCTTACAGATCCGCACCAATACAGTTCAAACATCGCCCTCTGTGCAACCAGTTCAGGAGCAAAAAGGGCAATGGCAGCAATACTGAGGGGAACCACCAAAGACCTTATATCGCGACAGATGCGATTTGGTAGCCATGGCTTCGTGCACAAATTGCAATCGCATTGCTTGGTTGAAGTAGCTTCCGTATCAGCAATGACATCTAGGTGTAAGGCCGTATAGATGGATGCAATCAAGGTCAAGACACAAGGCCACACAATGCCCAGTGTAGATCGCAGCGGCGGCGCCCCAACATAATTGACACGATGATCGGGAAACGTGCACTCGGGGGTAAAGGTCTCCACCATGATGCGTGTTCAAGTATGCTGAAATCGAATTTGAAGATCCTTCTGAAGCACAAAGTCGATGTCGAAACGCAAAAATAGGCAAAAGAATGATGACAGCGGCAAGGCTCGATGATCTTCAACGGTGGGCAGACACACCATTTTATGCGACCCCAAGGAAAGCCAGGCACTGTTGATCTAAACGGAAAACAAATGCAGAGGACAGGGGTGTGTCTGCATGCAGCTGAGCCAACCAAGCTGAGAGTCCAGGCGCTTCCGTCTGCCATCCAAGTCCATATCTCAGCGAATGATGGTCAAGTTGGTATGGTGTACTTTAGAGAGTGCTCACAAAGTACCTCTCCTCCTTTTTTACGGGGATTTGTGGTCAAATCATTCACTGCTTCGTCCCCACTCCCAAGCATAAGGCTGTGATTTTACATTGAGGTTCTTGATAATCTTTGCCTTGAAATAAAGACCCTCAGTATGAGTTTGAAAAGTACAAAGATTAATCATTTGATCTTATCTCTCCAATACTGCCATTGTCAAATGACATCTGATTACATGCACAATCTTGAATGGCCACAACCCAACCCAATGGTATGTTGTATCTCGGTCAATCATTTTATTGACGCCCGACAGACAGAAAACCATCAGGCTGTCAGGATCGTTGACCACCCAATATGCAAACCCTTGTCTAGTTACCAGCACAGCCCGCACGCCGGGACACAGCCTGATTCTACACGTATTCATGGCCAGGTGTCTCCAAACTTGTGCGACCTCGATGCCTTGGACAAAATAAATGACTTGCTGCTGTTTACAAATGTAAAGTCACTACAGCTTGATACCGACGCTTTTCTTTCTCCTGGCCATTGATAAAACCAGGCGTTTGAAAAGCATAATCCATTCCTTGACTCTACCAAGCGCATGAACTTTAGCACAGACCTTGGCAAGGAGCAAAAGGCGCAGAAGTATTTGCAAATTTCACTACATTTGTCAAATCATGTAGTGTGGCTTGTATACTCTCCGTCAACACGCGGGTAGAATTCTAGTGTGGCGCTCGTCGTAGCGGGAAATGGGCACTGCCTCGCCCGACTGCTTGCATGCAACCTCGAGAATGTCCAAAAAGTACCTACACACTCTCGTCCATAATGACATGAACGTCCTCTGAGTAGCGTGTCGACCGGCTTGGACAATGCTCAGAAATTGTCGCCTCTGGGCGAATTCCAATTGCGATCCTTGTGCAAGTTCTCGCGCCATTATTGAAGCATGAACTTGCCTGTTCGCTTTCGACAAGGCCCTTGAGACTGCGTCGATTTTCAACAAGGCGATTCTTCACACTTAAGATTCTAGCGCCATGATCTCTGTTAGCTTTGGATGTCGGATGAGCTGTTCAGCTCTAACGAATGCCACCCAGGAGATTCTAGATCGACACTTCGTCTCGCTGATATTGAGCACAGTCAACAGAAATGCATCAAAGCTTGGTGGGAGGCCTCAAGTTCCATGTCGGGGATCTTGTTGGCCACATGGACGATAATCAGGGGCGAGTGAAAACGCTCGATTGTTGTGTGAAGACGTCGCGGCGTTGCGGCATCCATCAGCTGAGTGCGGCGCGTTAGGTGCTTTCACTCAGCAATGACCTGATTTCTACTGTCCGGCTTTTCGACAAAAATGCCTCGTTTGCGCCAGAGACTACACAGGTTTCCGCCGTGGAGGCCAAGGCAAACATGGACATTGGTTGAATTGCAGCTAAGAAGAGGTGAAGTCAGCATCACGCACACACCAAGGGTCAAGTACCTCTAATTTGTTTTGTCAAATTGCAGTTTTTCATCCAAGTTGAGTCACTCAAAGGAATACATTGAAAAGACCAGGTTAAATGAACTGCCTTGTTGCGACTAGAATGAGTGAATTTTGGACTCAGTAGGCCTCAGATCCATAGCACTATCTGCCGAATACGATACACCGGGCAATATTGGTGAGCAGTCCTTGCATGTCCTCCATATTATTCATGGCTCAATGTCCTCACTTCAACCCTGACGTGGTTTAACCGGGTTGAAAAACTGTTTAATGGACTTCTCGATGCCTTCCTAATGGTCTGACTGAATAACAAAGCCAGTGATGTTGCTGCCCTTACTGGGACCATCAAAGCTTGAATCATGGGGGGGTTCTCCATGATTCCTGTCGCCATTGACCTAATCCTTGCCGCTTCAAAGGCATCTATTCACGTTTCATTAGCAAATTGCTGCTTCTAGAATTGGACTTCCCCGTGGCTCACCGTTGTAAACTCTCAACTTTTCCTTGATGGATTCGAAGGCGAGGTGATCAAGGTCAAGAGCTTAAATGAGTGTAAGACAGTTCTGGCTCATCTCGCGACACAACTTCTTGCTCTGTCGATGCTTCTCCTCTAGCTCGTGAAGAACCATTTTTCGCTTGCGAATCTTCATTTCTAGCTTGCGAATCTTCATTTCTAGCTCGCGAAGCTCCATCTTTCTTGTGCGAAACATCATCTCTAGCTCGCAAAATCTCTCTTTTAGCTGCCGAAGGTTGTTCTTTACCAGGCGAAGGTCGTTCTTTAGCTGACCAAGGCCGTCCTGATCCTCGCGAAGGTCGTTCTTTTCCTTGCGGATCAACTCATCTATGTTGAGAAGTACCATCTCTAGGATGCGGATAACCGAGTAGAGAATCTCGCTGGTTGTCTTGGCGATCTCGACGAGTGTCATGTTTGATTGAGACGCCATGGTCATGGGATGGAGTCTGCAGAAGGCGAAGATCGGATGTCAAAGATCAAGGCGTGAGTGATGTTCTGGAGGCGGACTGTTCTCGCATTTGCTAATGTCGATAAAATCGAGTCAAAGTAGGGGGATGGGTGCCTTCCTCTTGGCGACCATGAACTATGACGAGGTAGTTGACGGATCCATGAACTGATCTGAACGAGAAACCAAGCTCGAGTAACTTCTCCCGAGTAGCTTCTTCTTGAGAGTAATGTACTTTGATGAGGGTAGTTGCAAAGATGGGATTTTCTGATATGCGACCAGTGGGCAAGTACATAGGTATCTAGTTGCTCAGACGCCGAGGCAAGTGCTGGAAGTAGTGCAGGGTGGGGCGCGCAACTGGCAACTAGTCCAGTGTATAGTATTGTTAATTACATTTGATTGGACAAGCAATGGTTTCAAGTTATGCGGTATACCTTTATAGTACCAAGGGAAACAGCACCTGCTGGATCTTATACGGGCAACATCATTATTACAGGATCGAGAAACAATTGCGTTGAGAAAAGTCATGTGCATGATATATTGGCCCGTTCAGTGATTCTGGACCGCGCATCTCATCTCTACTTTCTCCTATACATTTTGACCATCGTCACCATCGCCGTGCATTTTTTCCACCTATGCTTGCCCTTTTGACTGAATAGGGCTTTCCTGAGGCTACACGCCCTGGCATCATGAAAGGTTTCTACACAGAGACGCAAAACTCTGTCTCCAAGCTAAACAATATCATTATCGGTGGTTGAAAAATGTCTTGCAGCTGTTTAACAATCGTCCCCAGGGTAGAGGCACAGCGAGTATCGTTAGGTCGTCCAACTGAGCTGTCTGCGTGGAATGGGCACTAGCTGGGCCCTGAGCTACCCACCTACATTGTCCCCTCGGTGAATAGACAAATGTGTAGGCATGCATTCCGATGATGAATTATTGAATTATGGCATAAAGTCAGCAAAAAAAAAACCTTGACAAAGGCCAAGCCTCTCATTCCGCCGTTGCCATCCTTGAGTAGCGAAAATCACTGCATTCTAGGCTCATGGTCGCGAGACATGAAAAGATGCTATAGGTCAGCAGATCCCGGGATCGCCTTCTTCTTTGGAGTGTCCTCCCACCTTATCAGGCGAGGTGGGTCACTTGTCTCCGCGGAAACCTTCTCAAATAGTAGACCCACCTACAGTATAGGCTCTTTAGCACGTAGTACCTATTAGTTGTAACCTATAGGTCCTGATTTCGCCCAAGTACATGTTTAAACTCGCTACTGGTTTTGAAATACACCGCCTACGTAGCTCTATTTTGTGCACTCATTTCTTGTCTTCTTGGCGTTTTACTGCAGTCATGCGCTTTTTGAGAACATTCAATGTAGTGGGCGTCCATGCCGCGGGCGAAGTTGGCGACGTCGTGGTGGGAGGCGTTCTCGACGTCGCGGGCAAGACCATGTACGACAAGATGCTTCACTTTTTAACCAAGGACGATCAAATTCGACAGCTTCTACTCAACGAGCCGCGGGGTCGGTCAGCCAAGTGCGCCAACCTCATTCTGCCGCCCTGCGACCCGCGCGCCGACGCCGGCTTTCTCACCATGGAGTGCGAAGAGTATGCGGCCATGTCGGGCTCCAACACGATATGTACCACCACGGTCCTCCTCGAGACGGGCATGATCAAGATGCAAGAACCCACGACCAAGATTACTCTAGATACTGTGGCGGGCCTCGTTACCGCCACGGCAGACTGCCAGGATGGAAAGTGTCAATCGGTCGAAGTGCACAATGTCCCCTCGTTTGTGGTGGCCCTCGACTTCGAGGTAGAAGTGCCGGGATTGGGCAAGGTTCTCTGCGATATCGCCTGGGGCGGCATGATGTATGCCATTGTGGATATTGCCTGTACTGGCCTGTCACATGACTCTGTCCATGGCAAAAAGCTTGTCGAGTATGGAGAGCTGATCAAGAGAGCCGTTCAGGCCAAGATCCATCCTGCCCACCCCGAGAACCCAGGTATTCACGGAGTCACAAACTTCATGTTCACGGTGCCGCATCAAGATTGCCCAACCGGCAAGTTGGCCAGAAATACCGTCGTCGTTTCTCCTGGCAGACTTGATCGAAGCCCATGCGGCACTGGCTGCTCCGCTAGAATGGCCGTCATGCATGCGCGTGGCCAACTTGCCGTTGGAGAAAAAGTCCGGCATGTGAGCATTATCGGGACAGAGTTTGAAGGTGGCGTGCTGGGAACCACCAAGGTTGGGGATTATGATGCCATACTACCTTCTATCAAGGGTAGTGCCTGGATCTCGAGTTTTCAGCAAGTTGTACTCGATCCGCAGGACCCATTCCCAAACGGCTTTCGGGTTGGCGATGCTTGGGAGACGCCTGCTTAGCTACTGTACCTATCTAGCTATTATAGTCGATCCTGGGGAGCTTGCAATATTGTGAGGGGCCCAATGCAGGGTTCGCTTTTGCGGCATTGTCGTTCAGCATTGGTTGGACGGTTGTATCTTTGTTGGTAACGACAGGAGGGATACGGCTCTTGTGATATGGGATTGGCATACCTCACATGTGCATAGGCAGGAATTTCTTGAGTCTTCCCATTCGTAGGAGCAGCTTGTTCACGCGATATTGTCCATTTAGTATTGAAATGTGTTTATATTTTGTTTGATCATGGATGATTGGATAAGGAACCCCGAGTGCCAAGCTCTACAGTACTACTTCTCAGCGTCAATGTACCCTGCCCATCGTAACTAATACTGCAAACAAGTCTCTCTTGCCATCAAACGTTTTGCAAGAATCGATGCTCCTTCATTTCATCACTTCTTTTTGGAGAACGAGGCCATAATCTTCAGTGCTGAAGTTGGCAGGCTCTTGCTCAGAATTGCCCTTCCGCGTAGTGGGCGCAACACGCTAATGCTTGCTGCCATTATCGTTGGCGTCATCGTCTTCAGCATCAATGTCTTTGTATTTACGACGTTTCTTGTCGGCATCGTTGGAGCTCTCGTTGTCGTTATTGTCGTCGTCTCTCTCCGCCTCACCATCGGGCATGATGCGATTAGGAGGCATTTCCTGGTAGGAGGGAACCACCGCATAAGGTGGATCTACCGCATCCTTTTGGTCACCTTCGTCCACGTCCGCGAGCCTGAATACACACAAGGTATGTTAGGTTATCACTGTAGGACCGAGGCCATGGAGAATGGGGTTGGGAATCTGGGATAAAGAGTATGTAAATACCTGAATGCGATTGGCCCTGCCGAACCATACCCTGGACAAGGCAGATGCACTAAACGCGCGAAGAACGGTTGAGAATTGCTAGTGTTCATGCTATCAAGAACTCTGTTGATTTGTTCTGGCCTTATCAAGACGTATAGTCTTGCGTTTTTGTGAACCGCTGTGGACTGCATGGTGAAGTTCTTCTGCAACTTGGATTGATTGTGTTTGCCCGTGATCTGAAAGTATCCGTGAATAAATTGGAACAATTACACAGTGGATGTTGTGTGAATCAATTTGTGAATGAAGAAGTTAAGAAGAAGAAAGAAAAAAAGGTTCAGGTTCCCCCCTTGAGTAAAAATTCCAAGACACTGTCACGAGTTCCTTCCCAATGAACACCAACAGGCCAGACGTATTTGCCATGTTTCTCACGCGGGCCGAGCAAGAATACCCCTTGACACCTTACAATGGCTTGATCCGCTATTTCCACTCGAGTAGGTCGTGGCCGGCGATATCGCTGTCAGAGGAACTTGCCATAATTGCAGTAATTGTCTTGATATGTCGCGACACGGATGTCATCCACTATAAATCAACCCGCTGTTTGAGTAGGACATGTCATATTCCCTACGATTACCTGTTCAAGAGTTCCGACTGTAATGTCCAAACATTTGTGTTGACCAGTACAGCCATAGTATCGGACATTGTTCTGATTTGCACTATCAATGCCATTGTCACATTGAACTTGGGCATCACTACTGCGATTTCACACAAGACTCGGCAAAATGGAAGCAAAAACCAATAAACACACAAGATCTCGGGCGCAGATGATCTGCTGGCGTGTACCGTAGATTGCCAGCTAGTGAAGGCGTCATGTAGTTCACCAGGAGCCCCTGACTGCCGTGTACTCAGCGGCACTTGCATAAGCTGGATTGCATGGCTGGACGCTGCATGCAAAGCTGTCACGAACTGCATTCGTCCATGTAAATTATGGAAGCACTACGGGGCAAGGAAGTGCCATGACTTGCGCACCCTACTTGCCAACGTGACTGCTGTAACAAGTCATGCAGTCGCGCAATCGACTTGCGCAAACCTGCACCACATGAATGTACGGCAGTCTAGGCCGAGGCTTTACGGGTATGGACTACCTCCAGTAACAAATGATGTCAATACCAGGAACTCGAATTTGAGATGGGATTCCAACGTACAATCATCATGGGCCTTGAATAGCCTTTCAGCACTAAGACTTGTGAATATCCACATTTATGCTTCTTGTAGTGCTGGGTAGGTATATAAGAGCACTGATAGATATTTGTAACAAATAAGCCTCGGCTCCTTGTCGTGTTGTTTCTATTGTCCAATCTTATAAGATGATATATCAATTACCAAAGTTAATGTTCGAGAAACGTGCTACTGAATAGTAATATAAAAGGTGGCTAGCTAGTGGGTAGCGGGACAATCAGGCGCAGGCTGCGATGCGATGTGACGAGCGGACAAGACAATGTCGGGAATGCGTAGCATCTCTTTCCACTTTTCACTTGTCAATTGGCCTCACAAAAGGTAGTCGCCTCATACATTCGAGTCAAGTAGACTTTGAAGTCCATTTCTAGTGGCGTTCAATGGACAGACCTCACATGTGCATTGGCAGAGATTTCACGAGAAGTTCGCTGTATGGCAATGTAATTACGCTGCATCGTCAATCTCAAATCTTTTTCTCTTTCTCTCTCTTTTCTTGTTGTAGATGATTGGACAAGAGCGCCGAGTTGCCAAGCTCTGCAACAGTATACATTTTCGACGTAACTGCCCGGGACAATCGACATCGCAACCAAGTCTCTCTTGCGCTTCAGCGCGTTGCAAGAATCAATCCTCTTTCACCTCGCCACTCCAATGCAAAATTCAATTCCATTTACCAGTGTCTTATCAACCGGCTGCGACGTCCCTGCTTAAGCTAGGGCAGACAACTCAGCTTGCGAGAGAGTCACTTTTGTGATTAGGCGCCCACAACAATCCACCTCAAGAGATCGCAATATCTGTGAATCTCGATATCTCTTTCTTGCCCCATCAAGTTCGTCAATTCAACATACCTGGAGATTGTCGGGTAGACAACGCTCCCTGCTATCAAGCAGAGTAAGTTGTCTCATAGATCTGACATTGGTGGACAAACAGCAATTGTATCTCGAACTTGCTCAGGTCTTTGAGTTTCCAGAGGTTCCAAATTCTATTTCCAATTTCCGTACTTGCCACTTGGTCACACCACAGTCACTCTCTTTTTTTATTCAACACATTCCCATCTCGTTTCATTTTTAACTTCTCAACTGGCCTCATAAAAGGTAGTTGCCTCACACTGCCGAGTCAAGCAAACTTTGAAGCTATTGTCTCGTGGCAGTGACTGAGTTTCTCTTCCTCGCCCAACTCAATCTCACTTTATTTCGCAACAAGCGCACATTCATATACGCATCTACACTCAGAAATTAGACCTGGTCCATCAAAGGGGACCTGTGTCGATTGAAGAAGGTTCGGCTTTGCTCTTCGAAATACTCTCATACCTAAATAGTACTAATATCTTCTACTTGTTTTAGTCATGGCCAGCCTATTCGGACAAAGAGATGCCATCCCTGCGGCTTCGGACATTGTCCAAGATGGTCCCATCACCATAGACATCGTGTCACGATCCGGAACTGCAAATCCTTTCGCCATTACTACGATTGGCGATATGGCATCCAAAATTTGCTTGGACTGGAAGGTGCACATGGCTCAGCGAGATGAGGACTACCGCTTCGCCGCTTTCCATGAAACCACTGAGAATCGTCCCCCTTCACGCAACGATGGTGTCACAGCGTTCATGTGCTTTGAGCAAAATATCACCAAGAAGGAGGCCATACTCTTGGTAAAAGAATTCTCGGTATGCTGTCAGCCTCTTGAAAGACTCGCCACCGCATCTAATATGGCTACCAGGCTCTCGACCCCAAGTACAGAGTCCTTAACTATGACATTATTCAGAAGGTCCATCAAATCCTCTGTGAAAATCCCAGAGATGAGAATGGAGAAGACTCAATCCTGGAGCATAAGTTGGGAGAACGCTTGAGCTATTTCTCTCTGGAGTTCTTCCTCATTATCTGTCAGCATAACATAGATTTGTGCTCTGATGAGGATACCATCAAGGAAGAGGTCAAGAAGGCCGTGGCAATGGCCGAATTGCATGAAGAAACTGTGTTCTCTATCAAAGCTCGAATGCAATTCAAGCATGCTGAAATTGACGAGAATGTCCTTCGGCGGTCTGATTTTGTGGAATTTGCCAAGATGGCCAAAGAGACCCTCTACAATTGTAAACAAGACTATAATGACTTTGAGGGGACTGTTGCTCAGCAGCATGAAGCTGTCCTCGGCCATCGCATCATCAAGGGCGCATTGAACAAGATAGCCAGCTTCATGAGCCGGCGTCGTACGGATACCTTCATGGACCAGATCAGTGCCCTATCTGCAACTGCATCTTTGGTTCAATTGCCTTTGGAGGAGGAGGATTTCAAAAAGCTTCGTGAGATTGGTGAACGTCTGAAGAAGCGCACTCTTGTCTACTCGAAGAGCGCAAAAAGACAAAAGATCACAAACAGTTTGACGTAGTGTTGTGGCCTTCAACACGGGCGGATTTGGCAGATGAGGGCTATTCTGGCAGAAAGGGGGTCCTCTTATCGGTGCGTGGCATCCCGGCTTATTCGTTGACTTTGAGGAATGGTTTGACTGGGAGGGATTCTGCATTGATGCATTCCATCATGCTTGTTTACTTTAGCTAGAGAGGCAACAATCCTCTGAAAACTCCCCATAATTGAGTTCTTCTGAAAACTAGTACTTGCAAATTGTTGGTCGTTGAAGGTCTTCTAGGGTCGTGATGCCCAGTTGGCGAAGCCTCTCGATAGCCTGCTCTTATGAAACCCTGCGGAGTGATCCATACCAAGCAGATATTTCCCTACATACTTTGAAGCTTGACTATCGGCGTATCCGACACGAAATGGTTGGAGAAAAGTCCTCAATAATTAATAGCGAGACGCCCGAAGTTTGGCGTGATGTTTTGCATGGTCGCCTGCATGTTCAAGACAGCGCTCAAAGTCCCGAGCTGCATAGCAAGAATAACAAGAACCTAATCGTAATGGGTGCATTTGTAATGATACCCAGCTGCATGAAGGAAAAAGTAAAATAAGCAAATAATAGGCTGCGCTTTAATTTAAATGGCTAACAAAAGCTTGCAATATCACCTCAAGAATAGCTGCATAGTTATAGCAAAGATGTGTCAAGTTATAATTATATAAGGCAGAAAAAAAAAAGACAAAAAAATTGGTTTGCTCATCTTTGAAAAGCGTGTCATCCTTACTATGAGATGGTTAGCTATCTGTCGGTGCGACAGTGGAATTGAACAGTAGACTTACGTGCAGGGGCCATGCTAATCTTCTCTGTATCGTTTCAATTTGACCAAATGCCCGAAGGCGAAGATTTAAGCTTCATTAGAATCTATGTACCCACCTCCGGCTAAACTCCGGGTTAGCGTATGGGCGACAATGCCCCTGTCCCCCACCCCTCCCAGGCCAACCGACCTGCCACTCTGCCCACCAACACGTTGCCTTATTATTTGTGTTGAATTATGCAAAATGTCTTCGCTGGCGTCGACGATCGATATGGACATGCATAGTTGATACTGGCAAGGGCAATAGTCGAAACCCGACAGGCGCCGCTCTGCTCGCAAGTGTCGGCGTATAGGTGGCAATACTCGAACTTTGCACTGCATCGTATCGCATCGCATGACAATCGCCCGTAATGAAATGCACAAAATCTGGCCAAGGCTTCGCACGCCCTCGTCTCTGGAATCATTTAGACGGCATTGTAGGATAATGACATGTCAATCGCAACAGCACAAAATGCCGCAACAACATAATACAGTCATTGGCCATACAATCGGGGAAATCAGCTTGTTCTCCCATCGAGGTCATTCGCCAAAAAGGAGCAAAAGAGTCGAGAAAACGGCTCAGGGCCGGTGGGATGACTCTACCTACCATATGACTTTTACCCCTCATGCTTCAACCTGTCACACGGCTTGCTGGAAGGGAGGGACTAATTCTGAACCCAATTTGGCAGGCGACCTCTCTGTCCACTGCCCAATAAAGGTAGGGTTCTAGGGACTAAAATGCCCTAGTTTGAGTAAAGCTTGTGGAGTCCAATGTTCATCGAATCATCGTGTAGTGTATACTTGCTCTAACTATATGGTCATTCAGGCCGTGGCCAGAATGAGAAACGGCATCATTATTTTCTTTAATCATTCGAACAAGTCAGATCACTTTGCCTCGTCATGAATTATAAAAACACCAATCCATCAGCAGACAGACCCATGTGGCAGACTACACTGATATATTTACCGGGGTTTTCCCGTTGATCAAATTGGTGATGAGTTTCATCTTTATGCAAGCTCTTTAATATTCATCTCGTAGACTCATGTTCTTGCTGTTCCGACTGATCAAACAATATTGACCGCTCAACACAAGACTATTGGCCATAAAATATCAACAGACATGAACCCAGCTGCTGGTTGCCTTATCCTCGAAGATTTGCTTCCGGCACATGCTGGGCAGGTGGGCACTAATACATTCCAAGCAGAAAAAAGGGAATCCATAAAAATCATAGAAAGAAGTGGTAGAAGAAAGCTATTTACATCATTATACATTATTGTAATTAATAATAAATATGCTTCAACCTGATTTCGTGAATAGTCATTTCAAAAAAGTGCAATGACCGATCCAATGAATATGAGCAAGGATATCGACCGGCCAGAAGTTTCGGAAGCACCACTGACAGTGACGGGCTTTGTCGACTGCGCCTTGTAGCCGCTGGTGTTTTCAGCATCAGCGCTCTTGGTGCTCGCCTTGTACGTAGCATCAGCACTGCCAGTCTGCGTTGGCTTCTCGGCGTGATAGCCAGAAGAAGACTGCTCTGGGGCCAGCGTCTTGGTGATTGTCCCGGTAGACGTCTCTCCCTCTGCATGTGACTTGCTGGTGGCGGCGGGATGGTTGGCGGTTGCATTCTTCCCAGTCGTTGGGTACACGGGTGCCTCAGTGTCGTAAGCGTCAGTCGTGGCAGCAATGTACGTGGCTCCGCCGCTGGGACAGGTGATGGTCGTCGTGATCGGCTGCTCGCCGCACACGTCGCAAACAGCATGACTGGTGGTGAAGCCATAGGGGGTGGTCGTGGGCTCTGCAAAGGTCGGCAGTGAAGACGCTCCTGCATATGTCTCGGTGATGGTGTAGGTTTGCGTCGTTGCACCCGTCGGACAGAGGATGGGGTACGAAGTGGTGTAGACACTGGTGTACGTACAAGACTCACAGCCACAGGCACATGATGGCATATTGTAGGCCACTGACCCGTCCGAGTACTGTGCAGTCTCTACTGGGTAGACCTCTGTTGGATACACGTCTTCGGCATCACACTCTGTAATGACAGAAGTAAAGATGGAATACAATTGTGCTGCCGCAAGACCTGGGCAGGCGCCCAGCGCAGCCAGCGCAAGCAAAGCTGGTGATTTCATGGCAATAATTTAAACGAGTGTAAGTTGCCTGAGTAAAGTCGTAAGTCGTGAGAATAGATGCTCTGCAAGTCGAGGCGGGCTTGTCCATATATCTTATCCGGCTTCTTGCAGAAACCAGTCGTTGTAAACGGCGATCGACGTTATCTTGAAACCAGTAATTTTGCATATCTAGTTACATTGGTTCCAGAGACATTCGAGCAGAACAGACTCTGTTTTTGCTCACATGATTGGAAAGAAGATTATCGACCCCTGAATTCTTGGCCTTGTCTGAATGAATGAGCAAAGGTCGCTGCACACAGCCCGGCTTCCATATTTTCTTTGAGGAGTTTTTTGTACCTCTCTTATCAACTTCTCCTTCTCCCTGTCTGTTACTCCTTCTTTTCACTTGGACTACCTAGACAAAGACTGGCAGATTGCGTTGCAAGCCACTATAGAGGCTTTTCACAACACATTTGGGGGCATGTAAATTTAATTCAGCTTTGGGCGTAAATGCTCATTCTTTCGTCAGTCCATATGATGCGGCTGAGACTCAAGTCCACCTGACAGGGCTCAATCGTGATTCTTAACCCCAGAGCTAAAGCTAAATTGCTCATTGCTGGTTGCCCGAAACAATTAATAAAACAATACCGTTTTGTCATTAGTACATGGTTTAATTAGGCATGTTCTAGAATGAACATTTTGACGTGAACTTTATTTGAATCCCCTTGAGCATCACCTGGTTGCTTAATTAGCCATTGCAACGTCGTGAGCGTTTAATGGAAAAGGCTTGAACCATGGACGCTACAAGCTTTCAATTTATTATGGGGGCTTGAGACGAGACAGGCACTTTATCAAATTGACAGCGGCAATTAAAAACACAGACGAAAGTAAATTGAGATGGCAAATTGTCCGTGACTGCAAATCTGTATATATATCTGATTATTGCCTGGAACCAAAGAGTCGAATGATCAATCGCCAAGCTGCACATTATCCAACTTTGTCACTCTTTTTCATTGTTATTCACACACTCTTTTACTTCATTTCAATCTTTGCAGCGACCATGCGCGCGCTCGCAGCGCTTTCGCTCTATGCGCCGCTGGTTTTGGGCGCCAAGCGAGGAGAAGAGGATCCAGGTCAATGTACTGTGCGAACAGTTACTTATCTTGCACCTTACACTCCTTCGGTAGGCCCAGAAGAGACCGGCGGCTACAATGTTGGACCTGAGCCGGGCTACGGAGGCGACAGTCCTTGGCCCACTGATGATTCCAACTGGGCTTGGCCGACTGACGATTCCGACCCAGTTGGTGGTTTCTACTCTGCAGGCATCGTAGGCCCAGAGGAAAGCAACGGCTACCACGTTGACTCCAGTGAAATCTACGAGACGGGAACGCTTGTGTGGTCTTATGCCACCGAGGGTCAAACTGTCTACCCAGTTACCTCAGAGATCATTGAGACTCACAGCACTTACCAGCCTACCATTCTGACCACCACCATCACGGCCACCACTGAGGTGCCTACAACCATCATCATTGACAATACGCAAACTGTCACCTCGCTCATCACTTCTGTTGTTACCTCGGTTTCCACCTTCTCTACTAGCATTCTTGAGACTTTTAGCGTAACGCTTACCACGACTGATACTGTCTCGTCTGTGATTACATCGTTGGTGACCACTTCGGCCATTGTCACATCGACTGCCACGACCGAAGTGACCATCATAGGGCCTACGATCACTGGGCCTACAATTACAGGACCTACTATTACAGGACCCACGATCACACTCCCTACGGTTACAGGACCTACGATCACCATTATTCCAACAGACTTGCCAGTATTCGAGATTATCAGTATCCGTCTCTCCCCTGCAGCAACTGCACCTGCGGTTGCCCGACGATGGCTTCCTCGATTCAAGCGCCAAGAGACCGAACAAATCCCAGGCCAAGTTCCCCAAGGCTTCCTCGGAAATGCGACTGATGTGAATCCAGACACCTGCGACAGGGCTGTCCTGGTCGAGTTCGACAATGGCGAGGTGATTGCAGGCGGGCAAAAGATTGCGACGAATCCAGATGAACCATTCCTCGATCTTACCATGCCGAATATTGGCACCATCACGACCGACTTTTCCATCCAGAATGACTTGGTCGTTTGGGCGAATGATGCCTTCTTTGGTGGCCTTGCTCGCTTCTGTCAACTTTTGGACGGCACGGTATATGCTCTGTTTGACGAGACAGTCGCGCCTGCAGGTTGTACCCTGGTAGACCTAGTGGTGTACTCATGTGAGTTTGCTATACATTTAATCATGAAGAGACAGAGTCTAATCTGGAGAGCATAGCTGGCCAATGTCAAAACGGCACTCTTGTTGGAACTGGTCCAACAAACCCTCCGTTTTCTTCCACGTCTCCTCCTGTAACGGTGAGCTCGGAAACGTCAGTTACCAGCTCTCCAATCAGCTCTACATCTGAGAGCACTGTGACCGAGCCAACATCTTCCGAGGGAACCAGCACAGAGTCGACGTCTTCTGAGAGCACAAGTTCTGTATCCACGTCTTCATCCGAGAGCAGCAGCTCAGAGTCGATGACTTCCGAGCCAACCATCACAGAGTCGACATCTTCCGAGCCAACCATCACAGAGTCGACATCTGAGAGCACCAGCATTGAGCCAACGTCTTCTGTTACATCAACTCCTGTGTCATCTTCGGTCTCGGCTTCCTCGAGTTCAAGCGCCGAATCTACGCCCACCACACCGGCAACTTCGCAGACAACTACCCCTGGTTCTTCTACTACCCCTGCATCATCAACTTCGCAAGTCACATCGGGAACTTCCTCGACCAGTTCCACTACGACTGCGCCTGCACTGCCGACATTCACCATCATTGCTGGCAACAGCGGCACTGGTGCAGATGGACTTCAGCTTCAGCCTGCACTTGGCGTTGCCGGCCTCCCAGCCGTCTTTAGTCAAGGCTCGTCCCCGATTAAATTCGAGGTTGACCCTGTTACCAACGAGGTCTTGGTTGACACGAATGGTGACGGGATATTCGACCAGGAAATCTGCTGTGCCTATGGCGCCGGCACTCTCACCGTTGGCCTGGCTGCTTGCTCGATCTCAACGTGTGTCCTTGGAGGTGCCGGTATCGCGCCACTTCAGTGCACCGGCCCTGTCGACAATGCCTTGAGCTGCTACCTCAATGCCACTTCGATTGGTCAAATCCTCCAGGATACCCAGGTCTTGCCGCTTCCCGATGGAAGTTATCAGCTGTACATTGGCGACCAGATTTTCCCTGGCTTCTCGCCAGTGACGTTGCTTACTGGAGGCGGTAACGGAACCCCGACAAGCTCTTTTCCTACCAGCATCCCAACTAGCATCATCTCGTCCGTGACCGGTATTTCTTCATTGACCAACACCCCCAGCCCGACTACTTCAACGGGCCCTCAAGCCACATTGCCTCTTTTCGGTGCCAACCCCTCGGGTGGTGCTGGAACTGGTCTCCAACTCCAGCCTCAATCACCAGGCTCGGGCAACTCGCCTGCTGTTCTCAGCCCATCGCCGTCCGATTTCCAGTTTTCCGTAGATCCCGTCACAAACGAGTTGATTGGGTCTGATTCTGATCCGACCACTCCTGACCTACAGATCTGCTGTACATATAGACAAGGCGACTTGACTATTGACCCAGCTCCTTGCGCCGTCTCTACTTGCCAGCTTGGAGGTGCCTCTGTCGGACCGCTGCAATGCACTGGCAGCATTACCAGCCTTCTCAACCTGGATTGTTACCTGAATGCCACTTCCATTGGCGAAATTTGGAGAGACCTTCAGATTGAACCACTCACCAATGGCTCATACCAGCTCGAGATTGGATCCGGCCTTGGAGATGGCAGAACGCCCATCGGCCTGAGCCCGATTAATAACACGCCTTCCAGTTCGAGTAGTATCAACAGCGCGACGCCGACGACGACTCCTCCCGTCAGTTCGTCTTCCCCAGCCGGTGTGTCTTCCACAATTGTGCCAACCAGCAGCACGACCCCCGTCAGCTCGGTAGTCTCCTCGTCCACCAGCGTGAGCTCGTCTGCCCCCGGCGTGAGCTCGTCTGCTACCGTCTCTCCCACATTGCCCACATCCAGCCCGTCAAGTACCTTGTCTAGCAGCATCAGTCAATCTACAACCGCTGTTCCCGAGCCGACATATGTCATCTTTGGCTCCGGCTCGGGAACTGGCGCCGATGGCCTCAACTTGCAGCCTCAATCGCCTACTGCACCCAACAGCCCTGCGATTTTCGGCTCAAACACGCCCGCTGTCACCTTTTATACCGACCCAGACACACAAAATCTGATCATTGCAAATGGTGACAATGCCAACCAGCAGATTTGCTGCACATATATCAATTCTGCTGGGGACGCATTGGACCCCGCGACTTGCAGCTTCTCAACCTGTGCTGTCGATGACCTCGTCACTGCTCCTCTGCAGTGCATTAACCTTCTCGGAAACGGCATTCTCAGCTGTACTCTCCTTGCCTCGGGCATTCCAGATATCTATACATCCACACAGCTCTTGCCTCTCGGTGATGGTACTTATCAATTGGAAATTGGTTCCGCAGTGGCTCCTGGCAATTTCCCGGTTACTCTGGTCACGCAACAACCTGCCGCCTCGACGAGCAGCAGCAGCATCAGCTCCATTGCAACATCACCATCGTCGAGCCCGACCAGCTCTCCCGCCGCCTCGACGAGCAGCAGCAGCTTTTCAAGCATTGAAGCATCTACATCGGTTAGCTCCAGCCCCATCGTCAGCTCCAGCTCTGTTGTCAGCTCCAG